GGTAACTAACATAGGCTGCACTTTAGGTGGCACACCCATGGGTGCAGTGTAACCCAGTGTTTTATTTAGTTAAAGGTAATTAACATAGGCTGCACTTTAGGTGGCACACCCATAGGTGCAGTGTAACCCAGTGTTTTCTTTAGTAAACGGTAACTAACATAGGCTGCACTTTAGGTTGCACACCCATGGGTGCAGTATAACCTAGTGTTTTATTTAGTTAAAGGTAATTAACATAGGCTGCACTTTAGGTGGCACACCCATGGGTGCAGTGTAGCCCAGTGTTGTATTTAGTAAAGGTAACTAACAAAGGCTGCATTTTAGGTGGCACACCCATGGGTGCAGTGTAACCCAGTGTTTTATTTAGTTAAAGGTAACTACTGTAGGCTGCACTTTAGGTGGCACACCCATAGGTGCAGTGTAACCCAGTGTTTTCTTTAGTAAACGGTAACTAACATAGGCTGCACTTTAGGTGGCACACCCATGGGTGCAGTGTAACCTAGTGTTTTATTTAGTTAAAGGTAATTAACATAGGCTGCACTTTAGGTGGCACACCCATAGGTGCAGTGTAACCCAGTGTTTTCTTTAGTAAACGGTAACTAACATAGGCTGCACTTTAGGTGGCACACCCATGGGTGCAGTATAACCTAGTGTTTTATTTAGTTAAAGGTAATTAACATAGGCTGCACTTTAGGTGGCACACCCATGGGTGCAGTGTAGCCCAGTGTTGTATTTAGTAAAGGTAACTTCCTTTGGCTGCACTTTAGGTGGCACACCCATGGGTGCTGTGTAACCCAGTGTCTTATTTAGTTAAAGGTAATTAACATAGGTTGCACTTTAGGTGGCACATCTATGGGTGCAGTGTAACCTAGTGTTGCTAATGAGTGACTGTAACCCAGTTCAGTTTTTTCTAGAAATTGCTGTCCTTTAAGTAGCATAAAGACATGCAGACATTCTCTTTAAGACAATGAAATTGGTGTGAGGGAACATTTCTTCAAGTAGTATGGTAGCACAATGTTATGTAATTAATGCATTTTTCCAAATGTTTAGTACTTTTCAGAAGCTTTAAGCAAGGGCACTTTTGTAAGAGATTTTGGTACACATACTGAGATAATTGATTTGGAAGGCTCAGGTTTGTAGAACAACAGTAGTAATAACACTTTGTTTTTTCTTTGGTTACAAGTTCTGATTTTTTCTCTCACTGGCTAAAGAAGGTTTACCATACTATAATATGACTTTATCGAGTGTTTTATGCTGAAATAAAAAAATTTTGGAAAATGAGTTTGGAAAATATTAAAATAATTAAACTTGTTGCTAATGATGAGCTTAGGAGCTGGTACCTTAAAGGTTAGTGTGGGTCCAAAAGAAAGCAGCGGAGAGGAGGTATATATGGCAACCCTGGAAGTGGGAACCACCCCTCAAGCAGCCCACTAACTGACACCATCACACTGAGAAAGTTCAGTGGAGATACCTATTGATGATAATACTTACCTTAAAAGAATACTTGCAATACTGCCTGCCACTCAGATGATCAGCAAGCAATTATTGCGAAGTTAATACGATACAATGAGCAAGCAAGGCAACAATGCAAATGCAGCATTAGCCACAAACATAAAGGAGACCCAGCAAAAACCCCAAGGGCTGCCACTGAGGTCATTTACTGCAAAGGCAGAGACCACTGACCAGCTTTGCTCCAGTTTAACTTTGCCTAAATGATATTTAGCCACATCAAAAGGAGCTTTTTGTTTTTAATTCCTCAAAAATATTTACCTAAGGAAAACAAAATGTTTACTTGCAACAGTTATTTGAATGATGTGATAACATATAGGGCCTCTCATTACAGTCTTTCTCAGGTCTTATTTCAGTTTTTGGCTATTTTGCAGATATTAAAGCTGACATGGAGTCTCGCCTTGTTCAGTGGCAAGGCAAGTTGGATGAGCTACATGTCTTTTTCAAGAAGTTGTGCAAGTCACGCAAAAAGTCACTATTCACTATTGTTTTCTTGCGTTAGATCTGCTTTTTTCGATTCGATTGCACCTTGACTATTTTTGTACCGCTACTCCTCTTGCGTTATATTTATTTAAATGAGCAATTTTTAAAAGACAGAAAATGTCCTTCTTTCAATAACGTGGCGGAATAAAACAATTACACAAAGATATTACTATGATACTTTTTGGTAGGAAATATTTTATTTTTGACCAGCATTGTTATGCCTAATTTTGTCCATAAACGGACAAAATTGCTCCGATTTTGAGACGACATTACAGCTTTTTGGCAGCGATCGCCAATAAACTGAATGTGCCACGGAATTACACCCAATTAAGAAAGATATTTTCTCCCTTCCAGCAGTCATTAGAAAGCCGTTTTGTCCCCTCAAAATCGGATGTAGTTCACACGTTAAGGGTAATAAACTGATAAAAAATGATTTACAATTATCCTGTTGTCAATAAGTTCTTATTCACGTAAGCTGGGTCATAAACTATTTCTTGTGGCAGAATCATGGGGAAGAAGTTGTCCTTCATTTTAAAATCGCTGAAATTGTAGTAACTAAACTTTGAATGAAACTATGGTAGAAAGATTCATTACTTGACGAGGGAATTCCGCATTTAATTGCACGCGAAAAGCGATACGCGAAGCGATGAGTGCGATATCGGTTTTTAAGTGCAATTTAACGCGGAATTCACGAGCCAAGTAATGGATTTTCCTTGAATCACATATTTGTATAAAAACAAGATAAAAAGAAAACAGCATTACTTATATTTGTTATGTATACGTGGATGCGAAACAATATCACTTAGCCCCGCTAAACAACTCCCCTCGTCAACCAATCAGAAGGCGAGATTTTATGCAATGATGTTTTTTTTTCAAATGTTTTGATCAACTATTAAATCTTCTGACAATTTGAATTTCCGCATTGTGTTTAAATGACAGGAATGTGACAATTTAATCCGCGTTAGTTGAATTGAATTTGGGAACTTGATCTTGTGTTTTCCGACGAAATGAAACTATTACAAAATACGAAATTACATATTTTGATGTCGCGAAAACCGTCATGTCTCAACTCTGAATAACGACAAAGCTGATTTCAAAGACGAGCTGCGCGCAGTTCGTTTATAAAGTTAGTTGAGATCAGTTTAAGATTTGAATAAAGAACTATATATAAGAGGATGAGTTTAGGTAGATTTTACCAACTACGTGGGATATATAAATGGATTTAAGACTTAGGTTTGACACATGTTAACTCAAATCAATTCGAAATGGGGTTGAACTTTGAAATTGAATACAGGAGAATTTATTATAAAACCGGTTGTCATATCTAGGCCAAACGTGCAGAAACTTGAATTTGAAAATGTTTTCCCCTTTGGTAGCATGACCACTATGTGGCTATCACCATGATATGTATTCTTCGCTATGTTTTTCCAGGTAGCAGGGAGTCGTATCACGAGCTAAAAACTCTATGGGAGTGTTGAAATTTTAAACATATTCAGTAGAGTAATTTGTGTCATTTTCACACGGTGATGATATGAAATCGGCCGGGAGGGGGGAAGAAACACCTCACCTCAGTTGATTAAAATTTAATTTTCCTCTATGGAAGTTTTCATACGAAGATTCCTTACTTTTTTTTTGGTGCATTATTCGTTACTGCCGATTTTTTTTCTCCATATTCTTAAAGGAACACTTTCTTAAGCTGGTCCGCCTTCAGTTGTATATGAAAACATCACTCATGTAGTAATGGCGGTAAAGAATTAGGTGATTAAAGTAAAAAACTTTCAGAATAATCTAGTGCCTTGAAGCAAAACGGTGGATTTTCTATCTCCCTTCTCCAGACAAAAAAATGTTCCGTTGCCTCTCTTAACCCCAGGCTGATAAAAACATCAACCGCTGTTGCCATTTTGACGGAAAAAAGGCGTATATTGCCAGTCTTTAAATTTTCTTTACTAGAAGATCAGTTTCATCGGCGATTAACTGTTACCCTGCGGTTGACGACGGAGTGGTCGATTCCTTCCTTGTTATCCTATTTACAGGTGAAAGTAGGAATTGCAACATATTTGTGACTGAAGAGATTCCTTTACGAGGGAATAAAAAACGGATTAGAATTTGCCTTTTTTTCAACGTTTGGCTTCGTGGCATACTTGGTAATTACACCCAACTATTAGCATTGACATAGCCGTTCATTGCTTGCTTGGTTATGATTTAGGGCTAGGTATAGTTGCTATGAGATTTAGCTCACAAGCTTCAAGTGCCTTCCATTCAGGATCAGATTCTTTGTTTGTAAGTAAGACGTTTCCAATAAGCAACGTCGATTCATCTAAATGGACATTATTGAAACATGTCTGATTATGAAGTCTTGAAAAAGTATTGTCTGACCACACCATGGCTGTTTTGCACTTGCAAATTTAAGTTCAATCAACGTGTCTATTATCTTGCGGAAAGCCTAAAAATTGAAAATCAACGAAGTATACTTTCAGTCCACAGTCTTCACACATATATTAGACCATCCTGAAATCGAGAGAAAAAAAATGGCAGTTTAAAAATGTTATTAATTACTCTTTCCTTCCCTTTAATTGCGCTTTTGTTTAAATTATTAACATCAAAAAATGTATTTATTGAAATAATTTCACATGATGAAATTTACTCTTGAATGACTTTTTATTTCAACCTTGGACCAATAAGGTATGATCTCCTGTTTAAACCAATGAAATGAATGATGTTACTACTGCATGGTGGAATCGTTGCGTAAGGTCTATAAAGAGCAAGAGATTATACAATGCAATGTCTTGTAGTGAGTATGGTCGTGACAAATCTTTTCCCGTATAAGGTAGCGAAACCCAGCTTGAAACAAGTGCGATAAGTTTGTTCTCGATGTAAAGAAGAAACATTTTTATAGATCAATATTATGTTATCATTAACTGAGGTTCTAGTAGGATGCATATGTATCCAAGTATTCTCTTACAACGCAACTTCCTCCCCAATCATACATGGCAGCAAAACCAAGGCTACGTTTAGAACTGATAATGTAACACTGACCCTTCATACACCGGATTGATGCATTCAGCCTCTTCTACACTTTGTAAAACATCATCCATGCTGGAACGAGATAATCACTCAAGTCATGCCACGCAAAAAAACTAACTAGAAGAACAGAACAGCTGTGATAATTGTTTAAGGTATTTTACCTTTCGTACAAAATGTTCTCTTTTTCGTCTTGTCCAGTTTCGATGCTGAAGGTGATAAGAGAATTGGAAACGTGAGTATGGCTCTATTTTACTATTTGCAGATCACAGAGTATTTGGTCAGCGGCACACTAGCTCGACTCTTATATATACTACACTTTTGATAAAGCATTAAAATAAATCAAATTAAGCCGCGCGCATTTACAAAATAGCTCTTCTTTGTCACCGTTTCTTTAGAATTAGGATAGTTGACTTTTGTGGAAGGCAGGAAAGCAGTAAGCCTACAGAAACACCGTGGATTTAAGGGCGAGAACCAAAGGCAACGTAACCCACTAGTAATGCTAAGTATAAGAATCGAGCCCGTGCCACGGTATTGATAGGCAAGTGTTCACATTAAATACCTGTTTTTCCGTTTTGGCTTCATGTGTCGTTTAATAGTGAACAACGCACCGCAAAAAAGCGTTTCCGGTGATTCTCACTGATTTCATAATTTTTATAAGTATGGTTGATGTGTACTTCATCCTTCAAGATTTCTTTGGAGGATTGCTTTGGGGTTCTGTCACATTTACGATTCACCTCGAGCCTATTTTTTTCATAATAGCCTCTTTTTGTTCATACTATACAGAAACATCATCTTTGACAAATACATAAAGCTGGACTAACACATGGCAAAAATTAACTGTTTGCTCCATCAAAACTATCTATGATGAGGCACACTGGGACGTCATCGTTGACAAACACATGAAGCTGGACTAATACGTGGCAAAAATTAAGCTATTTGGTCCATTAAAACTATCTATGATGTTACCAAATTAAAGATCTTTTATGGTTAGGGACAGTACTACTGCATTTCTGACCTGCTGCAATAGAGCGGATTGTCACTCTCTTTGATCTCGTCATCATCCGCAAACTGGTCATAGGAATCCATAAAATCCCTGTTTTGAAAAAGACAAAACAAAAAATTCTCATCACCTCAAGGAATCGCTATTCTCGGGTATGCTTTAGGTATCTTAAACACTTTTAATATTAGAAAAATAGTCGTACCTGTTATCGTATAAAATATTAAATTGTTCCTTCTTTGTCAACGTTTCCTTGGTGAAGCGTTCTCCTCTCTCATTTTCTCTGCTGAAACTGGTAACAGAAAACATTACCTACAGATCTACAAGGATTTTATTTTCTTTTGTACATACTTCCTCGACGTTACGACTGTACACCGCCAGTTTTCTGCAGAGAATTAGATCGACTGGTTACCTGTCCACTTAAGAATAACTTTGCTCCGCAGTGATTGGCTGGTTTTTAGTAGCTGTGCTTGCTGCCGATTTTTTGACGAAAATTTACACCGTAATGTCACATCAGTGTTAGGAGAATTAGGAAGCAAACAAGAGAATCGACTCGCTTAAACGCTGACTTCAGCTGTGTTAGGGCTCGCCCATACTACAGGGCATCTCAAGTGCCCACCTTCTTCGTAGGACATCGCCCGATTTGTAAGGCAGCGAATTGTATTGACTGCGATTCATAGTCAATTACAATCAATCTCGGCGAGGTTTAGTGCTCTACAAGGAGGCCTCGTCGCCTCAGAGTGACTTACAGGTGTGTCGGCTGTGAATTTCCGATTTCCCTTAAATTTTGTCGCACCCAAAAGCAGTGTCAAACATTGCATCGTCAAGGGATCTTTCATTTATTAAGATTCTCAACTAACGAAAAATTCCGTCTCTTTAACTACTGCGAATTCATTACGTTGTCGGTATCTTCTACACTAGTTGATATCAACAGCTGTAATACAATGAGAGACGGCAACTGAAAGGAACACAAACTATAAACGTCGAATTCTGTGCACACCTTTCGTTGTACATGTTTGGAGGGTTGTTATCGTCTTCAGCTATCTTCTCACTAGCTGTGTAGCTGACAGTAAATTTGTTATGACCTTTGTCTGTCCTTTTGAACCGCCTAGAATTCAATTAAAAGGGTAAATAATTAGTATCAAGAATTTTATACAACCGCTATTATACATTTTTAATGAATTTTTGCCTGCGTTGTTTGTTTTCGAACTGATAAGCTGTAAAATCTGGTCTTTGATGTCCCTCAAAGGCCTAAGATATTTCATGGAAGTCCACACATATTTTTCTTTTAATAAAGATAGGAAATCTGTGAAGGCATTACATCGTGGTATGTCTCAAAACTGCCGTTGAAACATTAGTGTTAGAACTGACCCCAAATGATTATGCCTTGAATTCTGATCGTTACGCTTAACTTCTTTCATTGTAATGGAAAGTCATGGTCACTGTGCGATCAGTTATCGACTAATTTGCAATAGGTCATCGATTATCCATACCAGTTTCTACGGAGACAAACAAGTGCTACTGTTACCACCACAGCTAAAGCAGCCAACGAAGCTATCAAAGCAACAATGATGGGGACTTTCCCCGATGCTCTTGAATTTTTGTATTCAGCCTTCTGTTCGGTTTCTCCATTCGAGTTGCTCGGTTCCCCCTTACTTCTTGATTGGGTTAGTGGAAAGAGTTCTCCACTCGTTACCCTTGAGGTTGAAGTTCTCTGGGTGGTTTCACGCGGCCTTGGTTTTGGAGGCACCTCAGTTGTGATTGGTAGTGTTGTCACAGGTATGTTCGTAAATGGGGAGGTAAACGATCCGTTTGGATTGGTATGAACTGAGGATGCTTTTTGCGATGTTGAATGCCCACTTGAGCGTGTTGTTAGGGTTGATTGTTCTGTAGAGGATTCTTTAGCTGGTGTAATTGTTGTACCAGTTGTAATTTTGCCGTTGTTGCTTAAAGAAGTAAGTGTTGCTGTATTTCCGGCAGTAGGAAACTTATCATTTCCACTTGTTGTGCCTCTGGAATTTGCTCCAGTAATCGGAACTGTGGTAGGACTGACAGAAGTGATGTCGGTTGATGTCGCTTTCTGCGTGGTATCCGTTGTTCTCCCCGTACTTGTTGGTACTTTGTTGAGGAAAAACGAAATACAGAATTAACGTAAGTTTGCGTGTGTGTGATTGATGGCCTTTGTCAATTGCTATATTCTTAAATAGGCGAATCTAAAACATTACAGACACAAGACGCTCACTAATACAAGATCAAATCTTAATTCTGTAACAAGCAAACTAATTCAAATGCCCAGATCACTATCGTAACATCGACCATTTGCTGACAGCCTTTATAATAAAGAGCAAGCTACTATTCTTACTTGTAAGCTGGAGAGCATGATATTCAGCCTTAAAACCCACGTCTTGGACAGTACCATCTGAGGTAAATGTAACTGTAACGTTATTGGTTTTTGACCGGATATCCCCAGGCGGATACGCCACACCCATACAGTATTTCCCTGTTAGTTCAGACGTTCCATTTGGAAAGTTGTCGTGTATCTCTACATAGTCGCAATCACAGCTTTGAAAGAGACACATATCACTCGTTTCCAAACGGAAGTCAACAAATGTCAATGAAATTATGTAGTTCCAGGGGACATTGATATGCCACTCACACCAGGCCTTTTCCTTATATGGAGATGGATAGTTTGGACTTGAGAAGGAACCATTCAATGCTGTTAAGGTCCATCTACACGCTGCAAAGAAAATACGTGGAAATGAATCGAACCAGCTTGTGAGACGTTCTTTGACCGACAACCATTTCCACAAGTCACATAACTGTAACACTACCAGAAGTTTTCCCGCTTTTCATAACATAAAACATCAAGGATTATTAAAGCTTCTCCCCCGTACGAAATGTAGGACATAACAGGCTACTTCTAACAATTTGCCAATTTTTCGTGGAAGTTTCACGGCACAGTTATGTACCCATGAATGGGCAGAGGAACTTTGATGCCACCATGCGAGGTTCTTTTTCTTCAGAGTCACGGTAGTATAGATACTATGCACATCGCCCATAAAATAATCGTTATTGAACCCCACAAAAAATTCTCCCGTGATTGGGGAAACAGCACTAAAAGTTTAATCTGATCAAAGCTTTCAGGTTTTTTTTTTCTCTTCTTCTAACTTTGGTGGCTTGCTAAGAAGGTTGGGAATGATGATTGTTAAATATTCCATTTAATTTTTTTTGTATTCGAATTTTCCACTATTCACAGTTCTATGGTTAAGCACCACGCAGCAAGCTTATCATAACCCAGTAGAACTAGATGCGAACCCGACCTCCTTAAACTCACTTCCTTGGCCTCATAAGTTAGTTGGGCACAAATCATCATTAGGTCATGGAACTGGCCATTAGAAAGGGATTCAATGTCTCAGTCCCAAGTAGTCTACAAGTTTTGTAATTTTACATACAGTCTGTCTAGATTTCCTTAAGCAAAAATAACCCAGAAAACCATCGCTTACCTTGGTAATAGCAATAATAAATGTAGGGATTTTGAAGATCCGCACCAAAAGGATAAGAATAGACCGCGCGGTTATGATTGTGATCATTCTCTGTGTCATACAGTATATACTCCAACGTATGTGTTGTTTTCAAAACTTCTTGGCAGTTCTTACTGTTAAAAGCTATCAGATAGAAAGGCTTGTCTATTGGCAGCTCGATAGGTTCGCTGTACGATCCAACATCTTGACAACAAAACCTTATCTCAGTATCTGATTTGTACGTTCCAGCAGGGACAGTACCAGATTTGAAATTCAAATTTATTCCATGTTTCCCGTTTTCATCATCCCACAAGACGCTTCCTTCTCGTAGATAGCCTGGACATGAAGAGCCTTTTTTATAAATGCAGTATTGACCGTAAGGCCAACCAAATCGACCGTTATCAACAGCACCGGTCGTAATTGTCTTGAAGCAGAAGCTTTGAGTAACATCTCCCGAACTCAGTACTGAAGCATTAAGGTGAAAGTTTGGAGATTTCGCCGTAAGGCTTTTGTCATCCTCCAAATCTTGATAGATATATCCGGTCTCCCAAGAGAAACCGTCAGCCCCAGGACAACCAGATTTAGTCATAGGTAGACCGTATTTTCCCGACGGCCATTTGACGGAATTGCCAAAAGCTGAAATGAGAAAATATCATCAGTTATCCGTACACCGTATTTCTGAATAAGCGCCTGGTCGCGAGTTTGAAATTTCGGCGTAGAGGAGGGGCGCTTCAAGGAGGGCGCTGAATTAAGGGGGTGGGGAGCTATTATGTTAAAAGCAATAGGACCAAAATCAAAAGAACAGATCTAGTATATAAAGGAACTCTGTAAGCATATGAAGATAAAAATCAAAGGGCGCCTTTGGCCAACTCGTGGATAAAGTATTTATGAGATATATAAAAAGTTGCTATCAGTAAACTGAGGTGTTAAAAAAAGGTAGAAAGTAGAACCATTGTGAGTATAGAAATTATAGTACTTAAGTGTGCGATGGAAACCACAGGACGAAATATCACGAATTCTTAAACGGAAACTTGGATGAAATATGTGAAACCGTTGCGGAAACACGACGGTTAACACGCGTTTCATTTATCTTTGCCGCACTTTTTAGTTGCTTTTGTGTGAGCATTCTATTCTTGTCAGTGTCTTGGTGGTACATTCGTCAGAAACTGGGTTCCGACGCCTAAACATGCATAAAATCTATTTCTGTGCCTCTTCATTAAAATTTGATCATACCTTTCAAGGTTGTAGGTTAGATCTAAGAGTACGTATTTACCACAATGTGTCGTAACTAACTATGCCTACCTTTGCAAGCGTTACAACTCTTGCGGCAACTGTATAACATGTAGTTTGGGTTCCTTTTACATTCACCGATTGATGCCCAATACGAACAAAGCTTGTTGTTATCCTGACAACCTTGCAACAAAGCATGAAGCATGCAGTGCTAAAACAAGCTGATCAAAGATCTTCTAGAATTAGGCCCTTACAGAAAATCTTAATTCTTAACTTAAATTACAGAAAAAACAATCACAGAAAAAACAATAAACATTAAAAAAAAAAAAATGAGCAAATTGAATACGTTCGATGCTGACTCTTGGCCCGAAATATGTTCTTAATTTTTTTTAACATTTTGTATCATCTCGGCCACAGCTTTCCAATGTAAAAAGGTTCTTATTCTGCATACTTCAATCAAAACACAAAAATCAGTAAAAAGTAAAGAAAATGAGTACAGTGATCAATTTGTTTAACCCTCGCTTGGAGTTTCGTGGCTTTTGAAAATTTCACAGTGAAACACGAACTAAATGGACACCTTCGGAACTTTTAAGCTTGCTAGCGTCCGCTTGATACAGCATGTCAGGTTTCACACATTGCGCAACAATGGTTAATCTCTAATTGCTAGGAAACAAATAGTCGAATTGGCGTTTTACGAAAATGGAGAAAGTAATCCACCTCTGTAAATAATTACAAAAAATAGGTAGAATTGTCTTAAAGCTTCTCAGCCAACACAGGTTTTTTTCTTATGAAAAACGCTCAGTTTTATTGCCCTCCTCTGTCCGCGCGATACATCCAGAGGTTTCCTCTGAACACAGGTGTAGTTGAAACAGAATACTAAATATGGGAAGAAAATTCTGGGACTTGAGTCACAACATGGGGTTCGTACGGCACAGGTTTCACTGTATTATGTCTGCAGTAAAACAAGGCTGTCAAGCGTTTTCTGGTGGCGAGGAATCCTCAGAATCTTTTTACAATATTTGCTAGTCTGTAATGGCAACTACGTTAGGACCCATTCCAGAGGCGGTTTTCAGTGAAAGAGACAGCTGGCCGTTGTAAAAAAAAAAAAAGAAAGAAGGTAAAAGAATAAATGTATGCACCGTCCGAGTGGACAAAAATTTGTGGCCTTATAGAGCGCTGAAATTATTGCAATTGATACTTGCTTGTAGCGTCACCACGAAACCTTTGAAAATTATATTTTTTAAAATGAACAGATGTTAATGGTGGACTATGGGCGCAAAATATCAGACATTTTGTTCGACAAAGCTGAGATATTCTTGTCCCTTCCGGCGAACAAACCTTTAAACACAGTAAATCCAATCGCCCGTTATTCTGATGATACAACGTCGAACTACTCAAAATGAAAATTCACAAGTTCAGACTTGTACCTTCTATCCACGTAAAACTTAAGAGCACAATTCCCAGAACTCTGCGCCAGACAGCAACATTCCAAGACCTTCTCCGTCCGTCAGTCATTATCCTCAGCTTTTAACCTCTTAGGGCACAGAAAAGCTAATGAAGGTGATTCAACACTGCTAGAAAAATTTATCGGCCAGCCATGCACCTCGTCACGGGAGGTATACAGGTCAAATACAAATAACCATTTGATGAATATGTCTATCATCAGTTGGTGATTTTGTCCTTTAATCTGCTCGGTAAAAAAAGCAACAAAACCTGAAAAATGTTTACTTAATACTTAGTAACACGAGATCGGCACCGCGGTAGTGAAGTATTAGTGTCGTATTTTTACGCTTTATTTTATTCTTGATTCAAGTTCTCAACTTCTATTGAAGATATTCATACTGCACACTTATTCATGGTGCGCCATGTGAAGGAGGAGTTGGAAGTAGATAGTCGGCAGTCTGGATGAATTCATTCAACTGAGGAGTGTCACGATAATTACTTGATAACAATAGGTTGATAAACGCCAAAAAAAATGACGTAATGTACAAAACGAACCTGGATAAACACGGATTACAAGAGGTTGAGAGTACACTCTTGAAAATTGAAAAAAAAAGGGCCGTAGCTCGCCTGCCTGCTACGTTGAAATTACGCGTACTTTTGTGACTCTATGTGCATGATGATGAACTTACGGTGACATGGCTTAGAATTAAGCAAATAGATTTAAATGTTTTTTTTTTTGGTTTATTTATGTAATAAGCACATGCACATGACATAAAACCTCGGTCATTTTAACACCGAAGAAGGAATAATAAATAAAAAGAAGCTAAAATGAAACACCAGATGCAGACCATTATTTCTTTTTTCCCAAAGAATTAACGATAACTTGGAATATACATAGAACTTAACTATGTTCACACCGATAAGTTTTTTTCTTTTTCAAATTTTGTTCCGCTAAATCTTTCCACGATCTGGAATATAGTGAAGTGAGCATTCTTACAGATGTGTGACATCGCAGATAAAGCTCTTGAGAGATTCAAACTAAATCTTTTTTCCCTGAACTCCGCGCAGTCTCCTTGCGCAATAATCGTTAACCCTTTCACTCCACGGAATGCTCAACATGTAAAATCTCCTCACAATTTCACCATCTGTCAACCAAACATGCGAAGAGAATTGAAAAAAATGATCCATTCTCTTGATGCAGCACCAAATTCTCAAGACTAACAGACAAAGACGAGAGTTACTTTTCAGATACCCGTATTGAAAGGATAAATCATTATTGTTCCTCTCAGTATAACACTGCATCTTAATACAACGAACATAAATAATGAGGCCTCCTTCAAGTTAAGTCTAAAGTAAACAACCCTTGACGTAGATGTCAATTCCTTACATTTTAAGACCAAAGAAAAAACAACAATCCGGGTATGAAGGTTTTGTGCCATAATTGTTTAGATTAACATGCCACGACAGCGCTAATTGAAAGGATGACCTTGAAGAAAAAAAGCACCGTCATGGAAAATGAATAGATACGTTGGTGTTGTCAGAGAATTAAAGATTCAAATTTTCTTATTTACTGTTAAAATCCTGTGGCAGCGCGGAGTATTAGCAAGACATAACTCTGTCTGCCTAAACAGGTAAACTTTCCTGTTATCTAACAAGGTTATCCAGTTATCCAGCTTTCTTGTGTGAATTAGAAATTGTCACATATGTCTTTAGCCAAGTCTTGTTGTTCACTTCAGGCCCGTCTCTATAACAACCTAAACATTAAAAACAGAAAAGTGTCAGTAAATTTTTTTTCCTTTGACCTTCTTTTCTTTGATATTTTGTAAATTATCTACAATTTATCACTGGTTTAATGAAGAGGTTAATTGCAACCCCAAAAAGTATTTAAGCTCTGCCTCAATGCAGATAGAGTTTACCACATCTACCCAGCAGATTGAATGGGAAATGCCAGAAAAAAAGACAAATACTGACTTTTGCGAATATTTTTCGAATATTTCGCTTTGCAAATGTGCACAATGTATGCAGCGAATACGTGAGATAATACTCCATAATGATAATAAACAGGCGCAAAAAAGAGTACTAAAGTATTTCTTTAGAGTGCTCTTTTGACTGCGAATAAACCTTAAGACGACCACGCGTCTCCCAAAATTGCCTCCAACGACGGAGGAACGTTTAGCACGATACGCGCATAACCATCTAGCACAACTTCGCAGACGTGTAAATATGTAGCGGCACATGCACTCTCCCACACGGTTCTTGGGAAGTTAGATTAAATTGGATATGGTCTCTAAGTAAACGTACTGTTCATAACGCCGATTTTCTGTCCTTGGATCCTTGTGACTTGAATATTGGTTACTGAAATAAGACGAAGTGAAATTTCATCGGTGTGACATGGACCTATTATCATAAGTTTATTGTCATAAGTCCAAAAATCAACTTACCCTGCATATAAAGGGTTCTCAGTCAGGTGGCCTTTTTCTGAATTAAGTCTAAAAAAAATAAGGTTCAGATAATGTTTACATTATCTCACACATAGTCCTCAACTTCCTTAATGTATTTTAAGCATACATTATCTAACAAATGAACTTATATAAATTGAAGCAACGTGTCGTTTACTTTGAAGAGCAGAGAAATTGTCTTTCAGTACCAATTGGCTATAAGAAAAGGACATTAAATTGCTCAAGCTACGCCTGAAATCGCATACACGCAAAAAAAATTTGCTCCTGGTAACAAAGAAGACATTAAACATAATCTATTGCAAAGCAAGAATTTGACATTAATGGAAATTACCGGTTGTCATCGTTTTGCTTATCTTCGAAGAACAGTTCCTCCATTTCACCACTGAAGGGAAAAAACAAGTTAAGAAGCTCAGAAATGTTAGTCCCCTAATCAGTTAAAGAGACGTATAGTAGCAAGTGGGTCGAGAGGTACCGGGCCGACCCCTAGTAGGGAGTTGATGTATTGTGCTCCTTGGCGAAACTTAACCTTAGCTGTCATCGCTTAGGGTTCCACCAAAGGGTATTATGGGTACCAGAAAACGTTCAAGAAATCTAACGAAGTACTGACAAAGACCTGCCGATGGACCGGTAGCTTGCAGACGGGGATAACGATACCGACACTTAACGCTTCAGATACCGGAAATGTCGAAATAACTTTTAAGGAAACCTTACAAAATACAGGGGATAACCCTCTGATGGTCTTGTATTTTGAAAAAGAGGCAAGCAAGACTCACAGTCACTTCATGCTTCAAAAACTGGAATTTTCGAAGAATTTGCGAGGGAAACATGGTGAAATACAGGTGATGGCCCTCCGATGGACTGTTATCTCGCAAAGGGGAAAGGGCAATTTTCTCCGTCACTTCATGCTTTAGAAAATGGAATACGCATTGTACAGATGAACCTTTACGCACGCAAAGTGACTGAGCCTGGATTTTAACATGACCCTTGACAGTATAAGTTCGACAGCGGAAGAGACAACTGCAGCCGTGGCACTATCGCATACCTGTCTCCGTACATATTGATGGGTGACAATGGAGTGCTGGATATGCTTGATTCTTTAACACTGTTGTATCTTACTATTTCATGGGAATGGTTGCGCCTCTTACGAAAACGATGGCTGTGAAAGAAGAGGAATGACATGGGTTAATGAATAAAGCCATTGATCCAGTGGGAGTAAGATCAACATACAATGACAATCTCATCAACAGCAACAGGAATAATGCTATCCATATCAGTTGTCTTTACTCAGGGATAGAAGCAGAGGAGTAGATTACAAAAATACAATTCTCCAGGGTGTCAGGGGCGTGCATGCAGATTTTTGTATCATTCTTCACTTTTTCTGGACAAAAAAGGGGTCACTTGTACCTAAAAACACCCTCCCTCCTACTGCTCTTAGCGAAACTCTTGACACAATTGTCTCTCATCCTTTCTTCCCCTTCAGAAATGAAATGAAATAGAGAAATCGTTTTGGGGAACCACGTCCTCTCGGCTTCACTCAGTAGAGTCCGAGCCAGACACACATAACAAGAAGCTCCAAGTACCCTCCTTGGTATCTAATCAAATGACGGAAAATTAACTCATTCACGCACCTTCTTTTGCAAAGCTGGCAGACCAGAACAAAACTGACAAAGACCACTACAACAAAAGAGCTGCTCGCGATAATTACGTATTTCAGCGATACGCCCATGACTTTACGAGACAGCATTTCTTCGTTCCTGTACGATTTAACATCATGAATACTTCCAGTTGACTTCCATTCAGCTCCAGTGCTTGATGGAACTTGTGAAGTAGACATTCGCCTTTCTTTCAGTGTTGCTCGAGTATTTTCAGTGGTCGTACTATGAGCTGTTTCAGTAGATTCTATTGTTGATGGTGCAGTGTGTGATGAGAAACTATTGCTTTCTGTAGCCGCTGAAGTTGACTGTTGAGTTGTTTTCACTCTCGGAGAAGTTGGTTCTGAAGTATTGTACATTGGTGAAGACGTTTCCGTTAAAGCTGTGGATGTCATTTCTAGATTGAATGAAAAAATTGAAAGTGCTACATGCGATTATTTTATTGATATTAGGGGTTGAAATGTAAGGAACCCACCAGGACTTAGAGCAACGCCGGGGACTCGAGCGATGGAAGATGAGGAAAATGCAAAGGAGGGAAAAGTTCTGAATTTGTGGGTCGCTTCAGATTCACACTTCTCTTGAGAAACATCTTTACTTACAAAGGAAAATAAGCAGCGGTTGTAGATACAGAGGGCTTTTTCGAGATTTCCTTAAAATGAATACAAAACAGTCCGTAATCAGCATTGATGTAGGAGAAGCAGTCATGTTTGCCTGCTCTATGTTGATTTGCAACACTCAGCAAACATTTTACTTCAACATCTTTCTCTATCCTTCGGGTAAAGCTTACCTGTGAGGATCATCTCTAGGTCAAGTATGATTTACCTCATTTTATTGTCTTTCATAGTAACAAAGAACCTTCTAAAGCGGAGGAAACTTTAAACTAAATAGAATGACATCAACAGCTAATCAGCTAAAAGTATCCAACCTGCTAATTTCGGGACTGTCATATAGGATGCGTTGAAACCTTTGGCTGTTATAACGTGATCTGAATGAAGCGTAACTATCATTTTATTGGTCGATGACTGTATGATTGGCAGAGATGAAATCGTTGCACAATATCTTCCAAGCGTTGTCAAGTCACCTTTCAGTGACTCTTGTTGTATATCTACATAATCGCAGCGGCAGCGGTTGTTTCCGCACAAGGAAGGATTGAATTCGAGTTCGAAGACTCCAAACTGTAGTCTTATCACGTGATCTCTGGGGGCAGTAATTTTCCACTGACAGTCTTGAAAGTTGTGGTAATTGCTTGGGAAATATGGTGAGGAAAACTCTCCGCTTGCCTGATTTAAGTTCCATTTGCATTCTACAGAGTTGTCAGTGTAAGAAATTGCATTTATCTTTAAGTGATTTCAGACAGAGAAGCATCGAATAAACAGCACCCTGAGTAACCCTTACATCTTTATGCGTTCTGTGTACAGGTGTTTAGTTAGGAAGTTGCCTTTACTGTTTAATAAAATAAAAAAACAGAAGCATCGAATAGGTCGCTGTAATACCACCTATCCCTGCTTTCCCTCAACAAAAACTCTAGGAAAAAACACAAGGCAAGTTGATGATACTTAAATAATGACGTGGAAACGATAATACCAAGGTATCCTCCTACTTTTAAGATTAAGACTTCAAGATATATCTTTAAACTGTAATGCCTGAGCGCGTTTCACCCAGACAGTGAGGTTGTGCCCGTTGGGAGCGTGTGCTTTCGCGCCCCAAACTGGGAAGGCGGCTCAAATCGTATCAGCTCCTCGTAACATCTTTTGTTGCGAATTAGCGTTTAGAGGCACTAATTCTGCGTTCTATTACAAAGATATTATAACCTCATTTATTTCTTACCTCTGTAGTAACAATAGTGAATCGTGGGTTCCTTACGATCAGCTCCATAGGGAAAAGGATAAACCCTGGTGTCCATGTTGTCTGTATTTTCGGTATCAAAGACCACATATTCAAGCGAATACACAGCACCCTGGACTTCTTGACAAGTTGTGGACCCAAACGCCAGCAGACCCTGTTGTCTTACAACAAAAATATATCAAAGTATCCTGGTTGTAAACTCCTGCGGGAAGTTTTCCTTCTTTGTTATTTCGATTGGATCCGTTTTTTTCGTTGTTGTCATCCCAACGAACGAAGCCTTCGTAAAATTCCTGAGGACAGAAGGCGCCCTCTTTGTAAATGCAGTATTTTCCGTTGGGCCACTTAGGCTTTCCTTTATCGGTTGCTGTGGAGTTTTTCACGCAGAAGTGTTGCGTTATGTCTGGCTTTCCTACCTTAGCTTTTAAGTGAATGCTCGTTGAACGTGCGTTTCTATTGCCATCGTTTTCTAATTCCTCAGTTCGGTGTCCTGTATGCCATGTAAATCCGCTGCTATTGGGACATCCCGAGTTTGCCATCGGTAGAGCATACGAACCCGCCGGCCACGAAGAAGAAGCTGAATTATTAATAATATACATTAAAAGGGAAATTTTAATTGCTCTTCCTATGTATTCGTTGCAGTAAATTCAGTTTTAGTGAATTGTTTTCGCTCTGAGGTTGGTTACAAACAATCGCATTTTCTCGCTCTGTGGACTATGCACATGTATTAATTACTTGCAGTTCTCATTGTCTCGTTGTTGTATGTTTTTTCCCGATTGGCTGTTTTGATAACCGTAAGCGGTCTGAAAGAACACCAGAGGAGTCACTGTACCTACATATTTCTGAGGGACCGGCCGTTATTTATATTTATCTTCTGGAAGGGGCAGAGGGGGGTAGGGGGAAGGGGGGCGATAAAAATTTACCCGATCCTCCATACGTCTCTGGGGTGTTCTTGTGATCGCCCTTCATGGCGACGATTGATTCTCCCTTCCTTTCCTCTGAAAACCATGTACCTTTCTCTCCCCCAAAAAAAAAGAAGAAAAAGAAAAATTTCACCCCTCCTAGCCCCCCACGTGCCAGATGTTAACTTGTCTCTAAGGGAAAGAACCAAGTTATTTCGATGCATCTCCAGCCAGGATAGGCAGGAAAGATCGATATTTAAATCTATGGGGTGAAAGGGTCAAAGAATTTCTTCCGTGCGATGACTGATTGGAGAAAATACAAGGCCAGATATCAAATATGATAGTGTGATAAGAAAACACGCCAAGATTTGTCTGTCTGTCTTCGATTGAAAAATTGCGACCAGTGTGCCCCTCTTCTCAATTCCGAAGTAGAATAAAGTAAATTTTTGCAGCAAAGACATTGTAACCAAAATGGTACCATGATTTATCTGAAATCAATCCATCCGCTTGAAATCGAAATAAGAAGGACCCGTATGACTAAATTTAGATCAATGTACCGGATATAGCTCTTATTTATAACATAAACACATATGGTTGTTATTTCAACGCCTTCTCTACCACTGACATGTCAGAAACTAATAAGTTTTAAAACGGCTTAAGTGTCAATTGTTCATTTAGAAGTGGTAAGAACTTAATCGTTCCAAAAGAAGCCCTGCTTTACATGCAACTTCAATACTTCGTGCTGAAAAGGCGTCATCATCAACCTACACAATAACCGGAGGTGTCTAAACCCTTTCTTTTTTTCATGATTCTACGGTAAATTGCCTAAATACGTGAGTGGTAAGCGGAAACTCTTGACTTACGGTTGACCCATATTCTGGCGCCTCCGTCAACCTCGTGTCAGTTTGGCGTTTGCCATGGCTTTTAGCCAGTTTTGTTTCAAAACCACACATCTGTTTTTTTTCTTCAAATTCTACTAATGCACTGAAACATTACGAGTCAACTGTCTCATAAATTTCACTGTCGCTGTGTGCGTTAAAATCCAACAAAAAAAATCTAACATTGACTGAAAGATGCAGCGTTTTTCTCCTTTCCTTTTGATTTTTTTTGGACGCGGAGAGATACATGCTGTGAAAGCCTGTAAAGATTCAATGATGTCTTGCTGGTTAAAAGTATTTGAACTGTCAGAGGTCCTTTTGGTTACCTCTACGGAATACGTAATTTCTACTAAGCTAGCAAGAAAAGTCTTAGTTGTTGGTTTTGATACTTTTTATCAGCCTTGTTTATCCTTCCTATCTTAATCACCGGACCGATTAGATCGGCAATCGTGGCAATTTAAACCTAAACAGAGAAACATCACTCGCCGCTTCAGGCTGTGATACAAAAGTTGAGTTCCAATCTTTGGGTTTCAAACGTATTTTTTTATCGCTAATAAAGCTTTTTCAAATTTCTTTCTTCTCAAACTGTTTAAAGTTAATGGCACAGTTCACAAAGGCAGATCTACTCTTCTAATGTCGAGGTAAGTTGTACATGAGCTTGAGACATCGTCATTGAACTTCAGCTAAACGTGTTTCAGTTGATACCAACAGTACGATAAATCTTACTTACCAGTGACGTGAACGAAACACCAAGCTGCATCGAAAGACATCGCGAATAAGGTCAAGCTATAAAACAACTCCATCTAAGCAGATTATTCACCGTTCATTCGAGAAAATAAAAACAAGCTCGTCTGACACGGTTACTGTTATAGATGTTTATCTTTGTGCTGTCTGGTTGTAACCGGGCTAAGTCTAACGATCGTGTGATTGGTCGATAAGACGCCACGTGTCCTTTAGGCCCTTGTTCACTTATCAGTCTTCTACTGATAAGTGTTATGATTTCAGGAAATCCATAGAGACAGAGAGTCTCCTGGCAAGAGCTACTTTTTACTCAGTTTTACTGCCTTAATTCCAACGATATTCTGCTTGCTTCAAATCAATAAGTGACGCACACAGTTTTCCTGTGAGATAAAAGGATAATAAGAGCTATTCAATTAGCTAACCTGTCCTTCTAAAAGGGATTTCACTCAGGGATATGACAAGTTTTACTCGATAAACGACTAAATGTCAGATTTTTAACAAACATGGAGACTAATCGTGGAGATTATTTAACGTTTAGCATTTTTCCCATGACAAGTTTCTTCAGCAGCTTTCACTAATCAATAGTGAGGTTGCCTGACATGAAAACCGTGACCTGTTTTATTCTATAAAAGCATCCTAATGAAATACATCATTTCATGGTATAAGATACCGTGATGATGACGTATCATGCAGCATGCTGAACAAAGGCAAGTGATATTTTATGGCATAAGTAGAAGAAGAAGAATGAGGTGGCAAGTTTCAAGGCAACTGCTCCCTGACTGATCATGAAAAGCCTTGCACACGAGAAGTGCAAAAATTCACTTCAGGTCAGCCTACGACTTTCAGGTCCAATGTCTGGAAGGTTACCAATGTATTTACAATGTAAACGCCCTTAAGAGAGGGAAATACATCAAAAGACAGTTGTAATTATCTCCTTTCATTGTATCTTTTCGGGTACAGTAATTTTCTATAAACTAATCTTAAAATTATTCTCACACGACCTTCATGCTGATTATTTGGTATAGTAGCGGTTTTGATTAGTGTGATTTTGTTGCCAGATCATGAACACAATGATGGGTCAATGATGACTTGAGTGAGGTCCACCGGCGCTGACTCTGCAACTGTTGATTGATTTAAAATCCTCAACTTCAGCGGCTCAATAAAAGGAACTTACACTAATCTAAAACAATAGAAGATAAAATACGTATAAATTTAGAAGTAAGAAGGTCCCAGTTGTAGAGGACGAGTGAAGCAATCTATTTAAGTTGATCTTGTAGGGGTGAGTGGTGCCATAAGGAAATGTTGCCGGGTGACACGTGCACTTCGACAACCCTAGCGAAGGACGTCGTTAGAGCTAAAAGGAGATTTGTTTGTCAGGCGAATCTCAAAGGTCTGTTTCTTGACAACTAATCGATCAGCTTTGTCGTAATCGTATCAGCAGTAAAGATCAAGCAGCAAAGTCATTATCAGTTATGATCGGTCGGTTTCGTTTCAGTTTCCTTTTGTAAAGTTAGGTAGTTCTGTTTAGCCTCTTGCTACTGCTGGGTTCAAACCAGCCACTTTATTACTATTGTTAGAAAAGGTAAGGCTTATCCATCGTTCTTAGCAGTTTTTCATCGTTTTTATCACAACAGCTAGTATACTTCGCTGTGGCATTTTATGGTTCAAACTGATTAATCAAGTTAAAAGAGAGATACTCTTTAAAAAATGCACCTCACCTGTCGTACACGTGATTGTTGTTACCGGACACAAAGCAAATATTCTTTTCCTCGGTGACGCTAACAGTTAGAAGCGTAAGAAGAAGATAAGTGAAGGAGGGAAGGAGAGAGGGAGGGGGAAGGGGGGAGGGAGGGAGGGGTGGATAGCATGACACCAATATTTCGTTGCTATGAAGTCCATCCAAATAGACCAGAGCTGAAATCTATGAATAGCTCGAGGTACTCGAGATTTGCATGACTACAGTGGCTAAACAAATTCTGAAAAAGTGTATGAAGCTGGAAAAAGGAGCCTACATTGCGATGCTCCCTATCTTCCCGATGAGAATGCAATCTCTTCACCTCAAAGTAGAACCAAAAATTAATTAGCCCTAACAGCAAAAGACACCAAGACCTCACCTTGCATACAAAATGTTGTCAGTGGACTTTTCTATTAGGCTCGCATATCTAAAGTAGAACAATATCAAAGGAAAAATTAAGTTCCTGGAAATGAATAATGTTAAAGACAATAGACACAATTCATATCAAACTCAATTCGTAGTAGCTGTATATTTATATCAAAAAAAATTTCAAACATTTCAATACCTTTCATTGTCAGTTATAGAAAGTCACAATATGACTAACATGCGCCTACCTGTTTTCTTGATCAGTCTCATTATCAACAGCTAAACCATCCATCGTATCAGATAAGACTGCGTCGCTCTTGTTCTTGCTAAATTGGACATTAAGCTTTTCGTTATAAACATCTGTGTCTTCTTTCTGACTATGAAGGAAAACATCTGTATTTCATTTTTACAATAGGAAATAACCCACTATCTTGGTTAGGTGGCCTTTAAAAGTTTGGAACAATTTAATACAGAAGAGCCGTTAAAGTTAACAATCACAAAAAGTACTTCACTATATTCTTAGTTCTTTCAAAGCGGGTCCTTTTAAATTGTCGTTCACTGAAAAAATGAATTGATGGTCTACCTTCATGATCAGGGCAAACACATCAAGGAGAGAAGGATTGACCAAAAATGCAAATGAAGAAGTTAAAGCAATTAAGGATCCACAAAAGGATCACAGTGGAAACTGTCATAATAAGATACTTATGATAACTTAATTTACCATTATGATGTTGTGCTATGAATTTACTGCTATCCCCTTCTTGAACTGCAGTCCTTTAAGCTCACGTTTCTGACGACCAGCAACGATGGTGTGAGACGTAATAAGCTCATTATATCAAGGGTAAATTACGTTCTGCATTAAACTGACATTTGTCCACGACCAGCAACATAATCAAGGATCCACAAAAGGGTCACAGTGGAAACTGTCACAATAAGCAACTTATGACAACCTTATTTACCATTATGACAACCTTATTTACCATTATGACGTTGTGCTATGAATTTACTGCCATCCCCTTCTTGAACTGCAGTCCTTTAAGCTCACGTTTCTGAGGACCAGCAACGATGGTTTGAGACGTAATAGGCTCATTATATCAAGAGTAAATTACGTTCTGCATTAAACTGACATTTGTCGACGACCAGTAACATAATCAAAGTTGGAGATAAGAGAGAACTACGTAAATTAACCAACACGTATTTGATCGAAAATACCTGATAAATTTCCTCTTATTCCTCATGAAAATAACTGCTAATCCCAAAAGACAGAGCACTAAAACAGCAGCAATAACTGCTACAACAATAAGAGCTGTTCTATCAGCATCGCCGCTTGTTCCTATCTGCTGTTCTGGAGGGTTCGCTCCCGAATGTTCTTTGTTGTCAGATGAAGTGTTCTTAGTTTCCCCTGTTGGTATTCCGGTTCGTTCCTCTGGGATGAGCGATTTTACAGCAGATGTCCTTTGATTCGCGGAAGGTTCCATAGTACCAAGAGCTCTTTTTGTGGTGGAAATTCCTGCTTTAGATGGAGCTATGTGGGGAGTGAGAGGTTTTTTCGTGGCTGAAGCTCTTTTTGTGGTGGGAGCTTCTGTTGTAGTTGGAGCTCTTCGAGCACTGGAAGGTTCTGTCGCAGTTGGAGGTGCTTTCGTGGAAAAACGTCCTCCTGTAATGGGGGACACTGGGGAAAATTTCTTCGTGGAACGTTTTATTTTAGATGGTGGTTTACTTGATATATTGGGGCTTAGAGCAGCTTTTGGGAAAGAAACAAGATCCACCGCTTCATTATTCAAAAGTTTGGATTTAGAATACTGGACCGTCCAAACGTACGAAGCCTTGGATATTTCTAGATTAGTTCACAAATTGACACGTTGGTAGTTAAACCAACTTTTATTGGTAATTGGTAGAGAGAGCCTCTTAATATGACTAACAAGAACTTAAGCTAAAATAATGATGAACGATAGAGAGTATTGCATCAGTTAAAAAAAAAAGCAGACCAACTTACCTGTAGGATCAAAGCATGGACACAACCTGCGGATGTAAGTGTTGTTGGCCGTGTGACAGTCAATGGTCCCAGGGATACCCTTAAATCCGACGCAAACTCCAACCCATTTCGTGACGTGAGACTCCGCAAAGTAACAAGGGTGCTCTTCACTTTCATATTGTTCGCTGCCGTTGATAGTTTTGCACGAAATTCCCAGAGATTCGAATATGGGTAAAGCAGATGAACCTGGAAAGCTTTGCCCCGTTTTAGCACATTGAAAACCAAATGTTGCACAAACTGAATCGCAGTTCTGTCCAGGACAAGTTGCCAAAAAGTATTTGATTCCTAAAAAATCACAATAAAAGCTAAAATAAAGGCCTAACGAAGTTGAAAGTAGGGAAGCAATTCTTGGGTCTATTTACACAAGTGATGATTTCAATTTTCCATATGCTGTTCCCATGTTAGTAGATCGTCCCATAGAAGGAGATTTTACCCTGATATAGCAAAGATTTTGCCTGGGCCACTCGGTACAATCCGTATAGACCATGTAGTAGAAGACAGTACAATTAACCTGGAACATTAAAGGGCTAGCTCAACCTCGAAAGAATAATATTTTGTTTCTTGATCTTCGCTTCCCAAGTTGTTCTGCAGTATGTTTTATTTAGTGAATACATTCTATCCTACCTAAAGACGTTGCAACCAACAAAGGAAGTGTTCTTTTTCTTTGTCTTTTTTTTTTATTTTTCTATGTCACCATGTCCAAATCAAGAAAAATTGAAAAATTTTTAGAGAACAATTATGTCGCGTGTTTTGAATTTAGCCAAAGTGAACTGATTGAATAAGAGAATCTGTCGACATATATGTATGACTCATTATCGGTGGTAATGTTTTTGACCGTCATGTGCCCTTCTCGCTATATTTGGCAAAATTTTTCAACGATACTAAGGATGCGCCCTGGCCGGTTTATTTTTCAATAACGCTTTTCTTCTGTAAGCAGCCATGGAATTTTAAAGATTTAATTTACTTCCAAGTCTTTTCAAATCAACTTTCTTTTAAAATAACTCAGTAAGACCTTATTACAATACATCGGTAACTTTCAGCATGCAAGTGCAACCCTAATTTTACTAGTTTGTCAAACTCGGCGATAAAAAATATTGCGTCGGAATACCTGTCGCAGTTGCCCATGCGCCATCTGTCAGAAGAAACGACATGAACAAGCCAAGAAATTGTTCATGTGGCAGCAGCATTCTCCCAGAAAGAAACCGTACTTTATCAGTCCACTCAGAAACACTTTCGATAAATGTCACCCTCTGTAGCTTCTAAGCAACCCAATCGCGGCCAAATGAAATGTTGATAATGCTTTTTGAGTCAAGTATCATGTCAGGTCAATCTCAGGGTGGTCTTTCACGTGCTTCAAATTGATGAAAACAAACCTAACTCTGTTTATGTAATAAGTTTTTTGAGTTAGTTCTTCGTATTGAGCAAATATCTTCTTCCCGCGATGACAGGTTAAAACGCACATTTCGAAAGGAAAAAATTGTGGTTAATGAAAGCTTGTAAGTCCATCATTTGCAAGGGCCAGCGAAGTGTACGAACTGAGGCCAGGTAATCAGCTGAAAATACATTGACATATTTTCCCTGACAGGTGTCAACACTATTTACTCAGCACTCACAAAAGCACCCAAGACTTGTGAAAGAAAGTTGTCAACAAAATTTGATTTCCCCTTCACCCTTAGATGCATTTCCGCCTTGACAAGTCTGCTTGGTCAAGAAACTGATGATTCAGGTTCTTAGACAAGTGGGCTTCTAAAAGAAAAACACGTCATAATCTTTTAACCTGCGAGACAGGCGTAGAGGGCTGTGAGGAGAACGAAAGGGACAAGACTTAAGCTGGTGTCTCGCTACGCCCGTGGTCTTCGCGCTCGTCTCGCGCTACAACCTTCAATTTTCACTGCCAAGGAAAACTACTCAAAATAAACAGTCTTGTGTATTTTTTTCTAAGCCTTCGATACTCTTATCAGATCCCTCACGCGCTATAAAGTTGTTTACTTCGAAATAACTTTGTGTTTGAGCACTCACGAATTTAAAAAATGCCTAGCGGACTGGCATCAAAGTTTCTTAAAGCCAGTCTGTTAAGCATTTAATTTTCTTTGCTAAATCACGCAAACTTAGTTGCGTGATACGGTATTTGTAAAGAAAATTAATAACCTTACATCTTCTTGAAAATTTTATCATTTCTAGCGACAACTTTTTGCAATGGAACTCAACCAGCTCTCGGCTTAGTTAAGGTCGTGATAACCTATCCACCGCCCTAGATTAACTACATTTTGTAGCAGCAATCGCATCAGCCCGGCCAAGGTCAGAAATAATCAGTTTTCATCAGCCTCCCAAGAGACTGTTGGAGAATGCGCGCACGACGACGCAGTGCAGAGGCAGAATTGAGCGGCATATACTATGACTACAGCTAAAACACATTAAGAAGAAAATAGACTGATCAATGGAAGACCCTTGTTACTGCCTTAAATGAGCGAGCAAACGTGACTCTACATGAGAAATGTCCTCTTCCTTAGCCCATCCCAATGATGAACGACAAACAACTAAATCCCCGTAGTGTAGACTTCTCTAGACGTATCACTGAAGAGGATCATCGCTAGACTTCTGCTCCTCGCCTTTCCGCCACCCACTCCTATGCGGTTTTCGTATTTCCGTTTCCATTTTTAACCGGTGACACTAATACTTCCAATTGACCTTCGTTCTCAGTGCCTTTCCTGATAGCGATTGTTTAACTAGACTCGTCTCTTGTCAAGCCGTGGGAAAGTTGAAGCCTTTTGAACCCGACTGAGGAAACTTTTATTGTCATAAGTATTTCCCTCTTTTTTGAAGTACAAGGTGGCAAGTTCACAAACATACCCATTTTCAATCTTACAGGAAATAGCCCCTTCAAATTATGAATGACATAACTTTCAGTAGACGGTATTCTTTGCTCTCAAAAACCGTCATACCATTAATTCAAGTGGCTTTTATGGCGCGCAAGTTGGTTGAAACGTATTGAGTAGTTCTGTCGCTAACGTTTTCCATTCACAGCAGCCCAACAGTCCAGAGTCTTCTCAGAGCTTTCAACGGAATGGTGCGAGAGGAATTTGTCTTTGGGAGGAGGCAAACGAACGATAAATGTTCCTGAAGCTTATTTGTATCGGTCACCTCATATCATGATAATACATTTTATATCATCTTCATTCTATTATGCTCGTCATTATCGTGGAAATGCAATGGACTAATTTTAAACATAGTTCAATCAAACTTCTGATTTGGGGTCATCGGAAAGTGTCGTCTTTGAAAACTTTATTGTATCGCTAAATCTGTAATATTACACACGCTAATAGGGACCTCCATCTAATCCCCATTGATTTGGCGTATTTCGGATAATGAGAGGATTGTCCCAACCCACACATTAAGATCCTACGAGATAAGTAAGCTTATGCTTCCATACTGGGTCCCGCAGATATGCGGCTACATTATAACCTTTTGCGCGAGCCAAATTCCAATATTTCATGGAGTATAAATAATTTCTTTCATTATCTCTAGTCGAGACAAAATAAAAGTCAGATATTTTCTCTTAAGTAACATCGACCTAAAAGCACTTTTGTAACGCATTCAATTGAGCTTTAGCTTCTAAGTTTGTTGATTAAGTTACAAAGGTATTTTTATTGTTTTTCTGTGGGAAGAGGTCGGACTTCCTTGAGAAAAAAAATAGAGAAAAAACTTCTAATATTTATCTCCTCGTTCTTGAATGGTGTGACTAGCGAACCAGCGCCAGACTCCACATCGCTTACTACCTTCACTTCACTAACACAGACATAAACAAAAGTTTGTTCAAGGAAATGTAGATGGCAATCTGACCGAGCGCACGTCTCTTTCCTCAGTCTGTCTTGTTTAGAAAAAACGGTGAACACTCTCGAACCTTCTATCTCCCCTTGTACACTCCGCGCAAACCAGAAAAAAAAGAACTTAAATTTTCTATAATTAACGAAATACTGATTGAATTTTTTTTTCAATCCAATAATATGGATTAGAACTAGCCATGTCTAAAGTGTTAACGTTAAATGAACCCTTTCTTCTTTCATAATCGCTTTGACCCTAAGAATGTCTCTCTGTCAATTTTTTTTTGTTTTTTGTTTTATTTTACTGGTTATTTTCAACAATGAATAAAAAGTATGTCATAATCCGCAACACTATATTTTACTGTTGCTGGTAAACACTACCGAAGGAATTCTTGAAATTTCTTGTGCGTACATCAATTTCTTTCATACCATATTGTTTTTGACAAAAAATATAAAGTATAAGAATCCGCATCACTATCTTTTACTGTTGCTGGTAAATATTAAAGAATTCGTGAAATTTCTTGTGCGCGCGTGAAATAAAAACCACTTCCGAAAGACGTCATAAGCTCACAACTATTTTAAAAGCTTTTGTGTGACATGCAATAAAATATAAATGATCTCAGCTCAAACACCCCAGAAACTTTTTTACAGAGAGCCGTGTAGTCATTTTAACTCAACACGGGGATCGATTTCTTTGTAGTGCTGTGGCTTAGAAATGGAACTGGCCAAGCTTGCTTTCTTTGTAATATCCCTTTATTCAGCTCACCTCACAGTAGCAGGTAAGCCTCAGATTTCAGACGCATTTCGAACTTTATCCATGCATCTCCAGTGGTGTTTAGAACAATCGTACTAAGCAAGATACACTTTCTCTTTGTTCTTGGGAAAACCTTTTCACGCCCTGTCTCAGCTCCGTTACCTATCTTTTGTTTTCCAGTAAATGCAATGACAATTTACACTTGCACGGGACGGTTCGATGATGAAAAACTGTCATAATGGAGATTTTTCGCAGTTTCATCAAACTCGTAAAAATGCGATCGTTACGACGGAATTACTGTAACAATCGATACCACAATTGGACATGCATCGTTAATTGACTCGATTATAACAATGTTCCGAAAGGAAACGTGATGGCACAATTAAGGGAGGTCCCTCTTCCTCTGGAACTTCGATATTTCTTAGAAGTAGGCGGGTTGTTCGCCCCACTCGGAAAGATTTTCCCAATATTTTCAACTTTGCGTCAATGCAGTACAAATAGCGCGCGTAGAAATATCCTCAAGCTTTTTATTTCTTTTGTTTCACTGGAATTTTTTGCAAGGTTGCCTCGAAACCGTAGCCTCGCGATAAAATCTGAAAAATCATTTTCCTTTTGTGCATTTGACATTTATCCTTTTAAATAGGTTCTAAAATAGTGTTTTATTATTTCAGCACCACTATGTCAAGATAAACATGACAAGTGCTCTGATCATGCAAGTTACTGCGGTAGTTACGACAACGTCAGGAAGCAGTGTCCACGGACCTGTAATCAATGCGGTATGTTATTTCTTTCACGCTCAGTTATCAAGATCATGCATGCATGATTTTAGTAAGGCTTTTAGGGTTTTGTTTCCAGTACACTCATCAAGCTAATCTATTTTCATTACAGCCTTAATTTATCCTTCGTTGTCCGTAACTCCAACGCAAAGCCTACCCACCGGAGCTACACCGCACACTTTCGCTACACTGCAAAGTTCGATGGCTGCGCTTGGTAGCCTGGCTACTGAACAAATCGCCACTTCGCTATCACAAGTTCCATCTCGAACGCAAACATCGAAAGCATTTTCATGCAGCCTTACACAAACACGAGCTAGTCACCTTGTGTCACAGACACAAAATTTAAATGACTTCACCACGGCTCAAAGCCCGAGAGAAGTTTTACCAGGCTCCACCAGTCTTCCAACAGAAACCACTGATTATACGTCAGAGCCAAATATTTGTGAAGAAGACGGAGATAAACAACAAAATACTGCCATCAGAACAGCTGGATCATCAGCAAACATCTTGATGATTCTGACAGTCTCACGGATGTATGCATTCTTGTGACAGAGATAATATTGAAAAGATGAGAGCGCACTTCAACTAAGTGTCGTGAAACTAATATCAGAGAAAACACAACAGTCAATCAGAAGAAAGGGTATTGTCATCAAGAGCCCGCGAGAACACACGGTAAAAAACAAGTGAGCCGCCTAAGACACGCAGAACCGCAAGTAACCAAGGCGCGTTTGGGTTTAGTTTGGCCTCTGAGGCGCAAGTGTCCTTGACTAGTGAAATCCCGGATTACATTCAGTACTAATCAGTTGAAGATTGTCCTCGCTTGCACATGGAATCTATTTCTCAAAGGATTGCTTTTCAGAATATCCAAAATTAGAGTTATTAATAGAGTAACCTTTTGATATAAATAGTAAACTGAAAGCGGAAAATGCGTGACACGCCGTTTAGACCAAGCTCAAGCAAAGCAGTTGGTAGATATATTAACCTTTAAACATCTGAAATCGGATCATGTAAAACTTCTCCGTTAAAAGTATGATATTTGAACTTCCCTTACAGCTTTTATTGATGTTACATATAAACGTTTTTTCAATTCCATTCCGTTAACATATTACTATTTATATTTGTATTTTGTTATTTATAAATTTTCCTCACAACTGTCACTCGTAAAGTTACTCTGAAGATTAGTTAAATAGCGGATTTGCTAATATATAAGCAAACCACTGTTCAGTAGATCAGTTTATCAATTCTCATCATTTGTTTCCTTCAAAACAAATCAAACCTATAAGGAAATGTTACGTTTCAAATACTTCCGAGAGTTAAAAAGTTAAGAGGGAGTAAGCCAAGATAAGGCGAGGCAGAAGTATATATTGATCAAGAAAACATTGGCTTGGTAACCACGCTAGATCCAGGCTCTTATCATGCGCCTTGATACCTTTATTTACCCCTTCGAAATATAATACTCTCCATCACTACCTCGACTTCTGTCTGAAAATAGCTTACATGGGAAATTTCAGCTCATAGTAGAATATTAAGCTATAAAGTCAACTGACTTATATCAGAAGTATCGAATTCATGGATTTTACGCAATTTACCTTCTTCCTGCTATTCTTTATTTATCCTCTGAACCAACGAGCAAAGGCAGGTACGTATCTATACTTATTTACCCCAAAATTGCCCATAGTCATTTCCGCAGACCACCCTAAGTTTATTTACCACACATTTTTCCTCTGTCGTGCTGTCCTCTTTTTAAAATCTTTCCCTACTCAAGATGAAGATCTAACTGTTGAACTCGTCTGAAGATAATTTATCAATATCGCAACTACTTATCGTACGACTTTCTCGAGCTTTTGGTCAAGATTTCAAGTCGGGTAAGAGTTATCTCTTTCTCGTGACCTTATTTGATGTTTATGAAAAGGCAACTCACATTCCCGAGCAATTTCAGGCTTGCTAGGCTTACATGGAATGTATTTGAAAATCACAAATTGTACCAATCTGTGTTTTGTTTCAAGGGGAGTAAGTTTCTAAAGAAACTTTGTTGCAAGCTGCGTCGGTGAGAGAGTATAACAGTGTAATTTAGTATCACGAACTGAGTTGATAACGTAAAGTGGCCACCGCAAAGAGTTTCAAAGCTGACGTTTCGAGCTTTAGACCTTAGTTAGAACGAACGAGCAGCCCCAAAACTCTCAGTTCGTGCCACAAGTTTTGTCCCGTCTTAGGAGCATTTTTCTGTAGATTTTCGCGTAGTGGCATGAACTGAGAGTTTTATGGCTTCCCATAACATATGAAATAGTTTCATTTAAGTAGTAAAAGTGCGGAATTCTTTTGAAGTCAGTCGCTAGAAATATCAATCACTTGGAGCCAAAAAGACTGAGAGCTTTGTGTTATCTCGAGATAAATTTATGCCTCAAACGCATTTATCTTTTGTGTTGTTTATTATAAAACAAACTCTTGTTTACTCTAAAATCAGATCAGAAAAGCTACCGAAGAAAGACACATAGCCTTAAGCTAACTGCTGACAAAACCATTACAATGACAGACTTGTCGATACAATAATAACAATTAAACGTACAGAGAATACAAGGCAAAGGAAGGAAAACCCTCTTAAGAGTGTCTATATTTTACTGTGGACGAAATACGCTCTTAGCTCCATTGGGTGAAGTTTCCGTTGTTATATCACACTAATGACACTCAAGCGGACTCTTGCAACTGTCGTTGCATAATTCGATAACCTTTTTTTTTTACTATAAGCAGAAAGAGCATGACCGAAACATACGATTACGAAAAAGAATGATTTCGTTACGACAATTTACTTTTGATACATCAGAAACATCTCCTTTCAAACAGAACCCCGGCCTTCTTTTTCCGCAATCCTCTAGTAATCCTACAACCTCTTCTCTTTTTCTAACCCCATGTACGAACTCCAATTAACGAGATTACAACTCTTAAATCAGAGGAGACCCGCATATAGAAAGAGCCTTGTGGCTGAAATGGGCTCCTTTCCAAGACCCCATAGAGTCTTTACTAGTTGGACAATGAGTACGGAATCACTTAAAAATTGCACAAATTCCTTAATTTCCTCTTTGTAGGCGGTAGGACATCAGCCCTGTGCCAGGATGAGATTTCGACTTGTCCCGAATGGGCAGAACATTGTAGTGTATATTTACATGTAAAGCAAAAGTGTCCGCTGACCTGTAAGCAGTGTGGTAAGTTGACATACGTTGGCATTTCCCTGAAAAAAGTAGATTAATACAAACTTAACCGGACATTTCACTCTCGCCCAAGTGTATCATATTTTTTATTGACATCTCAGCTTATTTATCTAGTTTAGTGATTCTATTCCATAAGTCTTGTACCTATCATCAGTTTTTTTCAATCTAGTGATTTTACGAGTCACGGCTGATAGACACGGAAGGCAATTGTATGTTACCAAGCTTCTGTACAGCGCCAGAAGTTCATTCCGACGATGCGAAGGACTTTCATTTCCGGAGAAAATGTTAAAAAAAATTAGACCCTCTAGGCATTGGGTCAAATGTGGGATGTTTCACCTTAATACTTCCTTTAATAAACTTTCACTGAACAAGTTTAAGACGGTAGACCATAATTGTGTGTCATCGTGGAAGGAATTGAATCAAAACTGAGGTTATAAGTGAGAGAAATACACTCAAAGTTTCCGTTCATTGAAGCTAGTCAAAACGTACACCCTGTTAAAATCATCTTTGATTATAACAGATTCTTTTTAATTCCTGAAAATGACAGCCGTTACCTGTTATACAAATACCTCGGCCCAACAAAGAAACTTTGAAATATTGAACTTAAAAGTTCCGAATTTAACTCGTTGCCTTTTTTCCTTGTCAGATCATTTCGTCTCTGTTTTTTATCTGTTTTTCTTTTAACGAATTTCTTACTATTTCTCCTGCTATAGATGACAATTCGCCTTTCACGCTTGTAACACCTTTTACGTCATCACGTCACCTCGTCTCAACGCGATGTACTTTATTCACCACCAGAACAAGTACCGTTGAAATTATCAATAGAGGGACGTCGTTAAAAAACACCATAATAACACCAGCGGCATCAACAACACCAGCGGTATCAACATCACCAGCGGCATCAACAACATACTTCACTCAAGTGAATGCACTTTTGACCTTAGGGATCATTTGGAGTCATATTCTCTGTCACTGATGATGTTACAAGTTGCTAAAAACAAGTATCACAAAATAATTGTTCACCTGTTGCGCCAGGAAACATCACCTACAAAATTTCGATTATGGCAACAAACATTTGAAATTCAAGGCTACTATGGGCCCAATCCTCAAAATTTCTTGTAACTTTTGCGGGCTCGAATCCATATTTCAAAGCCTAAATCTAAGGAATTATATTGCAGTTCAGTTTAAAACCAATGCATTTTCTTCCACTTCCTGTTATTATCATGGTTTGAATTTCAAAACCATCATCATCTCCATCCTGAATGGAGACACGACAAACAAAAAGCAGCTTTAAGGGACTGAGAACTACCGCGTTTTTCAGGAATTGCGTCCCACGTCTTTCATGATAATTTTTTTTGGTCGAGTGATGTCTGCACGCAAACTTAGTGAGAAAATTCACGGCTTATTCCTGGGCAATCTCTCTTAATCTTGTGTAGCTGATCTCCTGTGAATAAGGTTGCATGTTCTACGCTTACAGCTTGAATACCACTTCAGAGGACGAATGGACTCAGCATGAGTAGCCTGTGGTGAAGCCGGACGTATTATTCATCCCGGCTGTGGGGGATGACTGTGACGCAGGCTACGCATGGAGAGCCCATGCGTTAAGAATTGGACTTGTTATTTCAAGATCCTCTTGAAACTTCGAAAGCAGTATATTAAAAGATAATTTTAGAGGGATTTCTATAATTAAGGTTTTAAGAAGGTTTTAGTCGTATAGATTTATTCTCTCACGCTGATAGGCTTATCTCATAACATATCATCGTGTGACTTGTCCAAGAATGGAAGCTGAATACCAAAACATCAAAGTGATCAAACCTTTCTTGACTTATAAGAAATTCTAGGTGCGAAAAAGTTATGATTTCCTGACTTTAAGCGGTAAAACACTTGTAATCCCTTTGTTATGACATCCTTTAGACACAAATAATAGTACTTAAAAAGAAATATTCCCATACGTAGAATTTGGATAAATTCCGAAGCTGTTTCATCGAAGCCTTAACTGCAGGCAAACAGCGATGCTCACTAAATTTCAAAACATAGTCAGCAACTGCGCACGCGCTGTTGTTGAATTAGGTGAGGAGTAGTTGTGTAGTTACTCAGATACTGACATTATCGCTATCTCCTAAATCAATAAAAGAGTAAAGAAGGTTTAAAATTATTTCTGGCGTAATGGATTGGGCGAGAAACTACGAAAGGACGAGAAATTTGTGTCCTTAAACTGCTTTCCAATGAAGCCAGGTGGACTATCATGCTGGTAACCCTTTGACCCGTAAGAGTGGAAAGCATAGAATTTTTCCCAACAGTATCCCGTTATTTAGGGTCATAAGGAAAAAGGAAATGATCATGAACTCAGGGAGTGGCAGAGATTTTGGACATTAAAGGCCGATTTTTAATTTTGGACACTAGTTGCCGAATTTGGATTTTGAACACTAATGGTAGTTTTGGATTCGGGTCACTGGTGGCCCATTTTTCATTTTCAACACTAGTGGCCGATTTTAAATTTTGGACACTACTGGCCGATTTCAAATTTCGGACATTACTGGCCGATTTTAAATTTTGGACACTACTGGTCGATTTTGGACACTTATAGCCAATTTTGGATTTCGGACAATAGTGGCCGGTTTTGGATTTTGGCCACTAGTGACCAATTCGGATTTTGGATTTTGAATACTAGTGGCCGATTTTTGATTTTGGAAACTAGTGGCCGATTTTGGATGTTGGATTTTGGATTTGGACACTGGTGGCCGATTTTAAATTTGGGACAATAGTGACCGATCTTGGATTTTGGCCACCAGTGGCCGATTTTGGATTTTGGACACCAATGGCCGATTTTAGATTTTGGAGGTTAATGACCGATTTTAAATTTTGGACACGAATGGCCCTTTTTTTATTTTGGACACTAAAGGCCGATTTCGGATTTGGGCTACCAGTGGCCGATTTTAATTATTTGGACACTAGTGGACAACTTTGGATTTGGGCCACTAGTGGCCGATTTTGGATTTCGGACACTAGTGGCCGATTTTGGATTTTGAACACTGGTGGCCAATTTTGGATTTTGGACTCTGGTGGCCGATTTAGGATTTGGGCCACTTGTGGCCGATTTTTAATTTCGGACACTAGTAGCCGATTTTGGATTTTGGACACTAGTGGCCGATTTTAAGTATTTGGACTTTTCACTAGGTTATTTCACCGCGAACAAAGCTTTCCGGTTAATTAAAACAGAGAATTGGTTTCCCTTGAGCAATGACAATATTTAAGTGTTCTTTTTAATTTGGAAATTGTAATTTTATGATTAATTGGTAAAGGACTGTGTCATTTGTTTTGGTCTGTAATCACACTTGTGATAAACAAATTGTACTTCCACTATGCAGTCGTCTGATTTTGTTATCACTCATATGATTACAGACCAAAGACTACTCAGTCCTATTACCACTTATTACACAATCTAGCATGTGAATCTTATCAAGCTGACCAGCTTCACTTTTCCTCTGTTTATTACTTTATTCCAGATTAGAGACAGGAATACAAAATCAGGACCACCCAGTAGCAAATTTGCTACTGTTAATTTAATTGATCCATCTGAGCTTCAACCAATCAGTGAAAAGGAATTAATACTAGGACAGGGTTCATATGGCCGGTGCATTTTAAAATCTTTCAAAAGATTAAATGTTCTTGTGGTAGAAAAACAATGTCTGATGCAAAGCACTAAAGACTTATGGAGGAATTTTATTTCATTATTAAGTTTCATTGTGGCAACTTCACCTTCACCTAACTTCTTCGCATAGCTGCATACCCACAAATATGTCGTAGAAAAGCCGGTTAAGACAACAGGCAAAAGAATGGAGTCTTTTATTAAGATTAAAGAATCATATTACGACATTCATAAAATTAACCAGGACTCCATTCACGGTGAATTTATAGTTTGAAAGGTTATGGAGTCGCATTATCAGGACCCCAATAAAAAAAATCAAAATGCCTCCATTCCCAATAGACCCGGGGAAATAACGCTGCGGGAGATGATACTTGCCCAATCCCCTCCTCCAGGTGATCATAAAAAAAAACAAAATCCTCCGACTTCACCCCAACCCCCTCCTCCAGGTGATAAATAATGACCAGTCCCCAAAGTCCCTGCACCTGTAAGCGCAGCTAGACGTGTCAAAAACTTATGACATGCGTGCGCATCTTCCTTTGATTCTTTACCTCACAAACCCTCTGAATTTGAGAACAAGCCTCGTAAACCAGAGCAGAAGGACGGCGGTTGATCACTCCTTTAAAGATTTTGTCACATATATCTATCCAAATATCAACTTCCTTAGTAACAACTTCAGGTTGAATTCCAAGGATAATCAATGGTGGTGGATTTACTCTGTGCTGCGCGAGTCGAGAACTCGACCGAGAGCGCATCGTGCACTTGTAAACCTGTTTACGCTGCTATAATCCCTAACATTGCCATCTCAAGTTTTCTATGTTATACCACAGCCATGATGAATATTGTGACAATCTACGCTCTGGGAAAAACGTCGTCGATCTTAAAGCCTTTAAAAATATTACTTCTGAGCCTTGCAGTTTCTGACCTCTGCACTGGACTAATAAGCCTGCCGTTGAACATCGCTTGGCAGATCCAAATGCTACGATGCAACTTGGATAAGATCCCTGCAGTTTTGAATGTCTTTTGTTCGAATTTTCTGTATCTATCTTCGCTTTTGGGGCTAACTGTTCTAAGCGCAGATAGATTCGTTGCCATTCAGATGCCTTTGCGATACAAGGAACTTGTGACTCACAAACGAGTGGTTATCATAGTCATCGCAAAGTGGCTTTTCTGTGCTATTTTTACAGTGATCGATCTTTTCTTTACCCCAAAAGATTTTTCTTTTGCGATCCATTTTACAATAGAGTCAACTTGCTTTGTTCTTTCGACATGTTTTTCTTTCAAGGTATATTTGACAGCGAAGCTCCACAGGCACCGATTCCTCGCCCGATCACAACAGGTTGCTCAAAGCAATGAACGAACTCTCGCGAGACTCCGGAAATCTGCACTTGGTACGTTTTGGATTTATCTCGTGTTTTTGGCTTGTTATCTGCCGAATTTTATTGTTTATTGCATTTTTCATCTAAATGTACATACTGAAATGCAAACTCTAGAAACCTGCGCGGCGACGCTTGTATATGTAAATTCATACCTCAACCCTATCATATACTGTTGGAAGATGAGACCTATTCGACGAACCATGATGAACAGCCTTCGAGGCCTTATTAGAAAGTGATAACTATTTCAATGGAGAACAAAACCATTTTTTGTTTAACAAAGAACAATTGTACGGAGCGTTTTTCTCGGACCGACCGGCAGACATCATGTCAAGTGGTTTCAGACCTTTTCTATACCGCCCTATCAGGATTTATTAGATATTTTTATACCAACATATATTGGTTCCATAGTCTACTACTTGCTGATTCTTAACGTAATTACTAGACTATTTTCTAGCTATCTTTTAGTTCTTTTTTTTGTACGATAAAAAGGTAAAACGGGAGCTGGTAATCAACAGTCGCCGAAATAGCTTGCCTGCAGGTGGAAGCGGAAAAAATAAGAAACAAAATCATGTAGTGGTTATTTGAATAAAATTAATATCGACTTTGAAAAGTCTGTTCAATTCCGTATTTTTTCTAACAAATATGGCCCACAAAACGATTAGGACTAGCAGGGGGCATTTGGTGGACGCACCACAAGTTCTGTTAAAAAATACAACAAATATCCCTGACATACGATCCCTCGTAAACAAATTCAGATTAATTTAACCCTGGCTAAGATCTAGCCAAAGCATTTGTAACGATAGTGCATTTGGACACCCCACTATGATATGAACACTGCACCTATACACCAAGCCATTTTAGAGTATAGACTGGAGGTAGCAATAAGATTAGACCGAAGCCGTATTGAGATGACTGCATATGAATAACTAATTTGCTTTCGATTCGGTTTCGGAGCCTCATTCAAGCTGGTAAAATGTAGTTTAATACTTGTCCCTTTTTTAAGTCTATCGAAAATTTTGCTCATATATGCATCTAATTGTTCAATCGCTTATTTACATCATTCTATAGTTAAAAGTTCCACTAACGAGACTATCCTTTTTTAATTTTTTCCTCCGAGATAACCCAGGCTATTCTCTATATATTTTTTCATTTTTTTTTTAAAATAAAACTATCGTAGAGCATATGTACCAGGGACCAGATGGAGATAAAATTAATGCAGGCGAAAGACACGGCATCTAGAGTCAAATCTAGTCTTCATATTGGAGGACAGACGCATGGATAAGGTCACCATTAAGAGGCTGTCCGCGTCAGAACGGATAAGGAAAATTTCGACCAATCACCGATTTCCCTAAGTTTTTCACTGAAGTCAACAATGTTATCCCATGTACAAATATCACATTTATTTTGATCAATTTTATTAATTTTATTTTTTACGAGACAATTTTAAAGGTCACCCCAAAACTGCCCAATTTGTCTTCTGTAACCCCTATAATTAAGCTATAAGTATCGAGCACTGCCAAATCCTTTTTTCCCAATCTAGAAAGCTGATTATTTTACACATTTAAGAATGAATTTATTTCAATACTTCAAGGTGAAGAGTGAGGAGTGAGGTACATGCGGTTGAAAGCTATTTTCTCTTACGTGGGACCTGATCTAGAGTCAAGTCTATTGCAGCTTAAAAGTACTTAGATAGAGCAAGTTAAACATAGAATAAAACTTTTGGGCACTCCTCATCCTGCGCCGTAGAGAGCTTTGTGAATTTCATAAATATCCGACGTCTTGATCGAAACCAACGATAACGCAGTCCGACCAGCAGACAAGTTTGTAAAGCTTAACAGCCCTAAAAGGCTTAAAGGTGCAGGAACAGTTATGTGATGGAGTATCAAGATCGATATTAACCATCATTCTGGCCTTTTTTAAACGAAATGAAAATACTTTTAAATTCCTTTAAGTTTCCGTAACAACATTTAGCCTTTCAAAGAAGTGTTTTTGAGAATGTGGAAACTCAATTGCTGTATCCTTTCTTGAATGCATTACGTAAAATTTCAAGAGCCATTTTCTTTGAACACAATGCGCTAACGGAATCCAGTTTGTTTTGAAAAATAAAGTTGTTCATTTCGCTCAAGTGTTTTTATCTCGATAAAACACGGTCCGACAGTTTATTAATATCGGGACTGAGAACCACCTTAAAATCAAATAGTAAATAATGAGAGGTTGGTACATCAGAAATAAGCATCATATCACGTTTAAGCCGTTGTATTTGAGATATAGGTGTGCTGAAGAACAAACAAGGAGGGAGAGCGTTCTTGCGGTTAATAAATTATGCAAATTTGCTACAGAAAGTTATGTAATATGTAGTTTAGGACACATTTTCTTTTGGGCGTTTTCTTTATGACAAAGAGTTATGTGTGTGTTTTGTTTCTTTATTTTTATTGTAGGAATTTTTTCCGCATTTTCAAGACAAAAATTTTGTATTATATTTTTATGACCATTTTCATTTTCTATGAGGCGCTAAAAAAGAGTCGTGTGTTTCTGTTTCACCTAATTAAATTACTGATTAATTTTGATAAAGAAAGTCGACGGCAGCTACATTTCCTTTTAATACAGGTACATCTCTTCAAAAACACACGAAGTGTGTTTTTCTTAAAGCTTATTAAAGTTAAAATTTTTTAACTTTTCTGTGTGGCATTTCTATTTTTTGCGAAAGAATATTTGGCAAACTTGTTTATTTCTTCCTAATTCAATTAAAATCTGTCGGGAACAAAACGATTTGTCGGCAAGATTTTCAGACAAATCCGAGACAGTGTTTCTTGGGAAGTTTACTTTGATAGCACTAAAAATGCCTGCTGTACCCCCAAATTGTTCTCTTTACGAAATACTGCAAAGTCGGTTCTAGTGGGGAGGAAGTAGAGCATGTTTTGCTCTCCGAGTGTAACGCAGATATATCCGCCCATTTGGCGAGCTGCACCTTGTCAAAATACAGCGAAGTTACAAAAGCCAAGTTAATCATGGCTAGAGCGGGAATTCAGCATTTTCCGAGAAGTCAGCTCGAGAGAATGACCCGAGGCACAGACACTTACTAGGTAGATTCTAACGAGGTCCAAGATCGTGCCAATACCCCGGCCATACTGAGAAAGTTACAAGTGTGACGGGCAGCCACGTCATAACCTTCCAAATAGCTGACAAAATAAGACTTATACTTAAAGAAATCGCAGCTGTAAGATCACGTAAGTACCAATAGCCTTGTGGCTCTCTCTAGTTCTGTTTCCTCAATTGTCAATACTCATATAAGTTTTTGTTGTTGTTAGTCACATGTACATTTCCCTTGGTTGATTATTGCTGTCGCAGTCGTAAATACAAAAATGCGTTTTTTATCATCAACCAAGGAAATTTCTTTAATTCTTTTGTGCTATTGCTACACTAAGACTCCGGGACAGCCTGGTTGATGGCAATGAAGGACACAAATATAGTCCTGAGCGGTGAATCTGCATCTCCTCCCCATGCCTCGCACGATGTCGCCCCTCTTTTACTCGTCTCTACGGTTCGAAAACACTTTTCCTTTATCTCACACCCACAACGACAACTGTTACGCACGATAGAGACTATAGGCCACCTAGATGTGTTTGAAACGCCTGGCATTTCTATTTCAAATGATTTAGGCTAAGCTAGACGATGACGATGACGATGACGATGACGATGATAAAGACGACGAATTTTTTATCAGTTGTATTGATGCAATTTTATAGCTATTTACACCACTTGCCAAAAGAAGCATTCTGAGCGACTGTTGGGTTTGGGATGGCACAGTTCTACCAAAGGTTCAGTCAACCAGGTGCCTGAGGAGAAGATACATCATCGTGTTCGCATTGATATGACCAAAGTCGATCATTTCGTCGAGTTCATTAATCGCCCCATACTTTTATCAAGACGTGTCTTACGGAACTAAATTCCTTAAGCTAGACAGTGGCGAAACCATCGAGATGCAGAACTTGGTGCGTACCGTGACGCGGTCTACGATGATTAGCCAGTACATACAGTTCTGTCAGGAGGAGAAGTTTGAAGCTCTCAGTCGCACCACTTTATTCAAGATCCTAGAAGTCAGACGAGCCTCACAGAGAAAGTCGTTACAAGGCCTCGACAATACTGCTGCCGATGGCTCTGCTGGTTTCCAGAAAATTGAAATGATTGTCGATGATCTAGAGAAAGGAGGAATGAATAAGCAATGTTGCGATGAGGTTAAGGAAAGGCTTAAGAGTGGAAAACGCTACTTAAAGACCAACTATCGCGTTCACTGCAATACAGAGAAAGCTTTGTGTCCTGATCATTGCCGCAAGTTCGCTTTAAGTGACGAACAAGATCCTGACTTCCAGGAGAAATGCTCCCATCAACACACAGAAAACTGTAACGAGTGTCAAAATCTGCGAAATGTCTTAGATGAAGTCGAAGACAAAGTTTGAGGTCCATTTTGGATCCCTTACGGCAGTGAACATCGAGACGATCTGCTATACGACTTCAAACTGGCACAGACAGATACTTTTGAGTGGAAGGTTCACATTGTTCACTCTGTAAATCAGGAAGCAGCAAAGCAAGATCAGCTGAAGACGATAAGTACTAATCTGAACTGTGCACAGGTAATAATAGACTGGGCAATGAAGTTCCTTCAGCTTAAATATCGTGAGAAGCAATCAGATTGGTGTGGCAAGAGAGGATTGAGTTGGCACATCTCGACGGTGATCACACGTGATTCGAACCTTGAAGGAAGACTAGAACTGCGGTCATATGCCCATCTGTTTGACGCATGCCAGCAGGACTGGTTCGCTGTGTGTTCCATCGTAGAAAGCACACTGAGAGTAATTAGGACCGAAAAGCCTCACATCACCCGGGTTTATCAGCGGTCAGATGAAGCAGGCTGTTATCATAATAACTCCCTCGTTGCTGCGGCAAGAGGAATTGGTAAGCGGGTTGGTTTTTCGGTACGACATTTCAGAGCCACACTATGGCAAGGATGTATGTAATCGAATTCTGTGTCTGATGAAAACATGCATCCGACGTTTCTGCAACGAAGGACACGACATTCTGGGAAACCAATGAAAGGTATATCCGCATGCGTTTGCGAAGTTGACGAGGCGTAGATAACCCTAGAAGTGAACAAGATAGATGGTTTTAGCAAGCTTCACAATGTCCAGTTTGAGGAGAAAGGTATTCGTGTGAGGAGGTCGTACGGAATAGGGCGTGGTAAGGAAATCTCTTTTGACCAGCTGGTGTTAAAAGGCTAAGGGGACACTGGTATCATTGTTAGTGAAACATTTTTCCTTCTTCATGATGCACGTGTTTATCAATTCTCAGATCCTGTGACAGAGAGTTCAGAAGAAAAGAATGACTGGGATGATTCGAATATAAGCATGTTTGTAGGGAATCATTGCGTCAAAGATGAAAGGCCGTCAGAAACGCTATATGATAAGCTTTGTAGAGATTAGGTAGACAGGTTTACTACATCAGTCAACGTCACTGAAAATGAACCGTCTGAACCTACTATCCACCAAAGTGAAAATGTCTCAATACCCGCGTTGCATACCGTCATTATGGGTTGGGCCCTACACTGGCCACGAGCAGGATCCACTAGATTCAGTGACAAAATTAAGAAATATCTAACTGCAAAGTTTGACCTAGGGGAACAATCAGGCTAAAAGCTGACCCTCAGCAATTCTCAAATGATATGCGCAAGACAAGAGATAAGCAGAATAGACGGTTGTTTGAATAAGACGAGTGGTTGACCAAGAGCCAAGTACAGGGTTTCTTTTCTCGCCGTGCAGAAAGCAGAAGAAGGCAACAAGCACACTCAGAAATCGAGCACAATCCAAAGGAACAATTTCTGGAGGAAAAAGAAGCTGAAAGACAACAGCTGATGGTGCAGATTTCTAACGAACTGAGGCCGCCACACCCTCTGTCTTACGACGCCTTTAACTTGTGCGAGTGTGCAAGGGATAATAAGTTGAGTCTTTTTAATGTTTCACTGCTTAAAGAAATCTTTTCTGAAATACCATTTAAATCAAGAGATAGGAAAAAAGACCTGATTGAGCAACTGATTTCCTTTGTACAAGAATGTCAATGCTTTAATGAAGTGTAACACGCGGGCCGCGGTTGGGATGACTGTCAGCATTGGGCCCTGGCAAACCAGTGATAGGGCATTTAGAGTGAATTTGCTGAAGAGCAATGTGCACCGCCTCTAAGTACCCTGATGAACAGTTCTATATCGATGAATGAAAGTGCTTAAAGCATTGACATGTAACTAAACCCGTGAAAATCATTTTAAAATTGGCGCCTGTTATTTTGTAGTCATGCCTTTAATGTCAAAACAAAAAAATCATAAGCCTACCGTGACCGTGAGTCATGTTGACCCTCACTCTATAGCATGTACGAGCATTTATAAAAGAGATTTTCTCTATTGCCTCCTCGAAATTTTCTCAATGATTTATGCCTTTAACTTAAATTACTAAATTCACTTACCTACTTTTGGAAACGTTTATTAAATTAAATATACCAATTTCTATCGGTTGCATAATTTCTCAATTTCTTCTGGGAGATTTTCATACTCTCGATGGAGAAACATCAACATATCGTGATATAAATGCCGAACTAAATGTTTCTCTAATCTGAGTTCACCAGCCATGAGACAATCTTCTAATGCTGGTATTGCGTGACTAGGCTAGTTCACGGCAGTCCACAGTCACGCTTAAAAATATCCATGGCGTTAATCATGAGAACCAACTAGCTCACAATCTAAAAAACTTTCACAAATAGTAAGACAAAATTTTTCCCCAAGTAAGGGTGAATTATTTTCCTGAAGAAAAACGGCCAGAAGGAGGTCTGAAAAGATTATGCACAAGATAAAAACACTTGCGCGAAATGAACAACTTAATTGTCAAAAAAAAACTGGATTTCCTTAGCGCATTGTGTTCAAAGGAAATGGCTCTTGAAATTTTACGTAAAGCTGTCGAGAAAGGATACAACAGATGAGTTTCACATTTATAGGAACACTTCTTTGAACGGCTAAATGTTGTTACGGAAACTATTTTTGACGCGTATTATAGCACGAACGCATGAAGCTAATTTGCATATAGGAACTATTAACGAAGTATTTTTCCGGAAAATTTGAGCCATTTCGTGAAAAAATGGCCAAAATGATGAATTATATCGATCTTGATACTCCATCAGATAATCTTTGCGGCACCTTCAAGTATTTTAGGGCTGTTACGCTTTAGAAACCTGTCTGCAGGTCGGACCGCCTTATCTTTGGTTTCAATCAAGATAGCGAATATTTATGAAATTCGCTAAGCTCTCTACGGTGCAGGATGAGGAGTGCCCAAAAGTTTTATTCTATGTTTAACTTTCTGTTTCTAAGTACTTTTAAGCTGCAATAGACTTGACTCTAGATCAGGTCCCACGTAAGAGAAAATAGCTTTCAACCGCATGTATCTCACTCCTCACAAATTTCAATGCTCACGATAAGGTATTTGGAAAGTTTCATAACTCGGTTAAAATTTTATAGAATTCAATCATTTTACCTTTAAAGTATTGAAATAAAGTAATTCTTAAATATGTAAAAATAATCAGCTTTCTAGATCGGGAAATAAGGATTTGCTAGCGCTCGATATTTATAGCTTAATAATAGGGGTCACAGAAAGAAAATTGAGCAGTTTTGGGGTGACCTTTAAAATTGTCTCATAAAAAATAAAAAGAATGAAAATGATCAAAATAAATGTGATATTTGTACATGAGATGGAATTTTCGACTTTCACTGAAAAACTTAGGGAAATCGGTGATCGGCCGAAATTTGCATTATCCGTTCTTACGCGGACAGCCTCTTAACAATTCTTTGTTGTTTTTTAACATAACACAAACAGATTCCATGTTGCTCTGAGTCTGTACAGTAATACATCAAAGGAGAAGTTAAATGGTAGGAACATCCTTGGCGCACTCGGCTGCGCTTCCATCGTTTGCCACTTTTTTATTCTTAACACATTTCTTCACAGCCCACAACAGCTCGACGTAAGTAACGTTGTCTGATTTGATTTGTCTGCATGAAGATTCGGCTGATAATGATACTAACAGATTATTGGCTGACGTATTGACTGACGTATTGACTGACGTATTGACTGACGTATTGACTGGCGTAGATTTCCAGTCGACCAATCATAATGCAAGTGCTCAGAACAATACGAAAAATAATACGAGGTTTCAACCTGCAAACTTGAGTAAATAAATGGTCTCAGTACTCCTTTGGTTACGTAAGCCACAAATTTAAAAAGGCAGTCATGTGGAAACGATTTATTACCTGGTTACGACCTTATTTACGATGTTTATCTATTGTAATTGTATCAAGAGTTTTTTTCTTCCCACCAAATATCTTTCGACTTAGCTTGAGAGGAACTCGGTCAAAAGCCAATCATGATATTTGAAGTCTCAAAATTTATAAAATGAAAGAAGGAAATTCCATTTAAAGAAACTTAGAATGTTAAACTCATATTTCACGACCATGGGCCAGAAATAAAAAACCGTAATTTGGAAGGTTTTGGAGCTGCATACTTTCCGATTACCGCTCGGAAGCGTTACAACTGAGATATGAAAAAACGTGTAGCGAGATAGGCCGTAAGTAACACTCAAAATACATGACCTGTATGTTTCTAGCATCATCAGAGTCACAAGAGCTCAAATTGGCCGGAAAATAACACATTTTTAATTTGTTTCCAATCGATTCAATACCGTTCAGATGTTTCCAAGATAACAAATATTACATTTATGTGCGGTACTGGGTATTGAGTTGTTCGAACGGAATACAAATTTCGCAATACCGGCTTATCACCATGGAGTCGGTTTACTTTCTGCCGCATCACCATGAAATGTCTCGTATTCTGACGTCTCAAAGAGCAAACACAATCTTAAATCGGACAGCTAACACAAAAAGATCCTAAATAATAAATATACCGGCCCTCGGGTAATTTCTTCAAAGTAAATCTTATTACTTTTATCCCGACCAAAGTTTTTCCTATGGCTAAATGTTTTATTATTTCTTCCTATCTATTTTCATTGTATACGTCCATTGCTTGACAGATAATAGCTAAAAAGTTTACTCTCAAAAAACAAGCTCAGTGCTATTGTGTTTAGTGAATTTCCTTTGCAAATTGAGGAGGCACCTTCGGCAAACTTTCATCAAGGTTGTTTTTTGACACATGTTTTGACAACGGTGAAGCGAAACGAAAAGCGCCTCGCGATCGATTAAATTGGTGAAATCGTGCAACCGAAGCGACAGTGTCTCCGGAGAAAGGAAAAGGAGGTTTTTTTGTTTAAGCAATTTAGGAAATTGGAAAGAAGCACTTTTTGCATCAATTAGGCTGGCGTCTCCGGCAGCAAGCGAAAAAATACCAGTTAACTTGAATTTTTCCAGGAGAAACTTCCTTGACAGGAATTGTGAAGCTTGGAAGCCGGAGTAATTTCTAAAAAAAGAAAAATTATATGACAACGGAAGACATTTTATCTGAACCAGATCGATTGACATAGCCCGTAAATATGTTCTTTAGAATTGGCGTCTTTTAGGATTCTTTATTTAACCGAGGTCCGATAAAACCAGTCCAAAGATAAGGATTATCAGATGTTTATCGACCATTGCGGATGGAAAGTCAGCTCGGTTCTCAAGATATGTCATTGAGAGGCGTAAATTAACAAATATCTGCGATTAAGCATTTTATCACTTGACACTCTGATGTCATGAAAGTCCTCATGTAAATTCCTATCAAGCATCCAGTTGACCAATCAAATAGCAGGATTTTGTGAGCTCAACAAACACAAAAGGACGTGTCATCCGTCCTCTGACAACTGCTATATCGGTTTCGCAAATTTTACATAATAAGATTTTCACCTGCACATTCGAATGTGTATAAAGCTATGAACGGCGATCTCCTCTTTCATTTCCTACCAATTGGACGAAAACGCTGTTCTCGCGCCTAGGAGAGGTTCGACTACGGCTTAATTTGTCCAATCGTCGACTTCGCTTGGATTTCCCTCGGTAGAAACACATCTAAGGACTATTTGCACTCGCTGGCTGGGGCTGAATTTAAGTTTTCAACCTCACGACAGATTTCGGTCCAAGTTTCCATCATCATCTTCCTCCTGGAAGAGGACGCTTTTCGTCATTTTTCTGTTTTAGAACACTGAGCTTGACTGAGACTTGTTGTGCCTAATTCGGCCTTGATTTCTCTTCGTTCCAACTTGTAAGAAGACGCGTGTGGGCCAGGCGCGTACAAATCATTGACTCTGTAATTTTTGAATCGCATCCAACACATTTCGGATCAAGTCTCCACCTTTACGAAGAAGAGATCAACAGTGCTTTTCAGCTTCACTCGAGTTCTATTGAACCTCGCCTCAGTCCTTGATTTTCCTTAGTTCTTCGTTCGGATACACATCGAACGGAATAGAAAGGTCCTCTGAACTCACAGAGGTTAGAGGTTTTGAACTGGAACTCACACAGAAAAAGGTCAATTTTCCAAAAAGTGTCCGCGCTTTAAACGAGTTCCACTAGACTTGGTAAAACCCTCTATCTGTCTTTATTCTGCTGCGAGAGACACTTTTATCACCCGTAAAAGTTCGCTGGACAGAGTTTTGATTCGCGCCTCCAACAAACGGTTTGTCAATCCTCTGCGCTTTCTTGGATAAAACCCGATTCATCATCTTTCAGTTTTTTGCCAGCTAATTCATGAATTACACAGAGGACAGTGAACCTTCTAAAATGGCAGATTCGCACTTACCTGCTGTAGTCGCCAATATTGTCATCGCTGGCTTTCTGTGTTATACCACCACTATGATGAACACTGTAACAATCTACGCGCTGTGGAAAACCTCTTCATTGTCAAAACCTTTGAAAACATTGCTTTTAAGCCTTGCTGTATCTGATCTTGGTGCTGGCCTTCTGAGTCAGCCAATGTACATCGCCTTCTTGGTTGAAAAGGATTTACGATCCAAGAATCCTAAGACTCTTGACGATTTTTCTACAGTCGTATCCAACATCCTTTTTTTAACTTCGTTTTGCAGCATTACAGCCTTAAGTACAGACAGATTCCTTGCCATTCAGTGGCCTCTTCGTTACCAAGAAATTGTGACCCACAGACGAGTAGTGATTCTTGTCATGGCAATATGGCTAACCACTGTAGTCTTTATACCGATCGATGTCCTCGTGATAAGCCGAAAATTTCCAAGTGTCTCTACCGCAATTTTTTTCACCATCCATTCGCTGTCCTTTTTTACTTCCACATTAACTTCTTTCAGGATTTATTTAACAATTAGGCGTCATAGCATTCAAATTCAGACTCAAACACAGCATGTAACACAAAATAACGGCCTGATAAATATGGCGAGGATAAAAAAATCCGCTCAAAGCACTATTTGGATTTACCTCGTATTTTGGGTTTGTTATCTGCCCTACTTTTTTGTATATGTTTATGGTTATGTTGAATCTATTCCTCCACCTCGAGAGCTAACAATGTTCACGGTGACTCTTGTACTTGTAAATTCCGCCCTCAATCCGGTCATCTACTGCTGGAAGATCAGGCATTTTCGACCCTCCATCCTAAGAATCCTTCGAAAAATAACTAATCGCAACAACTTAGGCGAAAGATCGGTTTACAGCTTTGACGGATAAACAAAGATGGAAAACTCTGCGACCTTTTTCGGAAATATTCTTACCATCATTTCTTGTCTCGCTGCATTCGAGGCATTAAGGTTAAATGGGGCTCTTATCTGCTGCTCTTTGAAAAGAAGCCAAGGGAAGGCAAGAGAAACTTTTGACAAGTTCAGTTTGGGAGCCCTGATGAGGAAATATTTTAAAATCGATGTACTTCTTCAAACGGGGAAGATGACTCACAGAAAAAAAGGTGAAACGTTCTCTTGTATTATTAACTCAGACAAAGAAAAATCAAAATATTCATCAACTTTTAAGCGTCATGAACGAGAAGGTTAAAAGAGGACGAGGCAGCTGGTGAATTAAAAACCGCAAAATCGCATGCATTAAAGCAACGCTTACTTAACGAAAAGCATAGGAGAAGGTGAACTATAGTAAGGAGACGTTAGAAAGAACTAGAAGTATGAATTAAATTGAAAAGGGGTGGGGTGAGGCTCTCGTGGCTGAAGAAAGTGAAGGGCCTTAGAAACGATCATAAGTCTAAAAGGAAATCGACAAGACGAAAGCTGATATCTTATAGGGTATGTACATGTGGATAAAAATGGATAAAATACAGCGATTCTCATGTTTACAAATAGGCTGGGATATCTTGCATGATCAACTGTGGTGCAGCCGGAAACTGCAAGAGGTTAAACTGATTCAGCTTAGACTTTTCTCTCAAATTGCTTCAACATTGCACAAAAATATTGCATTTGCTTTGCTTTCTGATCTTAAGTCTCTTTACGGATTTCACCACAGTTCGTTTCGTGCGACAGAAAAAAAACTCCCGTAAAGCATAGCAATAAGTTCAAAAATTTAATGGAAGATTAATTTTTTGAGACAAAAATACCATTATATAAAAGAATATAACTCCAACTCCAACTGACCATGTAATATCCTCTTCTTCCCATTGTCATGATTTAAAACAACAAAGCCTACATTGGTGAATTCGAATGCGCTTTTAAGAATTGTAAAGACTCTCGAACGAGAAGGTTCAATAAGGCTCAGCACAGCTGTTCAAAGCTGTTTAACCTCCGGTTTTAAATGTGATTATTTATCGCGCTTTTAAAATGCATCCTCTAACTTAAGAATAACAACGTGTTTTATAAAATAACGACGTCTTAATGGAAAGGTCCGACTCCTCATTAACGAGCGACATTTACAAGCGTATCAAATTCACCCTTTCACAGTCCGAGCGTTTTAGAAACTTTTATCATCCTGTGGTCTGGATAATTAGTTAAAACACACTTATTTTTGGCAGTTTGAAGTTTTAAACGATTTCTGTCAGTTTTATTTGCCTTTTTGCGTTCCACGCCCCATTTTACAATCTTTAATTACACTTAGCAAGCAACAAACTGACAGCAATCAGTTAAAAAGGAATTAAGTCTTCATTACAGTGATGGAAAAGATCGTTGGCTTTTAAAAAAATATTAAAATTATCCATCTCTGCGATGGCTATCTTTTCTTTATTTACTTTTTAAACGAAGTATTGGTTTAAATCGTTCTCACAAAGCCAACGTTTCAAAAAGCTACTGAGGCCCATGGCTTATTCCCATATCTAAACGATGCTAAACCTACGTATTCTTTACCAAACCATGATCAAATTTCGTTTTTCTCTGAGCTATTGCCTTACTCTTTCTTTGAAGACTTAGAGCCGATTTTCTAGCTGCCAACTGGATTTAATTCGCGGCCCAGAAATCACCACTCAACACTTTGAAAGTTCCACTCTTTTTTGTCCATTTGAAGCCAGCGAGATAAAGCTTTTTTTTCAATTTGTGTAAGTTAAGTTTGGAATATGGACGACCTCCCTACATTTTCTAAAGTGTCCTCCGCTTTTACACGTGGTTTAAATTTTTTCTGTGTAATCAGATATTGAGCTGAAATAATAGAACCTTGTATATATCGAGCTCATGCATCCATAATTTTTCTTTAGCTCGGTGGTAGAGTATCGCTCCGCGAAAGAAGGTTCGAGGTTTCTTTTCAGAAGATCAGGCTCAGAATTCACCTTCTTTCGTAATATATTCATGGGCTAAATCTTTCAATGGAAATGTAAATGTAAAAGCCCGTAATACACTGACGTGTGCTTTTGCGTTAAAAAGGAGATCCTCATGATGTCCAATAGCTGGACTGGTATAACTTTTCTGTTGTCTCAGTCGTCTTTAGTTGCATGATTTCTGTTCGAAGTAAGAGGTATCTTCCGATGGTTTATCGTTTCCCATTGATTTCATATCCTCCGAACTCGAGACTTAAAGTTAGTCTCGCTCACATACCGAAATTCAAACAAATGTAATGAGGAACTGATGATCTAATGGTAGAAGATACCACCGCCCCTTTTTAAAAGCCTCGAGTTTGTCACGAATCCCCAAATATATAGTATTATACGTAAGAAGAACATGAAAATCATGTGAAGACATAATTGTCTGTGCCTTTATATCTGAGGACTGTGGCGTGTCTTATCCTTAACTTTAGTCGGCGTCGTGCGTGCCGGATGGTACTCTTCGATGGTTTCTTTACGTGTCGAACTTGTCTTGTTTTGTTGGGTTTTTTTTAATATTTAATTCTCAATGAAAGGACCAATCAGAAGAGTATAGGTTGTTTTCTTAGTGCATAACTTAAGAGGGGTCGTCATTTCTAATTGTAACAGGAAAAAAGCCTTTGTGAGAAGACATCATCTGTTCAGTGTAGAAAATTGCCTTCTGTAATTGTCCTAGCATTGTCAACTGTGTAAATAAGTCGACTTTTGTCTCCTGAAAATAACTAGTAACAATTTATTCAACCTTGGGTTCAGCAAAAATAAGGCAGATGTCACGAAAGTTCCTGTTAACTACCTTATGAAATAGCAAAGTTTACCTTTCGATGAAAACCTGAACACAATGATGGACAGTTTCATTGACAGTTTCCTTTTCTCTCGTCATGCTTGCATTGTCTTACATGTTCTGCAGACGGTGTACATCTGCAAAAGTACAAATTAACTTCAAGTGCTTAACTCTGAATGCTGGACTGTGACTTATTTAAAACGAGATCAACCGACCTGGCTTGGCTCTAAGCTGTGGAAAACCTCTGTTAGTTGAGCAACTTAACTCACGCAAATTGAATCCGGTCCGAACTTTTTTTTTATACAGTTAAGACCCCGGTTTACGTTACTATTTTGCAGTGCTTCATCTCTCAAGAAATATAGTACGATCATGGAATCATTTTGAAAGTGACTCAGCTATTTTTCTGAGAGATAATCATGAGTAATTCACTCCCTGGCACGGAATCACATAATTCAAGCTCGAAGACTTCACAAGATCCGTTCTACTCTGTTCTTATGGCTAATGCTATCCTCAACATTTGTCTCTGTTATCCAACCATTATGATGAACATTCTAGCAATTCAAGCTTTGAGAAAAACGCCTTCGCTGTCAAAAAATTTAAAAACATTGCTTTTAAATCTTGCTGTTTCTGATCTTAGTGTTGGCGTACTGGGTCAACCACTGTATATCGTTCGGCGAGTGGGCCAACTACACGGCAACTTGCATAAACTGCGTACTTCCTTTTCCATTGTTGCCAATGTCCTCTTTCTATCGTCTTTTTGTGGTGTAACGGCCGCGAGTGCAGACAGATTCGTTTCCATTTGGAAGCCTCTGCGTTATCCCCAACTGGTGACTCACGAACGAGTGGTTATCACGATCATTACAATATGGCTTTTAAGTGCATTTCTTGGACTTGCGAATGTGTTCCTTCTCACAGAGAAGATGTCTTTTGTGATATTTTTCATAATCGAATTATTTTGCTTCGTTTCCACCACATGGTTTACTTTAAAGGTTTATTTAACGATCAGACGTCAAAACTTACAAATTCAGGCTAGAGCACATTCAGCTCAAAACAGCCATATCATGATAAAAGATGCCACGCTTAACAAATCTGCTCAAAGCACATACTGGATTCACTTTGCATTTTGGGCATGTTATTTTCCCCAGTTTTTTGTCAGCTGTTTACGTCAGTTTATAACGCATCCACATCAACAACATACTTTCATGATGATACTCGTGTCTTCATGGACACTGGTCCTACTTAACTCTGCGCTCAATCCAATAATTTACTGCTGGAAGATGAGAAGTATTCGGCGAACCATGATAGATATTCTTCGAAGTATAATTCGAAGGATTAGGTTGGGATTACCATTTTGAAGTCCACTGAAAAATGACGTTGAAGTGATTCATACCGCTGAGAACCTTTCGTGAAAAACAAAGAGAAGAGTATACACAGTGAGAACTTGTGTTCACCTGGGAATCATTTTATCTAACCTTAACAAATTTATGACTAAGTTTTAACTTGGAGATCAGAGATAATTGAACAGCGGATGCTTTGGAGGGCCACCCAGCCGAGGCAGGACCGCCACCGACCACTGCCCTGCTCCGATGAGATCGATGTCTTGGCAGGAAAGATGCCCTGGATTGGGTCAACTAACAACTGATTTCTGACCCCCGTTCCTTCCTTCAACCGCCCTCCATTGGAAAAGATCAGGATACCCAAAGGAGCGCCTCAGTGAGCTTCTGCTTTTGCAATCTATTGTATATGGAAACATACGTGATTTCCGTAGTTATTAGGCCAAAACAGCTGTGGTAACGTCATTTCTGACGCTTATCTGTTCTTTCCAGAACGACCCTATAATATGCATTAAAGACACAGTAATGTAATAAGTAGCAGCCGCATACACTGAGTAGGAGAGAATCGAGGATGGCATGTAGCAGTGGGGGAGAAGTTTTGAATTTTTCCCGCTCCCAGAAAGCAGCAGAGAACGGAATTGATTTCAAAGGACCTCCATGGCCTCCACTTCGACCTGTGTGCCACACGTGACTGCATCATAGTTACATAGATATTTACATTAAGGTTTAACTAAACGTTGTAAACTGTAATCTCTTGGATTTGAACAGAACAGGTTTGCAAAATTAAAGTCTGTCTGAAGTATAACTTGTATTGGATGATCCATTTGGCACTCATTTAGGCTTGTCACTTACAATCATATGATAAGTTTATTTTGTACGTCTAAAACGCCAACATTAGAAAAATTAATCAATGTGTTTGGCATTTCTATAGACATAATCGTCAGACATGACAATGCTCAACTTCTGGTGTGCTAAAACATGGCTGGTTACACAAACAGCGGCATAATAACAGGGTGTTTATATTCGCCCGTTCAAGGATCATTAGTGAAAAGATCAAATACGTAAAGTGCTGCGGGGGTGGCTATTTTTTGTGATTTATCCACCCACTCTACTCTATTTTCGGATAGACATGCCCTCTATTTTCAATGACATGCCAACCGAAGTAGAAAGTCTGCAAGCTTTTCTCGTTGGGATTTCCAACTTCTAACACTGCATTATGTAGATTGGCCGTTAAGCTAGAAAATCCACTGCTTTATGGCAGAAAAGTGGCCGGGAGCAGCGCTTTGAGGAGGCCGGTCTTTAATTACATCTGGCCCTTTTGTAGCACTGTATTGACGTATTCATACCTAATGCGCCCACCACGCCGGTTTTCTTAATTATTATGCGTAGATGTGCGGCCCTTTTGCACGATGACACAAAAATTGAGAATTAATCAAATCTAGGACAAATTCTTCGAGTCAAAACCGTTAATCGAATTTTGCCGCCGAAACAATTAAATTTATATGTTGGTTATAGATCATTCAAGGGAATTAAAAGGCACATATTTGTATCACAACATGATAATGAACAAGTAATATCAGGCTTGTAGCCTGTGGCTGTATGATTAACATGATGACGCCTGTTGGGTGGAAGGGGTGGTAGGAAGGGAAGGAGTCCTTAGGACGTGCACACCTTGTGAACTTATCGATCGCTCTTTCGTACACTGGATCTCTTTCTTCAAATGAATAGCCAACAATTGCCGCTAATTTTCTCTTTTATACCCGAGTTAGTCTTGAATGATCAATTTAGTTCTTACATTATGACATGGTGCTGGCCAACGTTTTGTCATGGTACATTAACTCCAAATAGTTTTGAATAAAAATAGAGAAATCTGCATTTAAGAACCATGTGTCGTGGGTACCGAAGGGCTGTTTTGAGAGCCAACAAGGCAGATATCACTAAATGGCTCCTTGACTTAAGTGGTTATAAATGATTGATCACTTGTTGGGATTCAGTTGACTTATTCCGTAATGCGACGTTGTGGAGTCCCATCCTTGTTTGTCTCATCTGGCGACAGAGAGCCAGGCAAATGAAGTAAACTAGCGTGCTTATGCTCTAGCTTCCATTCGGCCCCGTATTCTTTCCCGCGTCATGAACCAACACAAAGATGTTAGCCGAAGTTGGAAAATGTGCAATGCAAATGTTCGTGAAAACGTGCATGTTCTCCTCGAAACTTTAAATATTCTCTCGCTTCAGTGACTCCGCTCGTAACATTCATCAGTGTAGAATATAACGCATTGCTTATGAGCCTTTTATTTTAAACGTTTTTTTTTTGGTCTGTATGTTTGTAATCTCACAGGGTGACATTTTCCGAAGGTTGGGCTCTTCGAAGGATCCTTAAATGTAGAAGTAGGAAAATAGCTTTTGAATAGAAACGAAATTAATTTAACTACTCAAGAAGAAACTAATAAAAGTGATTACGTTAAGAGATGCCGCTGCGGCAAACAGGTTAAGTGACTAATTTTCAAATCGGAAGCTTCAGGTCAAGCCTTAGCCGAAGTCCTATTTTTGTAAATTGCGTTCTTCGGTAAGAAACTTACTGTCACGGTGCGTTTCTCCCGCACCGGAATACAGGAGTGCAAATGGGTTGGAACATAAAGAGGTAGCCTAGGGTGAGATCCTCCAAGAGAGATCTATAAGCAGTACTTCTGGTCGTTTTATGTACTGTAGACACCCGGAAAACTCCGCACTATGTAAGCTATGAGGCACTCGTGTGTAAAGCAGGCCCAGCTAAAGAGCAATAAACAGGAAGTTGGCTTTATTAAAATTGTGCGTTTCCTACATACAGTCGAACTTGCATGTATTAAAACTAAATACAGGCTCCACAGATTAGGGGTATGGTGAAAAAACGAAAATTACAGTGATTCAGGGAAAACAAATGTAGGACTTTGACAACTGACCGCTTAATGCGGGGTGACCGTTTAATACGGAGCCACTTAAAGCAGGTTCGGCTGTATGTATATGGTGAGTGCAGCGCCCCCTCCTTAATTGAGCCCCCTCCCTGTTAAGCCCCCTTCTCTACATCAAGCTTCTTTCTCTAATATGTTTTCAACCTGGAAGAGGGGGAGGGGGGCGAGGGGCTTATTAGTTTCCTGATTGTTTGATTAAGATGAGCCGTCTAGTCGCCTGAGCTTGAAGTCGTATTCTGCAGGAAAGATTAAGAGTTTTTCTGTATCAAAAGTTTTCTACGTTGGTTTCTGTTTCGAAAATGACTCAGCTTTTAAGGCGGGAATAACATCTTCCAAAGGTAGAAAAGAAACTTTCCCAATACAGAGAAACGACAAATATATATTTCTAATCCTCTTGTCTGAACTTTATGATTACTGACCCCTCTCCGGTCGTTTCTCAGGTTTAGGGATGTTGCTTTTTTGATTGCGGAGTTGAAGTAAGATGCTACTTACCCTTGAAAAATTGATGCTTTTAAATAATGATATACGTACACGAGTATATTTTCCTATACATTCATTGAACAAGTTCACAGGTACACCAGGGACATGATTATTCAATAATCAATCGCCTGAGAATACATTTCAAAATAATTAGGGTTTTCATTACTCGTAAGCTAATTCAATTCGATGGTAAAAAGCCTTACATTTGTGAGTCTTTTCTCTTGTGATTCATTGTCTCTGGCAATGCGATAAATAATTTACTTCGACAAAATATTTTCTCGGTGATATTGGACGAAGATTTAAAAAAACAAAGAAAGAAAATCTGTTATGTTGTCTTTGTGATTCTGATGAATAATCGAAAAAAACGCCATTGTAAACGATCTCGCTTCATTTAATTAAGATCAGTCATTAGTAAAAGCAATTCCTTGTAAAGGATGTGGTTGGGCTGATCCGGAGTACGTGATCAGCGAATCATGTGAATGATCCTTAATTTAAGGCATGCGTAGCAACTCTAACTGTATTTAAAAATAACCTGCTTTGGAGAAAATGAGAAAAAATGCTGCACATCTTTCTCCTGATCGCTCGCTGCCGGCGGTTTTCACTCGATCCAAAAATACGTTAGCAAGTGAATGGTTGCTTGACAACGGGGAGTTAATTTTTCACGGGAATCGAGAAAATTATGGAAATTCACTAAATCTGACCGCAGAGTATTTTGCATTCTAATTTTTGATCATCCTTCGTTGTGACACCGCTTGTCTTGGGTATCGTTTAAGTGTTTTATCCAAATATTTTGCGATAGTCCACTTAAGATAATTGTAAAAAATAAAGTTATTTTGATTTAGGGGATGTAGAATATTCAAAACAAGTGACCTGGCTACTTGAAGTAGAAGTAACACCTGCCGGCTGCACTTTTAAAGATTTTAATTTCCACGGCATAATTTTGAGCTGTAATAAAGACTAATAACTTTGTCACACGAGACCTCGAACATTGGAACAGCGCATTTGGTTAATTGATTAGCCTAGATTTTACAAACAGTTGAATATATATTGGGTATAACTAAGAAATAAAAAGTCACTTCTAGTCTTAATGTGACTACTGCGAGGAATTTCCCCAAAATTTGAACAAGGGAACATGCATTTCGATAGATGATCAGAAAGAGGCCATTCTTTCGAAAGGTCGATCGTCGTATTTCGCTGTTCCCTTCCAAGAAAAATGTCAGTAAGCCGAGAAATAAGCTTTCGCTTTATTTTTATCGCTATTTTCTCTGCTGATTTTGATCTACAGCAAATCCGGTGAGGCAGCGACCCCTAAAGGTGCTGTTTACATCTTGAGCCGACATGGCCGATCAATCCTCCAGCAAAAATACCTGAAAATGCAAATGAAGATCTTTACGTGCTGTCAGCTACAAAAGAAATTATTCAGCCTTCAGCTCATAAACACGCAATAAGTGGGGTTAATAATTTAAAATTCTCACTCAGAAGCCTAAAAATGCTCATGTCACTTATAAAAATTAGGACATTTTGCGAGAAACAGCGCGGAAAAGTAGAAACAAGTCCGTTTTAAAAAATCTGGCAGACTTAAGAGCCTTTCCATATTAGGAACTGGATCGTGACGTCAGAGATTTAGCGGAAAGCCAAACGCAAGTAGGGTTGCAGATGGTTCGATGCAGCGAAAGGTAACATGGCGGATGAGAGCGCTAAACCAAGGGGAATAAACAGGAGGGGTGCTTTTAAGCAGAAGAATGTCATCGAAGTTAAAGGCCATAAGTTTTTTTTTCGGTACCTGAAACAGCCAACGTTTTGTGGTCACTGCAAGGATTTTATTTGGCAAGTGTCCTTTCGTTAATTCTCTTATCCTTCGTCTTTCATGAGCATTTCTTTTGTCGAAGATCTATGCTGGGTTACTTGTTTCCTTTTTTTTCACTTCCTTAATTGTGGTTTTGTTTTCTTGTGGTGTTTAACAGGGGTTTTATCGGAAAGCAGGGATGCCAGTGCCAAGGTATTGTGGTCAATTTTCCTATGCAGTTATAAACTAAGATATGTCGGATCGGAGACGCACAGACATTTGGGTACAATAGGCTTAAGCTAAAGCCGAGCTAGAACTTGTCAACTGTCAATAACATTGAGTTCATGTCTATACTACTCTTTTCGCAAATTTTATCGTAGGGTGTTCGTTTGTGCTTCACAAGCGCTGTTGTCAATTTGTGACCTTTTCTTGTCCTGGTGCGGAAACAGGCGCTAATGTCGAGGTAAGATGACTTCGAATGTCTTTGAGAATTGCTTTCTTTATTTATTATTTTTATTTTTATTTGTTTTATTTTATGTTTCTATTTGATCTACATTCTTGTATGCAAGCGATTCTTTCTTCGCGCGTGGGATCATTAACTCTGATTCTGATCGCTTAAAACGTTATTGTTGAAGTTGCCTTTTTCTTCCAGGGTCTTGAATCAGCGCACCCTTTTAAAGTTCGCACCTACACTAGTCCTACATTTTGTGATCATTGCGGATCACTACTTTACGGACTCTATCACCAAGGAGTACAATGCGAAGGTATGTTATTTCTAATTTTCATTTTCTCTTCCGTTCATTTAGCCGCTAGCCCGTTGTTATTTAGCCACCCCATTTAAAAAGCTCAAACTTTTGTTGTTAGCTTCGATCTGTTGTGAAACAGGCGGTAACTGATTACAAATGCGTTGCTTTTGCAAAACTAAGGAAATGATTTACCTGTCGGATCGTCTGTGTGTTTGCAGATTGTCAGATGAACGTGCACAAGAGGTGCATAAAATTGTTACCGAAACTCTGTGGCGTCGATCATACGGAGCGGAGGGGAAGAATACACCTCAAAGTTTGGATCGAAAACAGCGCAAAGAGTCAACTGAAAGTCGAAGGTTTGCATAATAAAATTTGCATACTAAGCTAATGTTTAGTCGAGTTTATCCTCACAAGATTTTTGTGATGTTTTAAACCGAGTGATGAATAACTAATTTATGAACAGCTTTTGTCAAGATCGACAGTTTTTTGGTACATTATTGCCACAGTGTTGCAATATACATTTACTTAACGAAAATGTATGTGATCTATATATCTCGAAAACATCTTGAAATAACGACAATACAGGTTAATACTGGTGACTTTATTTGGGCAGCCAAGCACGTCTTATTATTATTATATATTTTTCGGGAAATAAATATGAATTTTGCTTGTTCTTCAAAACAGTTTTTACTCAAGATTGCAGATCGGGCGGTCGAATACACCTGCTTTTTAAAACGTTCTTATTTTCTATTCATTGCGACAACCTGAGCATGTAAGGTGTTGGTTAAAAGAGTTAATATTTAAGTGAATTTTAATTGTCTATGGAGTCTAAAACGAGTGAATTTGTTGTGGTATGATTCCATCAGCTATACCACTTTACAGCGACTTATCACACATTCCTAGTGCAACTGGCCCTAGAAAATTGGGAAGAACTGAAATTTCAGAGGAGAAATTTTCAGTATATATTTCGTGAATCGAATTCATCTTTTCTGTGGTGTGAAAAAATTATTTATTTCTCTAACATATTTTGTTAAAAAATATCCAAATTTTTAATCAGTTTAACATCCTCTTGTGGGAGTAAATATGTCCTGCTTTGGCTTCTTGGTGATTGATTTGGTGAAACATCTCTGGAAATTCACCAATGTGGTGTAACTATGTGAAATATTGTATATGAAGACAATAACATCCTTGGCCATTAGGTGCACCAGTTGTATATAGTCAAGACGCTTTTTTTCTTCAAGAGACCCATTCATTTTTAATAATTTATGCTACCGTCTTTTTAAAATAACAAAGAATCTGATAGTGGGCTATTGACTGAACATAATTTATAAGCAGATTTCCAGCTGTAATCACCTTCTTTTTACAAGATTGAAACATGACAAAGTTACCATATATACAGAACATTCCTCAAGGGTTTTTTTTTTTAAAGATCCATTAATTAATCTGACCGAAATGTGAGGAAAATATGGCAATATTACTATAGATATACGATACAATTAGACTTATCCATGTGGGGCCTGTGGCATTATTTTTTTTACCTTTTTTGGCACCTCAATCTTTTTTGTTCAAAGCAGTGGAACCAAATATTTGGCCCCACGCACTTGCTTTTGTTGAAGATTTACAAACTCTTTATTTGGTCCCGTGACATGCGAGACTATGAATTTACAGTGGAAAAAGAAAGTAATTATCGAACTGGTTAATTTAAATGTGGTACTTAATCGTAACCTATACGAAAGATTATCACACATCTGGAAGATAATTTGAGTCACCTAAAATTAGAAGGACTTATTCTGAATGTTGACACCTTTTAAGCTTATATCTTGTCTCAAGGGCTTCATCCTTGAGTTTTTGCAAAATCACCTAATAATTGTGAATTTAAGTAGAAAACAAAAATTTAAAACAGTCAGTTTGGTAATATTGCATGATGTAAACCATACTGCTGGCCATATTAATTGTCTCTGAAATTAGCAGTTTGGTTGGTAAAGAAGAAAGTAATGTTCTATGTAAAAAATAGTAATAGCCCTTAAATAGCATAAATAGTCTTCTATGCAAATGTTCATCTCAGACTGCATGTACAAAAAGTGTGTGATAAAAATGTCATTATTTGCTCTGTGACCTCTGAACATTTAAGATTTTCACATCTTTAGTACGTGCCACAGTAACCAAATTAGTTGCAGCTTGGAGTGCTGTCAAGTTCTGATCTCATTGTTTTGGTTATTTATGTTTCGTGTTTCACTTTTCTTATTGTGTGCAGAGGAAACCATTGTCTTGCTGGTTGATCCATTTCTAAGATAAGTAATTGGGAAAGAACTGCTTGCTCACAGATAAAGTTGGTGCATTGGCCAGTAGATTGTTACCAATTACAGGCCCACATCAGTCAGTCAGTTGCAACTTTCATCAATTTTAAAAGGGTTTTCATTCAGAAATCTAATCACAATAAAAAAAATTGTAAGGAACTGGAGGAAATCCTTCTTTTCTAAATTATCAAGAAAACATCCTAAGCCATTAAAATTGAGCAGGAGAATTATTTAATAAGTATTTTCTGCTAGAGGTTTAACCCAAACTTGTGAGGAATTTGTTAGTTCTGGGCATGAATCTCTTGGCCTTTGGAACAAAGAAAATAGAAATGATGATTGTATTCCAAAGTATTGTTGCTTTTGTATTGATGCCTCAAGCTAGAAAAATAGAGAAGCAGCATGGTTAGCTGTGTAGTTGATTATGTAAATATACACACAGTATCCTTTTCTTTTCCTTTTTCCAGCAACTAAAGTTTATTTTTTGGTGAGCATGTTACCATTTGAAGTCACTAAGTGGCATCTTAATGTTAACTTGAAGCCTAGAGTTAGGTAAAAAAACAAACTGTAAGATTTGAACACATTCGGGAAATGGTTTGTTTGACAAGTAATTTTGTTATTGATAATGTTTTCAGGTTGAAATAATTTTCTACGACATACACTTGTAGTGTGATAAGCGTTTTCCTTTGTCCAAGTACTGCACTGGTTAGTAATGTATTTGGAAAAAAGGCAAAGGCAAATCTTACTGGGATGAAATCATTTTAATTTGAAATCTGTTTTAAACTAAAAATACATTTGCTGACAATTATGTTCTGACATTTGCATACCACGCCTTTTAACTTGAAAGTTAATGTCTTCAGTATTGTTTCTAGCTCAGCTGTAAAGCTTGGGTTGCTTAAACATTTAAGGTCACTCACAATTAGAAATTGAGTGTTGCATGTTTTTACATTGGCCACATAAAGCTTTGTTTACTTTTTATTTATATATATATATATATATATTTTTTTGAAAAAGAAAAAGAAAACAAATTCGAAATAGAATAAGAGAGATGGTTAGTTTGAGCTCGTTAAAGAAATAGAGAAAGATGTTTTTTATCTTGTCACGAGCATGGGACATAGCACAGAAGGTTCAATTCCTCATGGGGACTCAGAAGTTTTTCTTTGTCCCACGCTTGTGACAAGACAAAAAACATCTTTCTCCAAGAATGAAATAATGAAAATTATCTGAACTTAAATATTTTTTAATATTGGTTCAGCATTTAATTTAAACTTCCTAGAACACCTGCAAGCATATGTTTAAATCAGCATCCCAGAGGTCAGTGAAATTAGATGTTTCAATCATACACAGTTTGTTGGTATTCATATTGTTTTGTGCTTTATCGCATATTGGAGGAAAAAAGAAAATTTATATATATATACTTTTACCACAGAAGATGCAGTCAAACAGAAAACATGGAAATTGTTGTTTATTTGACAGTATTACATCCAACCTTCCCATGATGCCTTGTAGTCTAATTCCTGGCAAAAATAAGTAGGCACTGCTATCTTAAGATTCTTTCAAACCTTTTACAACAACTTAATTTGGCAAGTGCATTCTTTATCTTCTGTATCATGAATTTTTATCAATGAACATTTTAACCCTTTAACTCCCATGAGTGACCAAGACAGAATTTCTCCCTACTCTATTTATACAATATCATGCACACAAGTGATGAGAATTAAAAAAAAATCCATTATGGGATTACTAATACCAAATTCTCCAAACTAACATAATTGAGAATCATTTGGCAGATGGCAAGGAGAATTACTAATGAGATCTTGGCAGTTCAAGGGTTAAACAGGACTTCCAGCCTAACTTTTTCAGTCACCATTGGTGACTACCAGTCATAAATGGTTACCAGGAATAGCATTTTGGTTGTTAGAAGAAAATCAAAGAAAAAATGTGCTTAGTGCACTCTAAACTTCAGACTACACTCCTCATTTTTTTAATGGAAAAAAGATAAAACATGAGCAATATTAAACATGAAAATTGTTTAACTCAACTAGATTTTAACTGATAAAAACTGAGTCATGGCAATTTATACTACCAATGTAGGCATCAAAACAGTGTTTGTCAAGAGTTTTAAAAAAGTTACCAAGATTGTAGACTGTTGGAATCTGGTCCAGATCCATTAAAAAAGAAGTTTGTGTATCTGTTGTGTTGATTGTGTCAGCTTCTTTATTTCCTGTAGCATGTTAAAACACAGCTGTGTACCACTACCCCTTGAAATATCATGGAATGTCCCTATGATCAATAGTGTTTTGTCTGTTCTACACTCACCTGAAGGTTAATGTCTAGTGTTTACCAAGAAAGTTCAAATGTCTTGGGAGATGCCATTAGTGTAATTTGAAAGTTTTCCATGTAGTTTACGTAATATATCCAGCAGTTCTTGCCATGAAAACTATGTTCAGGTTTCCATATCCAAAGTAACAGCCTTGTTGACCTAATTGTTCAGCAGTTTCCACAGCTCATTTGTCCCTAAAAATTAAGTAAATGTTGTGTTAATTTGTATACCTCAACTACATGTGCTATGGATGAAATTTGCAGTGAAACTTTAGTGACAATTTTGTTCCTAAACACATCTCTGCCACAGTACTTTCTTCTTCTTCTTTTTTTTTTTTTTTTTGATCTTAAGGGATCTGAAATAGTCATAAGTGATTTTGCTGTTTCTTTTTTTCGGTGTATACCATATTTTTGACTCCCTTTTTATTTGTGCCATTACTTTGTAGTTCATGATGCAAAGAATCTTATTCCTATGGATCCAAATGGTCTCTCTGATCCTTATGTCAAGATCAGGCTGATTGACAACACACAGGAGGACATCAGCAAGAAAAAAAATGACTCAGACAAGAAAAAAAAATTCAAAACTAAGGTTGTCTATAAGAACCTGAACCCAGAATTCAATGAAACTTTTGACATGTAAGTTACCAAGCCTTTGTGTTTGTTAATCTTAATACAAATGTAATGTTTTTAGATGCAAGCTAACACACTCTGGACTGTTTGAAAATGGACATTTCCTTTTGTTACTATTGATTCTCGCTTTTGTATACCTGGTATGTTCCTTTTTTTGTAAGGCTGCCTCCAGGAACATGCAAGATAATGGGCACCCTTTGATATGATTGGGTATTCCATCTTGCCCCCTCAAGATTACTTGAGCTCAGAAGCCAAAAAACAAAAAGCAGTTGTAATAGGTTTACATGGTCTGAAACTTGTGCAAAACATTTTCTGTTTCTTGCAAAATCTTTTGTGATTTCAAGCCTCATTTTTTAAGGACAGTAACAACAAACAAAACCACAACACTCTTGTAAACATACTGGTACAATGCAATTTTCCAAGTTGATACAATGCCTTTGCTGAAATATGGTCTTCAAGCCTCTTCTGGCCAAGCATGTCTTGATTAGACAGTGTGTCTGCAATATTCTTTTTTTTATTGTTGAGTTACTTTCAATTGGTAGAAACCTGCCATATTAACCCCTTGCTTGGTCAATAATGGTCAATTTATAGCATTAATAACATTGTCAGGTTATTATGTTGGATTTTGTCTGCCTTGAACAACATTTTTATCCTAAATGTATTGATAATTTTTCTACTACATCTTAGATGTGGTCAGCTAGTCCTTAATGATGAGTGGTCGTTGTTGTATTAACTTAGGATCCACTGAGTGTGGCATTTCCATTATCCATGAATAATGACAAGACTTTATTGCCACAAAAATTGCTTTCACATTAAAGACTTATCTGATTGGAATTTCCAGGCTATTTTATCCTTTTGTTTCACTCCCAACATTTTATTGGTAATTCTCCTTACTGTCTGCCATACAATTCTTATGCAGTCAGTGCAGAGAATTTGATATCAGATCAACTAAAATCCCCTAATTGATTAATAATTTTGCTTCATTCTTATCCCTTGTCTGCTTTATATTCTGTTGATATTGTAAGGAGAAATTCTGTCTTGGTTACTTATGGGAGTTAAAGAGGTAAGGGACTGAGGGATTTTAACAATGTTCCTTTTTCTCTGACTAGCACACTGGATGCTGAAGATTATAATCGTCGTCTGTATGTTGCTGTTTGGGACTGGGACAGAGCGTCACGTAATGACTTTATGGGTTGTTTGTCATTTGGAGTGTCTGAGTTGGTGAAACAACCACAAGAGGGCTGGTTCAAGCTTCTAGGCAAAGTGGAAGGAAATTTTTATAATATTCCTATCATTGATACTGATGGAGAGGGCCCAGCAGTATTGGAGTTAAGAAACAAATATAAGGTAAATTATTTGGGTTGTGTACACTTAACATGTAAGTAACTCTTTCTGAGATTGAGATGGTTAGGCATTGGCTTGGTCATTTGTGAGAGGCATTTTTACCTGTTGTTGTCGATGAAATAGGTAAATTGTTTTGTGGAGAGCCTAAATTCATTTGCTCTATCATTCACTCATTTGTTTGTTATCTACATGTACAAACAGTAATTCATAAGCTGTCTGCAATTTCTCCTACTTGCTCCATGGCCATCTATTGGTTAAAACTATGTTTTGTCAATCAGGTTTATTAGCATTCATTTTTCATGCTGGTATAGGGTATATTTACTAGGTATCTGCAGTTTAATTTGATAGCTACATGATCATTTTGTACACGACATTAAATTTTCTTGTTATTTTAAAGACCTGAATATTATCTTATGCCAAAGAAATGAAACACCATATGCTTTCATAAGTTCTGTGCAGTATAAAGTTTTATTTATCCATATTTATATCATCTACGTCTGGTTTCTTTCTCTTTTATTGCTCTTTTAACAAAAACTGACTTCAAATGGGTTGGGTCTACAGGTAGCTTGAAAACTTCAGGGTTCCTCCAATAATGATTGAACTTTGCTTTTTAAAAAATTGCCTGTTGATTGTACATACTTTTCTTATTATTTCAATTAATGTTTAAGCCAAAATAAAGTTTGTTGTTTTTTGTTGTTTTTGCTGTTACGGTAGCTTTAACACTTTATCACTCTAACCCTAAGCAGAGCAACTATGAATGCTGTTATTTTCTCAGGTTATTTAATTATTATGCACCAATACATACTGATTAGCATTTTCTTTGATCTTCAGTTTATGCAAGCACAGCTGAAAGAAGAAGAGGAAAGACAGGAGAGAGAATACCAAGCAGTACAAGCAAATCGCTACAAGGGAGATGGTACCAGATACAGGCCAGAAGATTTTCACTTCCTCAAAGTTCTTGGCAAAGGAAGCTTTGGAAAGGTTTGTACAAAAAATCTGCTGAATTATTTTGATTTTATGTTCCCAGCACTGACTGATAACAGACAAATTGAATCAAAGGTAGATGACAGAGCTCAAGTTTATTTGTGCAGGTAAGTAGACTTCTTGCAAACTTGCTGCTTAGGAAAGTTATATTGTATTTCCTGAAATGCTTTTGTCAAGAGAGCATCTCTTAAGGATAAAAGAAATCTATAGTACAGCTTCCCCCTCTGGGAATGGAACACAATCTGTCTTCTCTGGGACTTTCCCCTGTCGGGAAATCATTGGCATTTATTCAAACTGCAGTGTTTAACCAGACAGAGAATTTTTGAGCTGAAGAATTAATTTATTTGAATCGTAGTATTTATGACTTGTTCTTTGTGTTTCAAGGTCATGTTAGCAGAGCGAAAAGGCACAGATGAAGTGTATGCCATCAAAGTTTTAAAGAAAGATGTCATTGTTCAAGATGATGATGTGGAATGTACCATGACAGAAAAGAGGGTGTTGGGCTTACACGGCAAACCACCATTTCTTACGTCTCTTTTCTGCTGCTTCCAGTCATACGTGAGTTATTTAGCAATAATATTACTTGAAATACATTCTTTGCCACAGTTTTGTTCAAAGGAGAGAGTGACAGATGTTCACCACTGATTAAATATTCATTAGTTAGTGGTATTTGTGACAAATTTAATAATATTGAACCATTTCAAGATCTCACTAGTAGTTCTCCTAACTGTATGCCATACAATTCTTATGAAGTTAGTTTAGAGAATTTGACATTGGATCAACTAATAATCCACTAGACTTGTAATTGACTTTGCTCTTTATTCCTATCACTTATCTGCTTGATATTGTATTGATAATGTTACTAAAAATTATTTCTTGGTCACTTGTTGTTGGTAAAGGGTTCAAATCTTATTGAATTAAACTTTTTTTCCTTTTTTTTTTTAGGACCGCCTCTACTTTGTGATGGAGTATGTTAATGGTGGAGATTTGATGTTTCACATCCAGCAACACGGCAGATTTAAGGAGCCTCAGGCTGTGTACGTTTTGAGTGAAGTATTATAGTACATAAATTAGTTACTAGTCATTTCATACCCAGTTAGGACATTTTGTGCCCAAACAGTTAAATCGTTTTGTACCCAGCTGATAGCAAGTAAGTTGTTTTGCCCAGGAACATGCAAGATGAGAGGAATCCTTTGATATGATTGGGTCTTCCATCTTTCCCCCTCGCGATTGCTCAAGCTTAGATTTAAAAGCCAAAGAACTCCTTATGACAGGTTCGTATTCTGTGAAACTTTTGGGAAACCTTTTCTGCCACATGGGAAATCTTTTGCAATGGAAACCAAGTTTGAGGACCGTAACAACAACCAAACCCACAACAAGCTAGTGAACATGCATGTATGTACAGTGCAATTCTCCCAGTTGACTTAATAGTTTTGCTTTGATACAGTCAAAGTGATACTGTCTTTGCAATAATATTAAGAAAAAAAATTGATAAACGTGTATGCAGTCAAGAGGTGGAAAGATCAGACTACATGTGCACACATTTCAGGGGTACATAATACCTGAATAATTTGTCCTCTCTGTGTGGATTTTAGTTGCTGCCTGTCTCTTTCGCTCCTTGGTATATTGGTGTATTCGTTGGTTGAAAATTGTTTTATGGTTAAAAGAGCAAACGTGTTGAGTGCGCTATTCTGTTTTGCATTATAGTTTCTATGTAGCGGAAATTGTCCTTGGCTTGCTGTTTCTACACAAAAGAGGCATTGTTTACAGGTACAAGTTATTACTGTTTACAATGTGTATCAGTATCTTGTTCTCTGTATATTAACCCTTTACACCCCAACATCAATGTTCATATTCTCCATACACTTCTCTATACATCCCCTTTGGTATTGACAAAGAGAATTCGTGTAACAATCAAAACTTCATTGGTTGCTTATCATCTTCGTTATTCTCATAATCCTTACGAGTGGTTCAGCGGTATTACTGTTCGGAGAAGTTAGATACTGGTCACTTTCAGGGTTTACAGGTGTAAGTCACTCTCTTAGCTGTAGCGTCTTTTAATAAGTATTAACCCAGGGCTCCAAACTCAAAACTTTTGAAAATCGTTCTTTGGCGATGACCTTAAATCTTAAAATGGTCTCCAAAAATGAAATTTTAGTGTCAAGATAAACAACTTGAGTCGCCATTTTTTCCTGTTTTGTTGTTTTCGTTTTGCTTTTGCCATAGCAACGAAAGCAGTTGTAGCTTGGAGCCCTGTGAGCTGTTAAGGCAACTTAGACAAAAACATATATATGCCTGTGATTCACTGTTAACGTTGTTGTATTTTTTATCCATGTACATACAGAGATTTAAAGTTAGACAATGTCATGCTGGATAGCGATGGCCACATCAAAATTGCCGATTTTGGTATGTGCAAAGAAAATATGACTGAAGGAAAGACAACAAGAACATTCTGTGGCACACCAGATTATATTGCTCCTGAGGTAACTCGTGATATTGGTGTGTAGCTTTACGAAGATCTTTTTGTCTTGTGTTGATATTCAGATTGCTTTTGGACTGAGTCAAAAGAAACCATCGAGGCCAATCGGCGGGTAAAAAACTGAAAGGGGCAGCTTTTCAGAACTCAAAGGAAAACAAGCGAATAGTCTGTGGCGCACGAAAGAGCGAGTGACCTAGTCAAGATTGGTTCCTGTTTTCCTCCTGATTGGTTGAGACGGCGACGCGGGTTATCTGGACCATTCACAGAGCAGTCGCTTAAAAATGACTTCAACTCCTTTTACAAAATTTCTTTGTCTGTAATCATTCAGACGTGGGAAGATACATGTACCTCTGAAATCAAATTCCCCTCTGCACGATCCTGTCTTGCCCCTCGAATTCTAACAAACTGTGTGCTTGTGTTGCAGATTGTGGCTTACCAGCCTTACAGTTTTTCTGTGGACTGGTGGGCTCTGGGAGTTCTAATTTATGAGATGCTGGCAGGACAGGTCAGTATGTTGGAATCGAATTTTTTGGAAGTCGTATGGCACTTACTTACAGCCAGTTCCCCTCCACTGGATATCAACGAGTATTCTTTGCCCAGAGTTTCGATCAAGTCGAGGTTGAATTGAATTTTAACGTCGAAGGTAAAAGCGAACGAGAGTAAAACCCTCAAAGCATCAACAAAGACAAAAACCCACAACAATTTCAACCTGAGATGTAAGGTCTAGGAATCGAATTTGGTAATAGCGGTGGAACGCAAGTGCTTTAAACACGCACCATCCCTATGTCTTCGCTGCTCCTTGCTTGGCAGAATGCTTTTTTATTCACTTATTTAAACACTTTTTCTCCATTTTTCCTTTTTTTCACATAGCCACCTTTTGATGGGGACGATGAAGATGAATTATTTAACTCTATTCTGGAGCACAGCGTGTCGTACCCCAAGTCTTTATCCAAAGAAGCAGTGCTCATCATCAAAGGGGTACGCTTTACACCTAACTGAATATGTTACACTGCGTTTTGCGCGTTAGTTTCGTATCCAGACTTCGTGTTAACTGTTGTACGCTTGAGAGTCGAGGTGCTTTGCAATCGTTTTAATGGTTCAAAGCTTAAACCCGGCCCTAACTCGGTTCGCTTTGTAGAGGAAGTTCTCGGGGCCCTCGTTTGATTTCTCTCACAGAGAGAATCCTCGACAGATTCGAGGTTTTGAGCAAGTGGTCCATACACTTCTTTTTAGCGATGAAATATAACTCCATCCTGTAGGACGACGATCAATCCTCATAAGTACTTTATGCCGATGCCGCAAAAACCAGTTTGATCCCCGATAGCTATGCGAGCTGATCTTGACTCCACCCTTAACTGTTTCACACGTTGTATAAAAGTGAGAAGGTGTAAAATGTCACTGAGTGCAGCTCAAATTAAGCTACCAAGCTGTTTTTTTTCTCTTTGACGTGAAGTCGTAGCTTACATGTGTTATTTGATTATCTTTTCTGTTGTAGTTCCTGACCAAACACCCAGCCAAACGTTTAGGCTGTGGAGAAAATGGAGAACAAAGCATCAAGGATCACGTGTTCTTCAGGCACACAAACTGGCTGAAACTTATGAACAGAGAAGTTCAACCTCCCTTCAAACCAAAAATTGTAAGCATTGTAATGTACATCTAGGCTAGTAAACGGTAGTGAGGTATTATAGTCACTATATAGTGTATGGTACACTGACGTATGGCGTAAGATAATTTAACCAAATGAACGCGTTAGCGCTGCGCACGAGTTCGTTGTGAGTTTTGGCAATGATAAGGAAGATTCGTAGAAGTGGGCCGAGCATTGATTTGTCTAAAGGGGGTAAGTCTCAAAGAAACTGGGGTGCTGTGTCGATAGGGAGAGGTGGGGGTGGGGGGGAGGGAGAGGTGGAGTATTACGCGAATATTGTTTTATCAACTGAGTCGACAATGTAAGTTGACCGCCGTAATGAGCTTCTAAAGCTGACGTTTCGTCAGGGCGAATGAATATCTGCTGAGTTAAAAACAAAAATTTTTTAAATGAACTGTGTATTTTGTAACCACTAAGATTTCCTTTACTAGGTTCCGATTGGATGATCTAGTGGAATTTTATTCTTTTACGTGCCATCACAGTTTACTCATTGCTTTGTGCATTTGTCCCTCAACAGAAATCCAAACGTTCCTTTGACAATTTCGACCCAGAGTTCACGGACGAAGCCGCCAGACTGACACCTTGCGACAAATCCTTTATCGCCAACATCAACCAGAATGACTTCCATGGATTCTCATTCGTGAATCCTGCTTTCCCAGCGAAAGAGAAAGAGCCATCGAGCGACACTGACATTAAAGTTTAAGAATTATTGATTAATTTACCTAGCTAGGTGATGAAATGTATTCGGGAGATGTTTCCGGTTTTGCGCTTGCGTGAAATGGTAAGGTATTTCTAATATTGTTGAAAGAAACACAAAAATGTGGCTTGCCCATGTAATTAAGATGTAAGTATTATTCCTTAAGAAGCGAGCTCAGACAAGCTGATTTGTTCCCTTTTGTGGTGTGGTTGTAAATGTGAACGAAAGGGATGCAAGTAACATGTAAGGGAAAGCTTTTTTCCTATTTTTTTTCTTCTTTTTTCTGATCGTTCTAAAACCTCAACTCAGTATTCACAACGGCCAATTAGAAACAAGGCAGATATGAAAATTTCACCGAGAGTTCAGTGGTGCGGGCACAGGGAAAGGGGTGGGACATTTGGTTAAAAGAGGTGGAACCAAATTACGATTGGTTTTAGGTTTTTATCTGAATGCTTGGTTGAAGGGGAGGGCTCTAGTTTTTTATTCACTGGTAAGACAGTGATATAAAGCAAAACAAATGCAATCTCGCATGGCTTTCGACTACCGCTTGAAATTTGAGTTGTCTATAGGTAATCGGCCCTGCTGCATGCGTCCTGTAAATATCGTCTCTGCTGCGTAAGGGGGATAAGTTGGCTTGTTCTATGACTGCGTTTCATTTTAGCACAATTTATCTCGAAATAGATAAATCCAATTTGAATAAGTTGTAATAAATATGTGTTATGTATGTATTGTTATATGCATAATGTAGCTAGGAAGCAAAAACAGCGTATCCATTCTGGGAATTTAGGGTGATATAATTGAGTTGGGGTTTTACTTTGAATTTTTGCCTTCTTTTGGTTTTCTTATTTTTCCAAATTGGTGTCATGAAAATCAGGGTGTAAAGGAGAATTGTATTTTTTCCACTGGTTCCTTCATAGTTTCTGCCCTGTGGAACTGATTGAATTGCAAAATGTCTCAATTTTTTGTCATTATTTTGTTACTGCACACTTTGCGGCACCTTTTTGAATGATTAAAAGGGTGAATTGTTCCCAATTATATGACATTTAGCCAGTACTGGTGAGTTTCCTTTTTCTTGTGCTATGAAAATTTAGTTATTGATTGCATCAGGAAAGCTGTAAAATATAGCGATTTATAACACGAAACTAGTTTCAGTGACACTGTACTTAGCCCTCTATTGAGTTTTAACTTCCGGTAGTTCGTGAAGATTCCTTTAAATTTACTAATTTCTAAAGTTAGTGACTGCTAAGAAATGTCCCACGGTGCTTTAGTTGATGCATCTACTGACGTTAATCTCTAAGAAGAAGTTTAAGTAAAAAAACTTTTAGCCTGAGGTTGTTTGGTGAAAGACCCAAAAAGTTTGATGTAAGTTGTTTTCCATGGAGTAAAACAGATGAACTTGCAAGAAAAGGAGATCTGGATCGTCCTCTTAAATATTGTAAAATCTTTTTAGTTTTAGCTTCTTCTTTGATGTGGAAAATTTTTTATTCTAATGATTAAGGGTATGGGTTTTAGGCGTGGCATGAAGACGAATTGCAAAATGGGAATTTAATTGATCATTGTAGTTAGTAGGACATTCAGAAAATTCAAGAGTTGAACCGCTTATGTTTCCCATTAGGTGTTAATATCAGCTGTTGAAATTTCTTTCTTCTGATTGGTTCATATGAAGTTCATTTGTTGTGAATTGCCTTCAGTCGTCGTTATGTGTCTGTTACCCTTCTAAATTATTACGAGACTGCTGCAAGTTAATTTGGACATCAGAGTTGCGATGCTATCCGTTGTAAATTAGTTAGGAGAATTATGTGTTACGACAGGATGGCATCCTCAAGCTGAAGTGAGAATAAATTCTCTTTGAAAATTTTTTCGAAATTGAAATTGCGAAGAGAAGTTACGCTTCGATTATTTCTTTAAGTAGAGTGAGTAGAATTGTTTTTAGTTTGACTATTTTGTTCAAATATCAGATGTAAAAAAATTTCCTTATATTTCTGTGTACTTTAACTTAATGCTTAGAGCGTTTTCTCATTCCAGCAGAGTGATGATCGCTTATATTTGTGGCTATTTATGAATTATTGAAATTTTGGTTTCCTTGTATACGTTAGCAATAACAGTACTTGCTACGCTGACTTTTCACAATTAATATCTTTGTTGCGAATTATGGAACAAAAGTTTTCAGTATTGTTAGCAATTGTTCCTTCAAGTGGAGGTAAATATCCACCATGTTCCACCGAAACGTTTCGTATAGACCACAAAAAAAAATTAAGAAAAAAATTGTTTATTTCTGACAATATACCAATAAATGGTTGGGAATTAAACTCGTGACGCGCAATTTTGTCTCCTCGGCTTCTCGGAAGTGAATATTACTAGCTTATCTCTTCCAAAGTAGCCAATCAATACGCGTGAAAAGCAGTATTTAATTGTGTGGTATATACTATACTTAAATAATCCAGGCACTGTACTGCGGCATCGATGTAAAGTGTTAAGCTAGGTGGCAAGGAAATTCATAGCAATTCAGTTTAACAGAGTCACGCAAGTACTAATTAATTCTTGGTAATTTAAAATTTCTCAGGAGGGAGATTAAATAAAGAATGTGTTGTGAATGTTTATTAAAAGGCACAGTCGAGTTGCAATTATGTCATTCTCACCGAGTTTATCAATATACTGCCGAGTTGAGTACGTATGCATAGTAATATGCTATTGCGTATTCCTTAAGACTGTTGTCTGCTAAGTTTGGTATCTCCTGAGTTTAAGCCTAAAATCACCCACTGTTCGTGATTCAATGGATCACTATTACAGCTCAACTTGGGATATATCGCGGATGACTCACTCTTTGGGGTACTTACGTTGAATTTTACAAGATTTCGATTAGCAAGTAACCACTTTTTCTACTGAGGGGAGATTCCGTCTTATTTTAAACGTTTCCGTCTAGATTCCAACGGTGTCTCGCCAGTTTCCGACAATCTCGATTTCAGAGGATTCGTCTGATTTCGGACACTGCATCCAACTCCGGACGGTTCCGTCTGATTTTCGATGGTTCAGTCCTTCACGGACTGTTCCGTTCCGTTCCGTCTCTTTAAATAATTCCATCGCATTCGTCCGGTTTCATCTTGTTGTGAACGGCTCTGTCCGGGGTCAGTTGGCCCCGTCTTTATTATCATTACAATTGCTGTTATTTTTTTCACCATTTCAACTCCCAACTGTTTTAATTATATCCCCAATCGACGGCTATAGGTTGGCGAAGGGTTAAATTCAGTTACTCTGGAATTTCATTGGTTTGTAGTTGGTGGCCTGATCCTGGATCTTGTTAACCCTTTAAACCCTAAATGCATTTTAAGATCATCCCTGAATCGTTAACTAGAGAAAAAGGAAATGATCATAACGACAAGAGCTGATTTTTTCTCCTTGTCGGATGTAAAGGGTTAAATGAAGTCGAACTGAAGGTGGTTACGTGAAAAACGGCGGCTAACGAGAAAACGGCTGCGGTTTCTCTCGCATCAACTCTTTAGCTCGTGCCTAATGCCTGAGAGCCTGGCTTGGGTTATTCGGTCACGTGAACAAATCCTTAGTCGCCAGGTATATCCTGAAAATTACCAAAACCGTAGGAAAAAAAAAACAGAGCAACTCTGAATCTAGATCTCTATCTTCTGAGACTTATTTGATATAGAAAGGAAATCATTTTGCTCTCCCTTTGTCTTTCGCTGTGTGTTTTTGTATGACTTTCCACGTCTTCGGAAGCTAACCCATCATAACAGAAGCAAAGAATCGTTTTAATGTTTCTGCGTTCAGCGTTTGTATTTGAGAACCCTTGGCAACGACATCTGCTGCTTCAAGCAGTAGGGCATACTTTTCTGCATTTCATTTTCTACAGAAACCTTTTGGAACAATAGATAACACAAAAGAATCTCTTAAAATTGTCTTAGAATCATTGATATGGTAAACAGGATTTGTTTGTTACCGCGTATCCATGATAACCAAAAATAACCTTGCAATTTAGTCTATTAAATGATAATTCGATGTTGTTTGTCACGACTAGTGGGAGGGATTGAATAACGACAGAAACGTTCACATTAATTTAGTGTTGACCATCTTTTGCGGGCAAAGAAGCTGCGACGACTTGTGTTAAATGCTAGTTACCAAATCGACCGTTAGTTAAATTCAGTCAGATAGTCTTTGTCATGGAGAACTGTCTATAAATCATGATAACCTTAGTTTAGTTATAACTGGACTCATGCTTGTTTACCTTTGATTTATTTGTACTTATTTACTTAGGAAGCGTTTAAACGCACCTTGGTACGAAAACAAATAAGAAATAGTGCACTCGAGCGTCTTTCTACACACTGTGGTGGAATCAGTTTCGCCCGGACGTTAAAAGACTTTTTAATTGATTCTTTTGTAGGTTCTTTGATTTCAAAAATCGGTGGCCTGATATAGTTCACTTTACATATTGCAGAACCTGCTATTTAAAGTTATCAGTTATTGTTCTTGTGTCCGTGCCCCCGGATTTAATTTAATGAAGCCATTCCTAATTTTTCAGATGTTTAACACTACCATGATCGTTTCCTGGAAACGAACTGCGAGTCATGCATAATTCATATCATAATTGAGCGTTTCTTGTATACCTAATAATCACACTGCAAAACAGAGGAACGCACTTGTATGTTTACTCAGAGATTAGTTTGATCGATGCTTGTTCAGGATAGGAATTCGTAAAACTTGACAGATATGAACCGAGTGGCACCAGCTAAAGGTTAGTCTGCAAGTGATATTGAAAGCTATCGGTGCTAACAGTAAGCATCAGTGTTTTGGAACTGATATTCGACCATCATCGTCTTCTAATTTTGTACAGATTTTCGCTTCATTGAGTTGACATCCAAATAATTCTCCCTCGGAAAGAACGTTCTTAATGAGTTTTAATTCTCACGAGGAGTTTTCAGTTATTTTCTACAATATATTTAAAAAAAATTGTTTTCATTGATAACGCAGATTTAGAGAGTGGTGAAGATTTGGAAGACTCTTTGAATATAGAGCATTTTCAATCAGATGAAGCGGATACCCCTGAACCACAGACTCAGCGATCGCGGGGAAATGTCCGCCCTGAATCAGGCTTCAGGTCAATCCACATTCCCGCGGGCAGCACAAAAGCTCATAGAAGGAGCTCTTTACGACGTGCTTCCTTGAGGAATGCTAACAACGACCTTGAGCTTAATGCCTTAAATGCCGATGCGGCTGATGAATGGTTACCGACTCCAAAGGAAGTCACCAGACGTATGTCTGAAAGGAGGCTATACAGGTCAGTTTTTTGTCATTTAATTAGTGGGAAAACATGGCTTCGAAACTGTAAACAGTAGCGCGATGGAGCGCGCAGGACGGCTTTAGAAGTGTTTATGGCCTTTCGATCTCGAATAACCTCTCGCTTCAGAAAGCTCCACAGTTGTTGTTTACAACCTCAAACCATCGTATGCATAAATTGGCCAGTCTATTCTGAATTTGGCTAGGTCAGAATGAGCAGTTATCTTTGCTTGAGAAAGTTGTTTGCTAATCAACTTATTAACGTACCATTTAGACAAATATTCAACTTATAAGGGACTTAACTGCATGGCTCCGTTTGCATATCAAAATAAATAGACTCACAACACACCTGCTGTCTGATTAGGTATTTTTCATCTCTTTTCATTAATAATAGTTCATTTAAGAATCGGCCCGGTAATTTCTTGCGCTTTTCAACGAAAGCTGTTGTATTTTCGCGAGGATGCAATTTTTCAGAAATACATAATATGCCTTTACAGCACTGGTAAAACGAATCAAAATATTTATCTTTTAAGTCTCAGTAATCTGCAACGAGGGATTCACTAGAGGTTTATGGCGTCACTACAGCCAATATTACCGAACTCCACAAACAAGTTTTTATAAACTTGTTTTCGAGTATAATCTCGTCCTCCAAATTAGCTCTCGGTGTCATGGCAAGTTTTCGGCCTGTGTCGTGTTCAGTAACAAAAGTGTTTATTTGGCATGGTTGTTAGAACACACATTAGATTTTTGTTTAAATCTTTGATGGACTTATCATAAAGAGGCTCGGACGATAAGGTGAATAAATTGAGATTTTAAGACACTTCACCTTAACCAACGCACATGTTTGGCATCTTCGTTTTAATCTGGTTCAGAAATATATTGGAAATGCTGGAAAATTTTATTGACTGCTGAACAACGTTTTCAATTGCGCAAGAAATTTTAAATGAATAATCGTAACACCTTGGGGAGTTTGCGTCTATTTTTGCAGCACGTAATTGTATGTGGATTTTTGTTTTGCATGTCAAAAGAAATAAATCAAAGCAATTGATAGTTCTCTCGCTATCAGGTGCACTCCATGTCCGATTTAAATCGTTTGAAAAATAAATAAGAGGTTATTTTCCACACAAAGTAATTAGTCTTTATAGAACCTGTTGTGCTGCGTGGGCGAGTAGGTAGAACATTTTGCAATTAGAAGTTGCTGAATGTCATTAAACCGCTCAGGTGTCTTTTGTAGAGCTTGTGTTCCGAGCGTTAGCCCTTGCTCTGAAATATTTTGCAAAAATCCCAGTGGATCTCATTTTGAGGAGAGGAAAATAAATTGAGAGGAGAAATCATGGACAGCTAAAGAAATTGTTCGTCCCATTTTTTTTATGTTCTAATTTCCGGAGGCTAACTCATTCCCTTCAAATTTCTCCCTACGAATTAACAAGCTCGGGATTTTTTTATATCTTTTCTCTGTTAACTGACATGAGCACACAAGTTTAAAAACATTCTGAAACCGTCTCTAAAAAATCGATTGGAGAGAACTGGTAGTTCTCCGTCGTAATTCAAATTGTTAGGCAAGCGGTTAGAAAACCGTGTTAAGCTGATCGAGTGTAGGTGGGTCAGTAATAATTAAAAGAATATGGTGAGCTCCCTCAACAGTTAAGTAACATTTTAACTTGATTACGAACTTGAGGAAGGCAGATAAACGGCATTGATAACTTTTGAAAGTTTGAGGTCGTGAGTTTTTGCCCAACATCGAAGCAAATGGCCAGTAACGGGCGTTCAGTTGGTAAACGAGGCGCGGTGAGGCACGATAGTGAAAAAAAGTGGGGCTTGGGCGCAATCCTTTCCAAGTAATCTACTTTGGAAGTCTCGTGCCACTTGCGCCTCGTTTATTAAGCTTCGGTTTACGGACTAATTAAACGCTCGCTGCAGGCAGCGGAGTGGAGCCAAGGGATGACGCTCGAAACATCACCTTTCCGATCTTCGTTACAGCGTGCCTCTGTTGAATCTACCAGAACACCACATGAATCTTTGATCTCCCCTTTAATCTTGAACTTAAATCTCACTTGTGATCGCAATATTTCCACAGTTTCCCTTCAAGAAAATATGAATCTTTTTTATTATAGGAAGTCGATCAAAAACGCTCAAAGATTGAAAAAACAGCGTATCTCCAGATGGAAAGCCTTCAAAATGCAAATCGCCATGGTAAGTAACGTTATCTATTGGCGACTAACATGCACCAAAAAATTTTCTCCGCGCTGATTGGCCAGGAGAAATGTAATAATAAATAATAGAATCGTCAAAATGTTTTGTCTCATAAAGTACGCTTTAGAACACACTTAAACAACAGAAACTGTATCATAGTTGTACATCCGTAATGCGCATACGCAATTCACAGAATAAAGTTTTAGAGGTTTTTTCGCCCGGCCGCCATTTTGGCAAAACACATCGCGGGTTTTTGATTGACTACCTTTCCTTTTGATATACATCAACCACTGGCCCAGACCATCTCAGTAAACAGTTCAACTAAGCAAAAGTACCTTGGATTCTCGAATGTTAATGTTCGATTAAAAAAAAATTTATGAATATTCCAGTAATCAAAATAAAGAAGTAGGACTGAATAAAGTGACAATGGGAAGCTTTGATATGAAGGAATTCGTTTTGTGATCATTTATTTCTAGAATAGGGAATTGTAGGATAACTATCTCTTGAATCAAACTGAATAAATCCAACTTGAGCTAAATGTCAGCAGCTCACCCCAGAAAGCATTTATTTATTACATATTGCTGAGGTTTTTCACGTTTCTAATTATCCTTTACCCCTTAAAAGTCATGGAAGTTGACCAAAACAGCAGTTTCAGAGTGGAGTCGGGATTACGAGTTATGGAAAGGACATCTAAAACGTGTAGAAGGTACACAAAAAGGACCGTCTATAGGCAATCATATTTGGATGCTATTATTGTTGTGTTTCATAGAAATCTTAAAAAAAAAAAAAAAGAAACATTATGATCAGGCTGTTTTTGGGCATTATTGTCTGATTTTAATCACGTGTCCAATTTTAGACACCAGTATACCATTTTAGACACTAGTGCTTTATTTTAGACGCTAATGTCCAACATCAGACACTAGTGTCTTATTTTAGACACCGGGACATCAGTGTCTGGTTTCGGACACTAGTGTTTTTGGACATAGTGTCCGATCTTGGACTCTATAGCCCGATTTTAGACATGGGCGTCCGATTTCGAACACTAGTGTCTGATTTTCGACACTGATGTCTGATTTTAGATACGAGTGTTCGATTTTAGACATTAAAACCTTGTAAAGTGTAATTTATGACCAGTTAGAAAATGGGCGAGGTAAAATTACCATCTATGTTTCACTGCCCCTTTTTGAAATGTTCATAGGCGGTATATGACCCAACTGACCTCTCATAATCAATCATTTTATACCAAAAAAGGTATGTAGGTTGGTCAATGAGATTCCAGAATTCTCTTCTGTATTGAACACGACATATGAGTCATATTGGTTAATTTTTTTTCTATCGCATTATTGATTCATTTATTTTTTGGTTTATGAACGAAGGCAGAGAAATCCAAAGTTATTTTTAAACTATTTCGCATTTACAAAGGAGGATTCACTGATTCTTTCATCTATTTCCTCTGAAGGTCGCTTCGGAAATGGAGTATCGTCCTTCTTTGTTTTTCTCAAGTTACTGTTTTTCCTTAACATGGCGACCTTCATTTTGGAATTTGGATTCGTTACATTACCATCAGTAATCATTGAGCCAAGCACAACTTCAAATTCGTGCACCTTTACCACAGCCGAGACGCAACAACGAAACACGTCGAGTGCTGCTGTTGCTGCAGGATATGAAGTTGCAGATTTTATTTCTGGAAAGGTGAGTTTTTTCTGGCAGACATCAGTGAACATTTTAGATCACTTTTTGATTAAGTGTTGACAAAGAAAACTCAAAGTAACCACAACAGCCAATCAAAGCTAAGAAAGATGTTGCAAGGAGCCAATGAGAACTTAAAGGTGCCTGAAACGCGGGAAAACACGGGTGGCCATGTCGCAATTTGTGTTCGTTTTGAATCTGATAAGTCGCGAAAGAGGCGCAAGGTTTTTGGACTAATCAGTAAACGAAGTAAAGTAAAATCAAATCAATTTCCGATTACTTTCGACACTCGATTGAAAACAGATCTATCGCAACAAATTGCACTTGATTTAAAAGCAGGGAGTTAGAGATATAGCAGCGATTGAGCTGAAGAAACCATGGATTAAGGAATTGCCTTTCATTGCTTCCATTTGTCCTCCATCAGTTGCAATTATTAGTAGAATGGCGATGGTAATCCGAGATGTGCGTTGCTTTTCTTCAAGTTCTCTCTTTAACTGGTTTAGGAACCCTGCGTCACTCTGTCACTTACTAATCAAATGCAACCGTAGAAGACCTTGACTACTCGTGTCACTAGCGTTTTCCTGGATAACAGGCTTGTTTTTTTTTTTAATTTGCTGTAATTTCCTCTTCATTCTGATTAGCTTTTCATTCCTAGCGCTTTGGTTTCTTTTGAATGATACTCAACTGAACGCACCTTATGGCAGATTGAAAGTTTAACATAGAAGCGGCCAAGGATTAACAACAATTTTTTCCTTATTGTTGACTTTCAGGGCTGGATAAGTACAACACTGATGTTTTACGCTGGATACGGGGACTCAGAGTTGATATCAAATGTCGGTGTCAAGTATAACCTTCCATTAGCTTATCTCCTGGTCGGATGGTCTTTTTTTATCCTCAGTCTCATACTTGTGGTCCGAAGGTTTGTCACTTAGGATCGCATAATTTTATTTACATATAGTTGTTTCGAGAAAGTTGTCAGAAAAATAAGAAAAGGACAAAATTGCATGCGACAATCTCAACAGGTTATCTGGGTATCCAGTTATTTATGAATTCCCATAAATCTAATAAGTAAACAAGTTCATCAAACCTTCTATGCCTCGTCCTTATAGTGACGTTTTCTCGGATTACCCTTAAATCCTAGGTCAAGGAGCCGTGACCTCAAAACTATCCACATCACCTTCCGATTTACAAACCATTATCTGATTTTGCATTCGTAAAAATTCTCTTTTTCGATATTTCGCGCCATAGCATGAGGAGCTTTGGCCTCGAAAAAGATTCGCAGCATGCATTCTACGATGGTGCTATATTTCTGTCATTAGTGTAGAGAATTACATCGATGTTTGCGGCTGGTAGGTGTCTATGCGGTTACTTAAACCTGTTGATTATAAGTTAAAGGTTCACCTAATGATTAATACTTCATCTATGCGCAAATTTCAATTACGAAAACACAATAAATCTTGGATTGAAATCACTTAGCACGATCTCATTATGGAGGCCGAAGTCTACGATGGATCGGCTGAGCTTTCTAGAGTTACTAAATCTAATGGATGCCTCAATTTTCAGTCAAAAGAAAGAGTCCAGACAAAGAACGATCTCATAATATTGATTTGTGTGAATTCAATTTTTCGTGCCCTCTTGAGTAATGTCTACCTGAGGGTTAATCTTTAATATCTTCCATACCCTCTTGGGTAGTGTATACTTGAGGGTGTTATTTCTAATCTCTTGCACACCCTCTATGTCAATGCGGCTAAGAGTAGTACAGTTTTAGTTTTGAATAACTCTAACGTGAACATATATATATATATATATATATATATATATATATTTTAATGAAGAGTAATATATATATATATATATATATATATATATATATATATTAATGAAGAGTAGACCTCACTTAGCTTAAATATATACAGTGGTTAGTCAATTGGTGGGTCTATTGTAATCTGAGATCGATGTTCAGTAAGGAGTATTTGTTGTCATGGCGGCATTTGGAAATTAATTCAGTTCTTTTGTTGAGGTTGCTTGTTTTGTTGGCTCTAATAATGTAGAGTTTTTCAGTTAGGCAATGGTTGTATAGTTTGGAAATATTGTTGTGAGCGCTTGATAGACCAGCTTATTTTGTAATTTTCATGGTTTTCCTTGAGTTTCCAAATGTGTTTTGTTAGTTCGGTGCGGTTAGCGTATTTCCTGTGACGGAATGATAATTTATGTTGCGTATATCGTTGTTTGAATGTTCCCTCTGTTGGTCCGATGTAGTTCTTTCCTGTGTCGTCTTTGTCTGTGGTCATGTTAGCTTAGTAGATTACGCTTGTGATGAGGCAGTTGTTGTCGAGCGGGCATTGGTCTTTTTTTTCTACAGTTGCATCCGTTTTGCAGTGGAATGTTGTTGTTGGTTAGGATTTTCTTGTTATTATTGTTGATGATGCTGCCTATGTATGGCATCCAGCTGTAGCTTACTTTCACCCAATCCACCCGATCCACCTAATCCTTGCAATCCATCCACTCATTCCAACCCATTACATCCTTCGAATCCACCCAATCCAGTCAAACCACCTAATTCATCCAATCCTTTATATCCATTCAATTCTTCCAATCCACCCAATCCATCCAATCCTTCCAATCAATCCAGTACCTCCAATCCACCAATTCTTCCAATCCACCCAATCCTTCTAATCCTTCCAATCCACCTAATCCTTCTAATCCACCTAATCCTTCCAATCCACCTAATCCTTCAAATCCTTCCAATCCACCTAATCCTTCCAATCCTTCCAATCCACCTGATCCTTCCAATCCACCCAATCCTTCTAATCCTTCCAATCCGCCTAACCCTTCTAATCTACCTAATCCTTCTAATCCACCTAATCCTTCCAATCCACTCAATCCTTCCCAACCCTTCTAATTCTTCCAATCCCTCCAGTCCACTTAATCCTTCCAATCCACCAAATCCTTCTAATTCACCAATCCTTCCGATCACTCTAATCCACCCACTCCTTCTAGTCCTAATCCTTCCAATCTACCCAATACTTCTAGTCCTTCTAATCCTTCCAATCCACCCAATCCTTCTAATCCACTTAATTCACCCAATCCTTCTAATCCTTCCAATCCACCTAATCCTCCCAATCCACCCAATCCACCTAATCCTTCCAATCCACCTAATCCTTCTAATCCACCTAATCCTTCCAATCCACCCAATCCCTCTAATCCACCCAATCCTTCTAATCCTTCCAATCTACCTAACAATTAATACATAATTATTACCTTTTTGAATGCGATCAATGTCCATGGTCAGAGCGTGGCTGATGTTATTGTGGCCTGATATTTTGAACCTTTCTTCAATAATTAGAAAAACACGATGGAGCAGCCTGCGGTTAAAAAAAGCGCTTTTCTGCTTAATGAACGGACAGATTGAAACTGATGGAGCAGAGGGACACCGACATTGCGATTGTTCAGAGGTGTATCTGCAGAGTTTATGAGAAATAAAGTCGCATTGTCGTGAATTATCGTCAATAAATTATCGTTAATAAAATTGAGTTAAAAAATCACGATGTTTTTCACTTAGACAAAGTAGAAGGGAGAAATGATTAATATCATTTCAGCATTTTTTGCAGAAGATTTATACTCTCGAATGTGAACGAGAAATACGAACATTTGCATACAAATTTTATAGTCCACTTTTTAAAGTTTTCTCCAAAGGCGCAATTAATACAAGGATTAATGCGGCTGTAGGACGCCAACCAGATAGGAAATGATATTGCCCAGTAATTTACATAGTCAAGATATAGCAGTGCCACTATAATATAGAAAGATAGCCCACAAAATAGCGATTGCGATCATTATCGGGGAAACCTTCACTACTTTCGCTGTAGCTAGCTTAGAAATATGATATTTTGATATATATTCTGACATTTGTTTGTCCTTTATCTCTCTCACGTGAATAAATGCATCCGAAGAAGACGCCGTCAAGTTGTGTGTCTCATACATCACTGGATAATAATAGTAAAATTACCGAGGAAAAAAGGAATATAGCCATGATACTAGGTTTTACACTTGACAACAGAAGCCATTTAAGGTTCCAAGCAATAAAAAATGATTCCAACCCGACCCGGTTGAGAGTATTTAAATTTGCACCTCTTGACTTTATTCCTATTATTAAGTTGTTTCACAAAAAGCGGTTCCAAAATGACCACCCTGGCCACACTCTGGCGGTTTTGACTTTTTTGACCAGGTTCATAATGCTTTTTAAATCAGATTCTTTATTTTTGTGATTTCTTCCGTCTTACCCTGACCTAATGAGTTAGTCCTCTTCTATGTTGATCTTCTAAAAACTTATTTTGGCGATATGTAGACCACAACAAAAATCAACCAACCAGAACAAACCACAACAGCTTTGATGAACCTTTCTTGCCTTTGTAGGATGTCGAAAAACTTCATCCGAGAAGAAAGGATTTTTGACATATTAACTTGAAAGAACGAGTGAACATGTCCACAATGTAGGAATTACTTTGTTTATTTGAGATGAGGGGCATATTGACGTGAAAGAAATAAGATATCAAAGAGGACATTCCATACCTGCAACTGGCAAAGTTCATTGTTAGTCAGGGTAATACGCTTTTTCCGACCCTTTTTTGGTACAAGATTACTGGCTGGGTTGTTGTTGTAAATAATGCATAATTTAACCGGTAACGAAAAACCCTGACCAATTATTTAGTTATGCTTCAGACTCTACAGGTGACTTGCCATTACCTTTTTCCAGCAAAAAAATGTTGCATGTCTCTCTTTTCTAGTTTAGGGGAAAGTTTAGCAGAAACGTACCTAGATAGTGGAGGGAGCCTGTCTTCATTCTGCAACCAGATTTTTGCCGGTTGGGATTTCTGCATCACAAATGAGAAAACCGCCAAGGAAAAGGAGCTGAGTTTCTTGCAAAACGTCACGGTATGTCCTTTGTAAGAATTACTAGCTTTGATAAAAGAATCGAGGACCGAGACTTTGAATTCCTTTCGCAATGACAAGCTATGATGAAACAAGAAGTAGTTTCTAGTTTTTAAAATAATCTCGAATGATTCTTTGTATTCTCTAACTCAGGCTCAATTTGCTGAAGAAGAGCGACAGGAGAAAGTACAAAATCGAACGACTCAAATAAAGTGTCAGCTCTACACAATAAGAATTGTTTGCTTCTTGCTGGTGTTAGGGTTACTTGGAGGGGCAATTTATGCCATCATTTTATCTGTATCAGCTTCTACAGATCCGGTAAGTAAAACATTTATCGTAATTGCAACTATCATGATACTGATTAAGTCCTTTTTGTCCCTAATAGAACATAAGACCGCTATACCCAATCTCCATTTTTCAAGGTTTTTGATCTCCTCTCTTTTACTGTGGACGATTCGTACATATATATATATATAGCTCTACTGCCCCCTTCATCCGACTCCTAAATCATCTGTTACAATAAAGATAAGCCAGTTCATTTAGTCAACTTTTATCCACCCGTACTCCTGCTGTTGGGTTCCTGATACAACGCTTTCCTACAAATGGAGCTCTGACCGGCAGAAATAAGATCATTTTCTTTTTTCTGAAATGCTCTATTTGCTTTATTAATATATTTTCGGTTCGGGGTAAACGGAAGCAAAACATACTTAATCCCTTTAACTCACGAAATCTGATTGTAAAGTCTCCCCTCCAGCTGCTACCCATTTCCTCGGGAATTAGTTATGAGAATTTGGTGTTAGATCAAGATAACAATTACCTGATAAGTTCTAGCATTCTCATTACCTGTTTGCTGAAAAATTTATGGATATTACAGGGAGAAGTTAATCACTTCTGGGAGTTAAAGAATTAGGGAAAGCAGGTCTAAAATGTTTTTAATTGAAAGAAATTTCGTTTTTACCTAAAGGGGGCAATCGTTTACCTAACTTTCATCTATTTTCCTTCAAGCGCACCTTGCTTTCCTCCCGTTTATTTCCCTTTTAGCTCTTCCCTTTTTTTCTTTCTAGTTTCCACTTCCAATCAAGCAACCCTAAACTAATACAGGAATTTGTTCTCTTTCTTATACAGGAAATTATTGAGAAAGCAAGCCAATTTCAAAGTGGAGAGGAAATATTGCGCTTTGCCCCTTCGCTAACGATCACCATTCTAAATATCTTACTACCTCAGATTTTTAATATTTTAGCAAAATTTGAGGATTGGAGTCCAGCATTTGAAGTTAACATAACTTTGTACAGGTAGGAGCTAAATTACACTTTCATTTTAAACACTGCTTCACTAAGACTGAAAATGTCCCACCCAAGATTGCACTGCAAGCCTCCCTACCGGAACTCAAATTTATTCCGGTTTTCTCTGCATGGAAACTGAGAAAAATTATCGACATAATAAAAATTCCATAAATGACCAACTAAACTGTCCGTGAAACTTCTGTCTGGCTTCACAGCTGCCAGGGAAGGAAATAGATACGTCTACTTACAGCTCTCTTTTGTCCGATTATCCCATTACAGAAATATTATCTTAAAGCTGGCTTCATTAGTCGTGCTTATGCTGAAGATATACACACAAGTTGGCGAAACTTGCGAAACAAGCCCAGCGATGTGTTGTAAACAGGTAAGGCAGCTTCAGGATAAAAAAGAAAAAAAAGAGTTCAGATCGAGACCGCATGCCCCTCCTATTAAGGCTCCCTTACAAGAAACAGTAACCGCTCAAATCTTGGGCGTTACTGGAGTAGTTACATTATTGCCAGAAAAATAGAGACCTAGAGCGTTACGGGACAAAAATCTTTGGAATTGTCTCACCCCCTTAGATCTGACAATGAGTCTTTCTTTATTTCTCCCTTTAACTAAAAAGTACAAGCAATACGTCCAATTATGTGAACCCAGTACTTCTTCATATTATCATTCCTACAAAATTTCATTTCAATTGTAAACCAGGTTGTTGATATTTTTTTTCCAGTTCTGGGAGAACGAGATCGCTTCACAGATGTACATGTTGATATGGATTGACTTTTTTATTAATATATTTTCAACTATTATCGTTACTACGTTGTGGAAGTAAGTTCATCACTGTGCAGTGAGTAAGTAATTATAATTGAAGTTTGAATGTTTGGATTTGATACTAGATTTCATTTCCGGGCCAGACATTTTTTATCATATTCCCTTTGGATAAACACTTTTTGTCCCCCAACCGCATCTTCAATTCTTGGTAACTAAATAGTCACCGTAAATTCTTCGCCATTCTCGTCTGTAGACATATTTTCAAGGGAGTTGATCAGTCAAGGAAGTGAATTTTTCTATGGTTGGTAGTCACCACAGATCCTCTAAAGATTTATATATAAGGTTATTGATATGGAAAATTTGAAGGACATGATGGCCTTATTTTCTATGCGAAGAACGTCTGAATTATGAAAGTACTTGCCAGAGTTATTCTTCTCGATTCAATCACCACTGAAGGAACCTCTCGTTGCATCTTTCATGAAAATGTTCTTACATAATGGCCTTTAATCTCATAGATTGATGTATAAACACACACAGTGCTTCAAGAAGGTTGGCATGCCGGTGTTTGACATTCCAAAAGAGGTCTTAGGACTTGTGTATGGCGAATGTTTGATTTGGTGAGTTTTTTGCGTTCTTTAGGATGTCTGGTCTTGTCAGGGTTAAGGTGAAACTATATACTTAGCATACGATGAGGCTCTCAGTCGTGCTGTGACACAAGCAGCGAAGCTCTTGGGTTTCGAGCTCGCGAGCTATGCAAGAGGTGTGCGACGGGTCTAGCAAAAAAAGTTTTGTACGCTCGCTTCGATTGCCGGATTTAACTCTCGTGAACTTCACCAGTTGTACTGGAGGGTGTACGAGAGCCTGCTCACAGGCTAAACCAAAATACGATGAAGGGAAAGTACCTAAGCATACATGAGCTTCAACTTCCTCGGACACTTTTGTTGGTAGGGTTTTGGTGGTGAGAAGATCATTGTGAATTTTAGTGTAAATATAACCTATTATCTCACAACGTTTGCCCAATCGGATACAGAAAAACAGCGGTAAATGAAAACTTTTGAATTATTGTATTTCTTAGTCAGGGCTGCATGTAAGTTTTCATTAGAGGGTTCTTTTCTTATTTTTAGGATTGGAACATTTTTCAGCCCAATTATGCCAGGAATGGGTGCCATCAAGTTCTTCATTTTATTTTACGTCAAATTGGTACGTAATCATCTGTTTGGTCACTAAGCAACGCGGGCTCACTTAAGTCAACGGCATAGACATACAGCACTCTATTCAGCACATCACCTGTATTTCTTCTATGAGGTCCGCTGGTTTCCGCGTATTGTTCCTTAATGATTTTGAAGGAGTATCATTACTCTTTCGTTTTCCAAAAAAAATGTGACTTAGACGTCTTAACGTGACATGCTCAGAAAAAGACCAAGAAGATGACTGATTGAATAGACCCCTTTTTTAATGTGTCCCTAGATAAGGGTGGATGCCCTGCATGAACACGTCCATGTTCTCATCATAAGATTGCACCACGTTTTATCTTTAAAGATTGCTGTGATGTTCAACTACAGGCCGTCAGAGAGGGTTTATAGGGCAACCCGTTCAAATTATCTCTTTACAGCCTTGCTGCTAATCTCATTCTTCATGTGCCTTGGAATCATCGGCTGGGGCGTAGCAAGGTAAGTTAGGTATCAACAATTAACTTCTTCGTTTCATTAGACTGTTATCTCTGATCATTTATTTGTTTATCTATCTTAATTAGCGTTTTTAAAAAGGAAACTTCTCATGAATAGCATCAAGCCTTTCCAATAATCCCTCCTTTGACGGAAATAGTATGTTAACAAAATGCATTTATTGTTTGTCAATCACAATCGCGCTCTGGAAAGGATTACTCTTCTTCTAGAATGACTGTGCTAAGATATTTCCTTCAGGGCGACACTATACTGTCTCTTGGTTTGAGATTCTTCCTGATGTGTTTTCACAGCATATCATCCATACTAACATGCCCGAAACACTGATGAGAACGAAGAGTTCCGAAAAGGTTTCGAAAGTGAGGAAAAACGAGCCTGAGGAAACCTTTAGAGCATTATCTCTTTAGTCTTAGTTCTAATTATTAACTAACTGAGATTATTATACTTACGTGGGTGGCTGACATCACAGTCTCCTTAAGAGCAAACGCAAAACTTTTCTTTTTGCTCAAAATTTTTGGATGTTACACTCAAAAGCGCATAAATATCGATTGTTCCATTTAATTCACTAATTTGTTTTATCTAATTTTTTTTTCAGCATGAGGCCATCATGTCTTGGACCTTTCAGGTACGAAAGTAAACGAATTGGTTTCGATCAACTTTATTTGTAAAAACGCCGAGGTTCGTGAGTTTAAAACTAATTTAGGAGTGTCTGATTCCCCCCTTAGAAATGGCAGTTACTCGTTGCCAGTTTCCAAGTGCTTTAATATAAAAGCGCAAATTTTTTTCGATGGAGATCACTGTCTTGCTCTCACACTATTTCTCCTAAATCTCTATTCGTATGCTCAAATTTTGATACTTTCGTTGCCCAATGCGGTGTAAACGCGTGGCTAATACAAAAACTAATATCAATGTTAGAATAATAATAAGTAAGGATTAATTGCTTTACGGCAACTACCACGAGGAGAAGATCACGACAAGCTCAACCACGAAAGGTTCGCGAGCTAAGCCACTTATTAATTTGTTCATAATTCTCTGTGTCTTTCAGCAATGCAAACTGCAACGCAGATGCGAGAATGTACCAGGTTCTCACAAAGGAGATTTCAACGTGGCCATCAGTAGTGCAAGAAATCATCAACTTTGTTACGACAGTAACTTTTATTTTTCCTGTCCTGACAGTAGTTTGGTAAGTTTATACATATATATATATATATATATCATCTATCATCCTCACGTGTAACATAAGTCGAGAGGTGTCAGGAATATCGGTGATAATTGCACGGTATTTTTGGACTGGAAAAAGTGGAATCATGAAATTTGATTTATTTTACTTAGTTTATCGATTAAGTAATGATTCTCTATTGGTATTATCGGTTTCTCGGATAGTTCGTATCCTATAAGTCTTATCATGCCCTAGATTAATACATTTGTACCGCCATTCGACAAATTTTGGTTTAACCACCTACATTGTGGAGGGTTTAGAAACACGGATACAATCTCTGGACACCGCTTTTTAAATAGAGATAATGAGTTACATGTATAAACAAGGAACAGAAGAGAAAAACTTGACTTTATTTACAGATCACAAACGAAGAACGGCAGTTCCGTCTTACACATAAAAAGGCAATATGGCCAAACTTGACAAAACTCGATCGTGTTACTAACAATCTGATGATAAATTTGTCCCTCACCGTCATCTATGACATTCCTTTCTGAGACTAACCTCACTCCGACGATCATACGCTAAGATCAACACTTAAAACTGTACCCGCCGTGTTTTGTTAAACATTGAATGCTAGAAAAAAACATCTTGAGGTGGGTCGATAAACAGGTCAGTTGATCAATTATGAGATTTACAAGGCAGGTAAACTGTGGAACCAGAAACAGGTGGCTCTATTCACATAAATTATTTTTCGTTTTTCAACAGTGAGCCCTTTGGAAAACGTATTGTCTAGAAAATGTAGTTTTTCTAGGTGTACCATTGGATTTTCTTTTCAAAACCCATCTGTTTGGTCTAGACTGTAGAGCAATTTTCAGGAGATGCCATATTTTGTATTACAGTAAGGCAAGTAGTTTAATTATCCAAAACTTCTTCGATTTTACATGGAAAAACGACTCTTGCCATTTGGACTAAAATATTTTTCTTTTATCTCCGTCTCCTTCTTTTACTTCTTTTTTGTTTAAAGGAAAAACCAAGAGATTACACAGTTTAAAATCTCTTGAAAAAAATCTGATTTGTATTTCATCTGCAACGTCACTGATCTAGCGCTATCGTCAGGTTTTTCACGTTGGTGTTAATTCATTCCTTTCGTCCATTTTATTTTACCTTTTGGACTATGGAGAAAGTAACTCCTTGCTCATCTTCCAACTCTGTGTCTTCGCCGATTTCTCCGTGTTCATTTAGTTCACAAGTTCCTTTGCCAATTTCCAGGGATGATTCTTTGAAGTTTGTTGAAGTACACCACGAGTTTCTGAAGCACGAATGGTTGCATATCATCAAACTGGGAGATTTAAGCTTTTTAACAGCGTAGCCTGTAAGGCATTTGTTTTCGTGAACAGCAAATAGTTCTGAAAGACAAAGTATGAAATTTTCTTCAGCGGCAAAAACTGACAGTTGTATCAATCTAAGAAAACGAACTCGAGAAACGCGGTTCTGCGGTTTTTCGGGTGAGAATTAAATGCCTGCGTCCAATCATACAATTTTTTTTAAAATCGAAATTGCAGTGATTTTGAACATCTGAGTAATTCGTTAGAGCATCCAGTTTAAAAAGACCTTAACTTGAACCTATTAGATAATACAGAACAAAAAATGACAGTTGACTCCCACTGGTTAAAGGAAATCGTACAATTTTACTTTTTCATCAGTTAAAACTGATATATTTATTATTGACTCATTTTTCTCTCATTATTCACCTTCCTGAATTCAACTTCAATCCTATGTCAACAATCAACTGTGTAAAGTCCAAGCAGGGGATCGGAGTCTCTCAGTCTTCACCTATCGTTTGCCGTCTAATTAATTCACAGTGTAGTTTTCCTATGTTATGATTGGTCAATGTCTTCATCCAGCCGTAAGGCTCTCTAAGCTTCCATTCCCTGTTCCCGCCCCTCTCCTCAGTTTAAAGTCGATTTTATACACTTGTATTTTTCTCTTTCACAGTTTACTGTTGTACTACTTCAGATCCATGGCTCTTTCTCTTTTACAAACTATTGAAACCCTCAAGGATCAGTTGGCATTGGTATGTCAGTAAAAATGTTGCTAAATTCGGTGTAACGCTCTTATTGCCTCTTTGAATTCTGAATTTATCAAAGATCTTGCTTAGCTAGCGCTGTAATTAGATTCAAGAGTCCAGCTTCGAGTCGTGGCCAAGACGATGTGTTGCATGATCTGTATTGATGCCTGGGCTCAAAAACCATTTGTCTTTTTGGAAAATGGGCCTGCGCTCTCTCCTTGAAGTTCTCGGGAGGACTCAGGGTCGATAAAAGCTTTTTTCCAGATCTCTTCATCAATCTATAAGTGCACTATATTGGCCCTCAACTTTTTCATGTTTCATGATATCATACATACTTTTCATAAATATAACAAAAAGATATCCGTTTCATATTTCAGGAGGGTAGAAACAAGAGAAAGCTCGAGGAGAAACTTTACCGATACGAAGAGGCTGAAGGGAAAAGCACTAAAGCTGTCCATCCCACGGTGGTCAGTGATAAGCAGAGAGATTCACTAGCACCACCCGACAGCTTTTTTTAACCCGTTCATCCCTGAAATCTGAAAGCCAGCTCTCCTAAATGAAGACCATTCAATACATTGGTTGCTATTCTTGAGAATGAGGCGTAATCTTCAGACTACATCCATGAGCTGATGATTCTCTCAGTCTGTGCAGATCCGTTTCTGGGGAAAATTCAGAGGACGATCACCTTGGATTCAGAGTTAACGACTGATACGCGAAAGAGCACTCTATCTTTCTTATCGTCTCATAATATGATCACTTTTCAGGTGCCATGATTGGGCCAGAAAACTGGGTCGAGCACATGGAAGCGAGGTCTACCGATAAACTTTGAACGTAAAGCGAATTAACCATTACAGGGCTTTCTTTCGTGATTTGACTTGATTTGTTTGAGTATTTATTTCTCACGTGAAGTTGTGAGATAAAATTTCGTAAAAACAATGGTTTAAAGGTTGTCGTTTCACACTATTTCTCACAGAAAGGTTACCTACAAGCATCAATTCCATGTAGTTTAATGTAGTTTACGCTATTAATTCCTGGCTCGCCGCTTACCACTAAGCGGGGAGACTGGGAAGTGAGCCAACTCCTCCTACCCGAAACCTTCAAGTAAGATCAACAGACGTGAGATATCAGGAGAGCTTATCAGGGGAAAACCCGTCGATCGAGGTGAAAAGATCTATAGGCAGAAAAAATACTCTTAGAGCTAAGGTAAAAGTTTAGAATGTTCAAATTAAGTACAACAATTAACTACATTACAAAACATATGGCAACTTGCCAAGCGAGCAACCTTTTTTAATTTTGTTTTTATACCCGTTCAAAATATTAAACAAAATTTTTTTCATTAAAGCAAACTTCAATTAAAATTATTTTTCACGAAAACGCAACATAAAAAATCCACAGAAGTGAACATTTTGTTTTTTTCAAAAAAAGATATATATATATATATTGAAAGTAACTGATCCATTCGCAGAATTATCTTTCAACTCGATGCTATTAAAAGTGCAGGGATTTCATAAAAATATATATTTTTCAAATATACCATAACCGAGTGCCGAGGAATGTTCAAATATAGATATTTAGCCACTTTTATAGTTGCTTTTATTTGTATATCTTTCTAGATGTATAATTCGATTTTTCGACATCAGAAGAGAAACGATAAAAGTGTAAGCACTAACTTGCGTGTAGGGGTGATAAATGAATAAATTATTATTTGTTTATAACATATTTTGATGAACATAACTTGATGAAAACTTATGTAGGCCAACGTTTCGCCCATCATTACCAAAACATGCAAAGTTGACAAATGTTGTAGGCGGCATTTCTAATGAAATAAAGAGCTTCATTTGTTAGTATAGAGGTTTTTTTTTTTTGTATGTGTTTGTCTGTAAGGATGAATGAGGGGGAGGATATGACTGAACAGTGAGATCTCAGATATGTTTTCACGAAATCTGGCAATAGGTGAAATACTGTTCAATAACAACTTCTAAAATGCAAATAGGCAATTTTTCCAAATTAAGAAATCAATGAAACGCAAGAAAAGTTTTTGTTCAAAACAAAGGTTGCTATGGTGATGGCGAAAAATCGATTTCAAAGTTTCGTGCCAATAATAAAACAAAAGAAGTCAATGCTCAAGAAAAAGGATAAATTTTTGTTCTCTGACATAATACAATATGACGTACGTATTCGCAACACGAATTTCCTGCGTGAGTAAAACGTGGAGTCACTAAGGAAACCGTCGTGTAGTTTAAGTCGCAAAATGTCATACGCAGTCTGTGAAGTTTACCTGACTACTTTAGTTTTTAATTATTGTTTCAAAAGTTAACTGATGTAAGTTCGCATAAATTTACCTAGCCATCTGTGTTTACTTTTCGCTTCTTGTCATTTACAGCAACCGGTGCACATCGGTTGCTGTATTATTTGACCTGTTTTTTGCCGTCGAGTCTTGATTCAACGTTTCATTTAGGCTTGGTTTGATCATTTCCGTTTTTGAATACAAGACTTGAAATCCTTGTTTTTAGGTTGTCAGTTTTCCATCGAAAACGGGAAACGTCACTGAAAGCGTTCGATATTGGATCAGTGACCTGATGAAGACCACCAAAGAGTGTGTTATTTTTCCTTGTGTAATACCAATTTCAAAACATTAGATTGACTGTAAGAAAATATTTGCGTTTTGAAGACAGATCTTCCTCTTCATGTTTGAACAAAAATATGACGTAGTTGATCATGGTATAATTCGAGTGAACCCAATCTGCTCAGGACGTACAAACAAGATGTACTATCTGGAGATTTTATTTTGCCCTCCTAATGAAGATTTCAGCATTGTTTTGGCTTCTACATGTGAAGTTTTCATTGACTCACTAATCAAATAAGGGCGACTTTCGTAAGAGAACTTTTTGTTAAGCGTGACCACGACGACCATAGAGGTCGGAGGGCGTTAGTTGTGCACAATATCATCAGCCAATCAACATCCCTCACTTTAAGTGGCCTTTCGCAGAACCAATCAGCTACGGTGTTTTAGTTAGCACAAGCGCAAACCACTTCTTTGCGAAATATTTCTCACGTTTCAGGAAGTAACAAATAATAATGAAGAGCCAATTTCATATCGTAGCGCCTTGTCTTGGCAGATTTACGTTATTCTTGGGGATGATACGAACTCTACGATCAATTTAGATTCTTCATTCTTGGTTATGACTGGTCGCGTGTCCCCTGGTCTCGGCGCGATGTCTAACTCGCAAGAGATGCTGGAAATGGGATCTCGAGGATCCAACTGTGAGTAATCTTGGAGTTGTTTTGAATTATCGAGCTTTTGCCTTGTTTCTATGTCTGTTGTCGCTCAGTATCTCGGGAAAAACCGTTATGTGACCCTCCCCCTCAAGCTTCGTGTCTTCTCCACTGAAGTCTGTACAATTTGTTTGAAGATCCATACGAAGGCATGGAAGATGATGCCGAGACACAGAGGTCGATTAATAGAAGCTTTCGGAACCTTCCTAGCCGCAGCGCCCAGAGATCCTTGCATAACGCAAGCACTAGAAAAAGAGGTACTGTTACGAGAGCATCCATGAGAGCAAATCAAGATGTTGAGGTATTAAATATTGAGGATTATAACGATGAGGAAGACGACATGGCAAGCCCAAAAGAACTTGCTCAACCGATGTCTGCGAAACGACGCTATAAGTAAGTGATTTTAATATCTTTTGGTGTTTAGTCAAGGTTCCTGTTGAATAAGGAACGTAAGGTTTTTCTGAGTTCAGACAGTATTGGCGAGTTTCGTCCAGCAGTAAGGGATGTTAACGAACGTAATTTAAAATTTCTTGTTCGGCATTGCTGCGATAAGCTTAGAAATTGAATCATGTATGTTACACTTTTTTTTTTTGTGAGGTTTAAGTTTTCAGTTACTGATATTCAGCGGCAGGAAATATGTAGAGTACTTTGTTACCTTAAGTACCTAGCGGTCCTATCTTTAGGCTAATCGAAATTTTAAGTTTGTCGTTCGTTGAACGAAGAAGTGGTTGCGTGTACAAGTTATCTGTCTGTCGTCGCTCTGCTGGCACAACAATAAATGAATTCATGAGAGGATTAGTAACCGTGAACAAATGCTGCATATCAATGTGCTTTCGTGCCACCGTTTTCTACTGCAGCTCTTATGAGGGGCTTCAAACATCGGTTCATTTTAAATGTGAGCCTTTTAAGAATGATTTCATCTCTCAAATCCCTTGAGTACTTATGAAAATATAACTTATTATGTTTACATGAGTGCGAAGAATTTATATTTACTGTCAGCCTAATCTTGCAGTATTTGAAGAATGTGTGGACTTGCCGAATGTAAACGTTTCAGTATTCGTTTATGATGTTGTTCGAAAACGGTTTTGCAAAATGTTTTCGGATAATTCATGTTTGGGCCAGTTTCAGTATGATCGTATACGCCAAATAATATTACTTTGTAAAGGGTTATACTTCGTTATGTGAGAGTATTGCCAGTGGTGATAAATATTAATTAGCATCCGTTAGTGTTAGACGCAATTGTCAGATCAGAGTATCATATTCATGATTATTATTAGATTTCCAAATGACAGGAATTTATTTTGAATTGAGAAGCTGGGAAGAATTATTATTTGGGTTTTAAATCATAGTGAATGTGATTTGAGGTGAAAACTTTTAAAATTACTGCGAAGATCGCTTCCATATTAATTTTTTTTTAGTATTCAGTTCATTAATTTCACATCAAACTAGTCTGGTCTAATGTCTGCATCCTCACAAGTCTCATAGGAAGGATTCCTTTCCAGTATCTGGGAGATCTGACTTGTGCTGTTTGGTCAGTGCCAGTTGGATGAGGTTGAGACAACTTTAACCCTTTAACTCCCAAGATCTGATTGTCAATTCTCCCTGGTAACTGCCACACATTTCCTTGTAAATTAGTTATAAGAACTTGGTGCTGATCAAGATAGCAGCTTCTACTTGATAAGTTTGAATATTCTCATTACCTGTTTGCTGAAGAATGTATAGATATTGTAGGGAGAAGTTTTATGTTGATCACTTCTGGGAGTTAAAGGGTTAAGTTTCAGGCAACACTGAATCCAAGGGCACTAATATCATGGCTAGTAGTATAAGGAATTGACTACAGTCAGCTGAGAACATTCGAAGAGGGAATTCTCTCACTAACCTTTATTACATCCATTTTGAAATTGCTGGAGATCCTTCTAATGCAACTGGCTCTTACTAGTGGGATTTGTTCATGAATCACACCATTTTTTTGCCCTCAATTTCCCAGCCAACAAGGAAGCTGTATTAAAATACAATAACCAATTGCTTGTTTACAGAAACCAATCAAATTGCAAGAAAGTGAAAAACAACTTTAATTTGCAACTTTCTACAAACTAGCTCACTACCAGATCAAATAAGCATTTGTACAGACAAAATAATCCTTTTCTTGGGCAATTTAATTTTGCAATATCAAAATGGATGTGTGTGATTTCAAATCAAACTTGTGCTGCACTCTTGTTTGATTTTGAAATCATGCATATTATTTCAGACCAAATTGCACTCTACTCAATTCAATTACCATTACTAATCAGAATTTTGTAGCCAGATCAGTCAGTGTCTAAAATTTATGCACCATTCTTTTGATATGTTTACAAAAATAATGGAAAGCTCTCAAAAAAAGTGCCATGGTTGTTACTTAAAGCATTGGCTTCTGGCTAAGAAGCAGGAATTGCTCAGTAAAGCACAGTGAGCACTTCTGAGTCTATGCTCTTACAATTATTGTGTGCCAGCTTTCAGAGCTGCATCACATGAAATTTCAGTGATGGGCACCCTAATTTCTTAGTTACAACCCTGACATCCTGAATCTCTTTTGAACAGGCTTACCACTTCAGACTATTGCTGGTGTCCTGTCTGCTGTTTTACAATTTTTACATTTAAAAGTGATGCAGAGAATTAGTTACTAATACTTTTGTTTCTTGCATTATCAGGAAGTCAATGCGAACTATGAAAACTCAAAAACGTATCTCAAGATGGAAAGCATTCAAGTTACGAGTTGCAATGGTTAGATATGGAAAATGTATTTTATTATTAAGTCTGTTTAAGGGAAGTGGACCCTTGAAAGAGGGTTGGGGTGGAGGGGGAGGGACTCTTTGGAGGTGCAAGAATTCCTTTTAGCACACCAAAGAAAGCCTTTTTTTCGAAGCATAGCCTTTACTCTTTTTTAATAACTAATGCATGATTATATTTTTTACTTAAAATTTGATGGAACAATTTTGTTTTCACTCATGTCCCCCTCACCCATCACTATTGTAATTGTCCGTCCAGAAGTCTATCTTGTGACAAGCATTTTTGGAACGCTTTATGGTGTTACGGAGGTGTGGTTTATGGCTGTGTATTAAAAATATTTTCTGAAAAACGCTAGATGTATTCCTGATCTTAACAATAACTATTTTAATAATTAAATTTTATAAAGAAAGTATCACACACCAAAGCAAATTTTGATGGTCATGGTCATTTTTGATATTCTTATTCTGTACAGTTCTGGCAATCAACCACATCTTCGATATCTGAATGGAGTCAAGATCTTGAACTTTGGAAAGGTCCCTTAAAGGAAGTGGAAGGTGAGAACAAACCTGATCATTTTATTAACTCTAACTCCCAGATCAAATTTGTAATTCTCCTTACTGTCAACCACACAATGCTTATAATGTTAGTTCAGAGAATTTAGTAATGGATCAACTAATTATCCCCAAATTGATATTTTTCTTTATTCTCATCACTTTTCTGATTGATATTATATTGATATTGTGAGGAGAAATTCTTTCTTGGTCACTCATGGGAGTTAAAGGATTAAAAAGATGTAGGATATTTTTTTAAAGAAAAATGTCTTTTCATCTTGTTTGGGACAAAGAAAAAATTCTGAGTCCCCATGAGGAATCAAACCTCAGTCCTTCAGATTCCATGCTCCAAGGCTCTACCACTGAGCCTCAGAGACTATGGTGAGTAAGGTCTATTGAGAAGTTCATGTACAGCACTCAATATGATTATAGATCAGCAATGTTGGCAATGTTTGTAAATAGAATAAGAAAGTTGGTAAGTTTTGAGCTTGATAAAGAAATAGAGAAAGATTTTAGTTAAATTCTCTTTATTACAAATAGGAATATAATTATATAATTTTTACAACACTTGCACATCCTATAACTAGTCCTCTTAAACATTGCTGATATGGTAAAAGGCTGTCATGGAAATGGACTTTATCTCAAATGCTCATCCCTTAAACTCCTGTACCAGGTTGTTCAAAGTCTCATTAGCACTAACCCAGGGTTAAAATTTAATCCTGGGCCAGGTTGTTTGAAAGGGGGTTAACATTAATCTAAGATTAAAAGTTAACCTTGGTTATTTGAAGAGTGCATATAATGGCTAAGGTTTTGTTGGATTTTATCTCAGTATGACTTGAAAATAACTGAAAAAAATACAAAAGAAAAATCCTTTGGCAAAGCTATTAAACTCAGTTGAAGATTATACTAATCCCGTGTTAGGTTAATTGTGTTTTGAACAACCTGGCCCAGGTCTCTTTATTCCTTTGGTCAAAAGCCTTTTTTCAGTCCTGCAATGAAAATTTCAGATTTATATCAAGATTGTATTTGTTACATCTGATTATTACGGAGTTTGGAATTCTCATCTCCTGTTTGCATGACATTGTATCAATTCAGGAGAAGTTGTAAATAGATTGGATGCAAGCTTTTAGATCATTTTGTATTTCATGTTATTCAGGGTTGTAGCTAAGAAATTATGGATTGTGGCTGAAGTCTTAAGTAAGATGGCTAAAAGATGACATTTCATTTTCAGTCCTTTGTATAACTTTGAATGTGGGGCTTCTAAGCTTCCTGTCTATCAATTGGCAAGGTGAAAAACAGAAAGAAGTCATAATTGAAATAAGTACTTAAAACAATGTTTATTTGAGTTGTAATCCCTGAAGTGCCTGTTTTGTGTTGCTAAAATACAGCTGGCAATCATCTCATTTTCATCCAGAGAATTTCAGTCTGCCTCTCTCAACAAACTTTGATACATTTTTTAAGGCATTTGTTAGATACCTGGGGAATGTACCAAGGAGATGGAGTTTAAGGGGATAAACTTCTCGCCCTAGACAAACTCTTTACTCTACTTCAGCTTAAAATTAATGGCATACTTTAATGAAGTGTATGTTCTGTATTTTCTCAGGTCGTTTTGGAAATGGAGTTGTGTCATTTTTTCTCTTCCTGAAGTGGTTAATGTTTTTGAACTTGGTCATCTTTTTCCTGGAGTTTGGACTAGTTTCACTTCCAGCAATAGTCATTAAGAATACTACTGCACAAGCCAGTACAAACCGGTGTGACTTTAATGCACTTAATGCACGGAGTGTTTCAAACAGCATAGCAGACAAACTTTTTGACTTTGTCACAGGACAGGTAGGAATTTTGATGCATTCACAATATAAGGTGATAATATTCATAAATTAAACTGAGTAAAAATGCCAGCTTAAATTTGAAAAATGAGTAAATTTCAAATTAGAGTTGTTATAGGGAACTTGTTTTGTTTTGAGGCAGCCTTGTGGCTTTTCATGCAGGTTGGTTTTTAAAATATTTCTCATTTTGTTTGGATACATCTTTGGAGTCTCTGAACGGATTTCTGCAGTACCTTCTCTAAGTTCTCCTATGTGGTGCATGCTTTGAACAGATTTTGAGTTCAGTTGTTACATGTACTTCTTGTGACTCACCTCATATCCCACTAGCAATTTGTTAAGTTAGCTACACAGGTCACTGTTAACCATTTATACTTAAAGCTTGGAGAGAGGCACAACACTACAGAAGAGTCAATTACCAGCTAGCTAAGATTTAAACTTAGACATGACTTGGTGCTGACCTTTGCTGGTTGTAAACTGAATCAACCCTTTCACTTGCAAGATCTCATCAATAATTTTTCTCACTGTCTGCCTTACAACTCTGAATCTACTAATAATCCCCTTATTTATAATAATGTTTTCTCTTTTTTTTTAATTTCTTGTCAACAGAACACTTGATAAAATGATTGTAATTGGTATTGTAAGGAGAAAGTTAGTCCTGGTCAGTCATGGGAGTTGAATGGTTAAAACTTGTTTGACTAAACATGCTATTGTTTTCCTCAGGGCTGGATTAACACAACCCTCATGTTTTATGCTGGATACCCAGCCACAGAATTGTTATCAGAGGAAGATGTCAAGTATGACCTTCCACTAGCTTACCTCATGGTTGGAGGTGCATATTTCTTTGGCAGCCTCCTTCTTATGGTTCGGAAGTAAGCAGTGCATTTTCAACTTTTGTATAATACAGTCTAATTGTTGTTATTGAAGCTTTTTATGGTTTCTCTTAGCCACAAGCTTCAAGAGAGCTTGCATGAAGTGGATGGAGATTCAGTAGCAAGTGAAAGCATGTTTGTTTGTACTCCATTGTGTTCATGTAATTCCTATAAATTAAAGCAGCTCAAATTTTAGAGCGCATGGAGATACTTTAGACATCAATGATTTCCAAGTAACCAATTATCACATGTTGTCTTAACCCTTTCATTTCTCAACTCTAAATAACAGTTCTTTATGCTGTGACTGCTATGCAATTATTGAATTTTAGTTATTGTTAGTAACTCTGAGGATTAAGTGTTAAATAAAATATATATCCCGACTTGATATTTTTCTTTATCTTCATCACCTTTGTGTTTGAAAATGCATTCATATGATGAAGAGGGATTGTGCTTTCAATCAGTTACCCCCTAGAGGCACAAGGGTTAAAGCCTCCAGCTGATATTAAGGAAGATACCCAGTGTAAGATATATTCATACAGAAGTTGTGTTTTTCATTTCTTTAGTTTAGCAAAAAGTTTCCAGCAAAGCTATATTGAAAGTGGTGGAACTACCTCCTCCTTCTGCAACAAAGTGTTTGCCTCATGGGATTTCTGCATAAGTGATGAAAACACGGCTAAGATAAAGAGTCAGAACATAGTACAAACTGTCAAGGTATGTGCTTGATAACAGTTCAAGACGTTGAGATTCCTGATCCCCACCATCAAACTGCAAACTTAAAACATGAATTTTGCCACAGGTGTGAAATAAAATCTAGGGATGCAAAGGGAAAACTGATTATTGCATACTTGTAAAAATATTGACAATCATGCTCTTTTTAATCTTTCAAGATGACAAACTGACCTTCCCTATGTTTCTCCTGTACTGGACTGCCTGTCTTTCTGCAATTTTCTGAATACCCATTTGCAAAATTCCCAAGTGTGTCTTGTTCATGTTAACAGAATCTTTGTCCTCTTTCTCCACATAGTCTTGAATTCTGTGCTTTAGAAGTGATAAACTGAACCTGGATCCTAGATAACCTACTGTGGACCAATTTGCTTGTGGGCAGTGTTTATTTGCAGTTGATTTATTTACTGTATGTTGCCTCTATTCCTTACAGGCAGAATTAGCTGAGGAGGAGAGACTAGAAAGGGTTCAGAAACGAACTACTGGTGATAAATGTCGCCTGTATACTGTGAGGTTTGTCACCAATTTAGTGGTGACACTGTTACTAGGTGGAGCTGTATTTGCCATCATTACAATAGTGGCTGTTTCTACAAACCCTGTAAGTATTCTCTTCAACATAGTCAGTGTAATATTGAGAGGAAGGAAATGATATCCTACATTCAGTCCCAGTGTAATGTATTTACTTGTTATTTACTTGTTATTTACTGGGTTTAAAGGTATTTAATAGTTACATGTAGCTGTTACAGTTGGAAAAAAGTTACTCACAGTGAAATGTGTGCTGAGCAGTTATAAAACCCTTGTGCTGAATTCTGGCTTCCCTTCCCTCATATTGTCAAGTTAACCTGTACAAGGGGCTTGACCCATCAGTTTTCTTTGTAGCCCACTGATTAAAAACTAATTACTACAAACCAATCATATGTGTAACTGGATCATTAAAAGCCCTCATGGGCAGAGGCATATCACACTAGCTATTGTGTATGTCTAAGAGTGGTTGAGGAATTGAACAAAGGATTACTCAGACATCAATCTCTGGTGATCCAAGTAGAACAAACTTGAATCCAAGACCTCTGGAATCATAGTTGGACTGGTTTTCCACTCAAAAAGCCTTCCTCTTTTAGGGAAGAGGGGGTGAGGGAGGGTTAGAATAACTTTATTGTATAACCTGTGTTAAGAGGGCATTGGTAAGAATCTCAGGGGTGTCCACTGGATCCAGAGTTCACTTTAAAGTTTATTTATTCATTTGTTATTTCTTTATTCAGGAAAATCAAATTGCAGCCGCAGAAATCAATACATTTTTGGGGACAGTATTAAACTTTTCACCATCACTGACGATCACCTTTTTGAACTTCCTTTTACCACTGATCTTCAATTTTTTGTCAAAGTTTGAGGATTGGAGTCCCCGTTTTGAAGTGAATATCAACTTGTTCAGGTAAGATGTAGTTTAAAGATTTTAGGGCTTTATTTTTGCTGTAATTTATAATTGAAAAGCATTTTTTAGAAATGGGCAGTGAGAAGAAGTAAGCCAACCAAAGTAGCAAATTAAAATTTATGGAATCTTTCAGAAAATGATTTTTTTTAGCCTATTTATTAATTTTTTTTTTCACTTAAAATGTTTGTGTTTCCCAATACCTGTTGGGTCAAGTAGAAGTAACCCAAAACAAATTGGCTTCTTACCTCTGATTTTTGATGAAAGTAAATCACCAATTACTAAATGTAGCTGGAAATAGTTATTAGCACAACTGTGACAAATGTTATCCAATAATTTTGGCAGGACTGTGTTGTTAAGGTTAGCATCTATAGCTGTACTGATGATCACACTCTATGTGGATGTGGAAGACAGGTGTAATGATGACCCAAGATAAATGTTGCCAGCAGGTTAGCGTCCATTTTCAAAATAGCGTAGTTTATGGCTAATGCTTGAAACCTCAGCATAGAAACTCTTACAGTAGCCAATTTACCTTATCAACTCAGTTGATATTACTAAATTACCCTGTTATACTCTCCCACTGATGCAGCACCATAGTTTCTTTAGAAACTTACCACCTTTATCCATTTACAAATAGACCTGTTGTGTCGAAACAAATATTTTTTGGAAGATCTCTTGCAGCCTTGTTGGCTTTGTGGTTAGGGTAAACTGGATTATAGATGGAAAGGTGCAGGTTGGAGACCGTAGGCCAGGTCTTTGTGTTGAGTCTTTGTGTTGAGAATCAAGACACTTGATTCTCCTGGTGCCTCTCCCCACCCAGAAGTATAAATAGGACCCAACCAATTTTCATGGAACACTGACAAAATAGTGACAGAGGTGATGAGGGGGTAACCTTGGATAAAGTAGCATCCCACTTAGGGGAAGTGGTAATACTCCTATAAATTGGGATAAGCACTTAGTCTAGCTATGTGGGCCACTTGGCTTGGATCTGAACTCCATTTTTCACCTCTATTTTGGTTTTACATCTAATATTATATACTTGATTGATTGAATAGAATTGGGAAAACCAGATTGCATCACAGATGTACATGTTGATATGGATTGACTTTTTTCTGCACATTGCTGTATCACTTGTGGGCACAACTATCTGGAGGTAATTATTAGAGTCCATGCTTCCATTTGATCAATGATTGCATTGACAAAAGTTATCGTTTGAAAACCAATTGATGCAATTTTTTATTTTTTTCTCGGCTGCAGTCAGTCATTATTAAAAACATTGTTAGTAATGGGCATGTTAAAACAGAAGCAAATTAAATTGTGAATGGATCAAACTCATTCAATCACAACCAGAAACATGACCTGGTGAGCCCTTGTAACATTACACACGTCTATTGAGGAAAAGTGCAAAACAAGTGCTTCATACAACTTCACAACTCATATGATATTGAAAAGTGAATTCACTTGTTGATGTTGAGTTTCTTCAAATTACATATCATGACACTGGATAATCATTTAATTACATTGATTTTCCTTTTGATTTGTCAGACTGTTGTACAAGCACACATCCTGTTTCAAGAAATTTGGCTTGCCTGAATTTGATATTCCAAAACAGGTTTTACAGCTTGTTTATGGTGAATGTTTAATTTGGTAAGTTTTTTGGTTTTTCATCAGGTTTTGTATAATAAGTTGAATTGTGCATGCCTTTTATTTGGTTCTTAATTACTGGATTATCTGTAGGAGGAAAGATGCATAGATGACATCACTATTAACAAAATTTTGCTGTTTCATCATATATTCATATATCGTTTCATCATATATGCTTATATATGCCAACTCTCCCTGATTATCTGGTATTCTCCTGGATACACAAATTATTTCATGAACTTTCTCCAGTAAACACTAAAATTGTTTGTAAGTGTCATTTTTTTGTGAATTAATTTGATATCATAATGATTGCAGGATTGGAACCTTCTTTAGCCCCCTCATGCCAGCCATGGGTGTTGTTAAACTTTTTCTGGTGTTTTACATCGAAAAGGTCTGTTAGTTATCTAATCATCATGATTCATGAAGATGAAATAAATTGTTTTTGAATGAGTTGCTTTAATTGGTCACTTGATGAGGTGTGTCGTCAGAAATACTTTAATTGAGACACACTCATGATCTTCAACTCCCCTTCTTTAAAGGTTGCCTTGATGCACAATAACAAGCCATCAGACAAGGTTTATCAGGGAACACGGTCAAATTATTTGTTTACAGTTTTACTGCTGATCTCCTTCCTCATGTGTCTTATTGCTGTTGGTTGGGGAATAACAAGGTGTGCCATTTTGAAATCAATGCGATTTTCTTTTCTGTGCAATCTTAAGCCATCAATTCAAATTTTCTAAGTCTTTGACATTAGTGTAAGCATGCAGTTCCTTTTTCACTGTGACTACAGATTAGATCTTGCTATCATGATTATCAACTATTAAAAATGAATGATTTAAGTGCTGTTGCCTCAAAACTTCAAAGGTCACTTTGACCTCCTATCCTTTCACTCCTAAGTTCTAGTTATTTTGATTCTGTCTACTGTCAGCCATATGATTCTCATGATGCTAGTTTGGAAAATTTGGAATTGGATCAACTGTCTTAAAGCTTATTCTCATCACTTGTCTGTGTGCTATTGCAAGGAGAAATTCTGTCTGGGTCATTTTTGAGAGTTAAGGGTTAATTTCTGAAACACAAAACATTTTGTGAACTAATGCCAAAAATCTTTTTTTTGTTATTATCCAGGGTGAGGCCTTCATGTCAAGGACCATTTAGGTATTGTTTTATTAAGAAAACAAAAATATTAAATTAAGATGTTAAACGTGAAGCTTTGAATTATTTAAATAAGTGATGTTTAACTTAATTTATGAGAATTCCTTTATAACTGGCTGTCTGTAATGTTCCAAGAGCATACTTAGGCAAAAATCATATAAGAAATCAGATTATTTTATATGTAATTTTGATGAGTTTTTTTTCTCTTTTTTAGCAATTTTAACTGTGATGAGGATAAGAGAATTTTGGATGTTTTGGGTAAAGAGATTAGCACTTGGCCACAAGCAATCCAGGAAATTATAAATTACCTGAGTACAGCAGCATTTATTTTCCCAATTCTGATGATAATCTGGTAAGTAGGCTATTAAGTGTTCTCACGAAGATGCAAGTGGTGGTTTATTTATTACAAGGAACATCAGCATTATCATAACTTCACCATTGTTTAGAGTTCAACTGTGTCTTAAACAATTGAAAAACAGAATTTACATGTATCTTACTAACATGTTTTCTTTTTGTAGCTTGATGTTGTACTACTTCAGATCTATGTCAAAGTCTCATCTACACATGATTGAAATGCTGAAAGACCAGTTAGTTCTGGTAGGTTAATTAATTTTGTTCGATAGAGATTCTACTAATACCTACTGTTAAAGTACATTAACTGTCTATGGTAAATTTGTCAGCCATTCATGACAAGATAGGTAGGGAGCTGGTCTAACTTTCAATCAGCTGCTGTGTTAGTCAAGCAGTTAAGCAGTCAGTCAGTCAGTCAGTCAGCAGTTGGTCAGTCAGTCAGTAAGCAGTCAATCAGTCAGTCAGTCGAACAGGCAATCAGTCAGTCAGTCTGTCAGTTAGTCAGTCAATCAGTCAGTTAGCCAGTCAATCAGTCAGTCAATTGGTCAGTCAATCAGTCAGTCAGGCAGTCAATCAGTCAGTCAGTCAGTCAATCAGTCAGTCAGGCAGTAAGTCAGTCAGTCAACCAGTCAGTCAATCAGTAAGTCAATCAGTTTATTTTTTATTTTCTATTTTCAAAGTTACCATTTAGGAACGTAAAATCTTAAAATCAATGTTTGGTTGGAAAAAATGTGACCAGCAGTGGTAAAATAATGGAAAAAGATGCTTACACAGCTGACTAAATGGCTTTTTTAAACACCTAAACGTGATGACTGGCAATCAGTGGGACATTTTTCCATGTTTTTTGTCAGAAGAAAGGATGTTGCAAGGCTCTTGATTACTTGTCTGAATACCCAAAGAGACTGGGGCAAACATTTCAAAAGAAAAAGGGGGTGGATTTTATGGATATGCTTACCTCTGGACTATGAAATCATCAGAAAGAAAATGTAATATGCTCAAAGTATTCTGTTTGATTTGTAGGAGGGCAGAGACAAGAGGTTTTTGATGGAAAAAATGATTCAGAATAGTAAGAACACTGGTGATGTAGATGATGACTCATCTTCAGGGGAGACACAACACACAACACTGCAACCATCAAGCAACTTACAATTCTAGTGGAAGTAAATAATTACTATTATTATTTATACTTGTCTTCAGGGTCTCTGGAACATTTCTTAGGGAGTGTCATTGTAAAACATTACGTGGCTTTATTTAACATTATTTTTCTTCTTTCTAATTAGTCATGTATTTTAGAGGCCAATTATTTTATTTTCTGGTCAAGGAAATATTTATGAAAAAGTAGCTCTATTTGAAGTATTGAGTACAGTGTATATAGGTAATATTGCTGTAAGGGTGTACATGACCCTGTGCTTGTTTAGCCATGAATGAGCTTAATTATTCCCAGGAGCTACTGCTGTTTGCTACTCTGCAATTCATATAAAAAGTATCAAGCTTGTGTAAATTTTTTAATGCTACTTTGGTGTGACATGAGGTATTTTGAAGATAATCATGAGTATTTTTCTACGGCAGAGTTTTTCTATTCCAGACAGTAAGTGATATGTATACATATTTAATGTGCAGTTGGATTTTGGGCAGTTTATGATTTCATTGTTTTTTAAGAATCTAGTATTTTTTTTAGCTGACAAAATTAATTGACTCATGTGCATATCTTGATTGCACATTCCTCAACCTCAGGGCTTATTATTATCAAGGTTTACATTATGTCTAATCTTGCTCAGGATAATTATATTTTCTCAGGGTCTTTAAGGAGAGGTATGCTCCAGAAACCATCTGATTGTCATCCCTTCCTACTGAAAAGTTTGACACTGGCCATATTCTTAGATCCCAAACAGAAACCAAACCTTTTGCAAAACTTATCTTTACATGCTCCAAAATTTATGCTACAGATGCCTCAATCTTAAATCTTGCTATATAGTGACCTCGCTGCTTACTGGTAAAGTGCTCAGTCTTAATCCTCTCCCTTTTTTTATCTCTTGGAGATTGCAGCATTGAGTGACACAAAAAGAAACTCTTGACTTCAATAGTGCTTGTTTTCAGGATAACTAGACCAGCTGAGGTCAACCCTATTACTGAGTTGCTTTCAATGTAACCACTGTATACTAATTTCTATAAGATTTGATTACAGAATCTCAAACTGCATGAAGAGCTCAATCTGTGTAAACACATATAGTTGAAGGCAATAAAAATTTACGTGGTTTCTGGCCTGAGGCAGACCTCTCCTTTCACATGACCCCTTGGAGATAAATCTTTTTCCTACCTAATGTGTACAAAAACTGTAAATAGTGGATGGTATTGGTAAGATTCCTTTGGCAAGAAATTTTGCAACTTTTGACTCCTTCATTAAACATCCTTCATTCAAATCTCAAGCCTCATGTAATCTATGCAATGATTGTGTTCCTTTGTTTATTTTCACAATCATTTAACCTCAGTTGTACATAAGCTGTTGGAGATGTACCTTGAAGATTTTGAAAAGTTGTTTGTTTTTGAAGAGTCAACTGTGCCATCGAGATAAGAATATTTTAAGTAAATTTTTAGTGGTTGGATTAGTGCTGGGCACTCAAATAACCATTGAGCTGAACATTATTTAACAAGCTGTTAGCTGGGGTAGCTTTCAATAAAGCCTATGGTATTTTATTCTGAATTTTTTGTCTTCAGCTCTTGTTCTTGTACTGAAAACAAGCACAAAAACAGTTCATAAAGAGACACTTTCTAAATCTGTTGAGGTGTACCCTCCAGAGGGCAAAAGCTAAAAAAAGATAGCAATAATTAGTCAAGAAAATGAATTACTGAAATGATAGCAGGGTTGAACAAGATGCATCAAATATCTCTATTTTGGAGAAAAAATAAGGGGCTACTCATGTCTCAGCAGCTGAATTCTAAAGTTGCATTCAAGTCATTTGATAAAAGACAGTTCAGGCAAGTCTATCGTACTCTGTAATTGAGGGAAATAATTATAGTGAACAAAAGTTTCAATTTCATGTAAAATCAATAGCACATATTCTGATAATCCTTTGAGTTTTGAGGAGAATGAGGCAGTAATTCTTGTCACAGAAAACTGTCAACTTGAAACAATTTACCACAATGACTGCCATTAAAATTCAAATGAACATCAAATGAACATTGACAACATCAGCTAGACTCAAACCAATCCCAGTGTTTCCAGAGATATTTATTATCTGCCAAAAAAAAATTATTTTCTGAGTGTGAATTTCATTTACCCATTTCAAGAGACATCCACCTTTTTGCAGAACAAAAATAAAGTGCAAATTTAATAGTAAATGATGGGATGGTAGTGGCTAAGTGGAGAACAAGACAAGTTTTGGTTGTACCGCTTCCTTTTTTTGCTCAGCCTCTACATATACTTTGGCGCTATCTGTTTAGTGTTCTATGTTTTGCTTACTGAATGCCTGGAACCATGCAGCAATAGTAGCACAAGATTAAGCTCAAACTAAATGACTAACATTTTTCAACATGTATGTACAATAAATATAACAAAAATTTCTAGAGAGAGATCCACTCCACAAATTAAGTTTCAATTGCTAATGTTTCATCTGGTTCAAGTCATAAGTCTTACTTGCATACTTACTGTAACACCACAGATGGATTGTGTGAGATAATTGATGCACAATAATGATAATAACACATTTATATAACACATTCTCCATGTTATTATGCTCTAATCAACAATCATTCCAGGAGCATGCATTGGGTATGAGATGGTAGTTAGCCAACTTGGCCCACATAATCATCTCATATCCAACACACCTGAATGAAGTTATTGTTTTATTAAAAAAGCCCCAAAAAATAACCATTTTTTTCTCAGTTCATGAGTGGGTAGTATTTTACAAATCCTGCAATCTGACTGGTTCTGAAAGTGGTCAGTATTCTCCCCATCTGGCCCACTCACAGCGGGCAGTACCTGAAAAAATGTTTTGAAGTTTTCTTGGAAGCCTTTTAAATCACCTTTTAATATCATTGCGCAAATAAAAATGTTTTGATGCAAAACTTCTCTCTTTCATTTGCATTGCCCTTGTTTTCTCTACCATCTACTCGCTCATAAATTGTTCCATTTATGGAGAATCTTGTTGTAATTACAACCCTTCATCATTCAGGTTCTTTTTGCAACCATTTGTTAGGTTTTAGAAAAAAATAAAAATGTTATTCACCAGCCAAGGTTGGTCTGTATTGGGAAAAACTGTGCCCTCTGTCTTGTGTACCATCTGAGGCCCAAGACTTTGGGCACAGTTTTCCTAATACAGACCAACCTTGGCTGGTGAATAACATATATATCTCTCTAACTTTTTTTTTTTACAAACAAAGCCAATGTTACAATGTACAAATACTTTTAGTTTAACTTGTCTTCATCTGCAGGCATGGTATAATGGCTCATAACCCAAGGTGGGTAAGCCAATGAAAACTCTCGAATAGCTCTATCAAATGATCCAGTTTTTAATATTGTGCTTTACAACATTTTTAACAAAAAAACTAAAGAAACATTTAACCAATATTTTGGACCCTTCTCTTCAACAACCAGGAGGGAAGTTTTGTGAAATTCAAAGTAATGGTAGGTTGGTGCCAAAAGATTTATGGCATGTGGAGAACTGGTTATTTTTTATCTGGATTCTGCAGATTATCTTCCATGGTCACAGCATTTTTGTAAATATATATTTTCCTATTCCATTTAGCAGTTAAATAGTTTCAATCATCCAAGTACACTCCATATTCCTTCCTTAACCTGATCTGCAAATTAAAATGGAATTACAAAATTTTTAAATAAATTATCAAATGAGTGAGCTATTCATCTGAAGAAAGGGAACTGTACTGACATTGTTAAGCTGGATAATCAACCGCAGTTAAGGAGATGAACTCCACAACAATGTCAAAGCACACACGCATGTTTAAGCATCTAGTTCCCACGTCAAGAAAATAGCCCCTTTGATGATATTCACCATTTGAACCTCCATTCAGCGAGCACTTTACCTCGGATGCCAAAGCAACATGTCCAAAGTTTCATTACACGGTAGAAGTGTACTGTTAAGTCTGTTAGAATTGATATGGTAACGGTGAACTTACAGTTGCTTTACGGTAACAATTCCAGTATTCTCTTTGTTTTACACTACACGCACTAAACCAGCTTTGTTTCATGCATCTGTGAACGGCTTTATTCTCTTCCGCACAAGCCTCCATAGCCCTAAAAATGAACAAATCAAGAAATCCATGAAAAATAATCTTGACCAAACCGTGATGTCGATCGAAGTCAAAACCAACATTAACTTTTTCATCCATAATGTGAGACACTACCACACAGATTCCCATGAAATCACTTACATAGCTTTGACCACATATCGAATTAAATCCTTGTCACTCTTTGGCTCCACACTTGAATTTAACCGGCCTCTAACAAAAACATTCTTGGAGAAAGCATTATCCAGTTTCTCCATAAGTTCGTCCATGTTTGGTCAATTTCATCCCCTATACTCCCCAGACAATTTTGATGTTAGCTCCTGCTACTCTCCCCTGAGTAATCGTTTGTCCTAATGGCGGCCAAAGTGGCAAGAGATTAAGAAAAGACCTCTCTCGATAGGTATTGGCTCTAGTAGGGCCGTGTAAAGGAAATGTCTAGACAAAATGCCAGTGAAAGCTTCCGTCAGAAGGTTAAGCAGTTCTTTGGCGTGAAAAAGGGCCATGCTATCCCAAGTAGCGTTTATGAAGGTCCAAAAGCTGACGATCGAGTGTTCCACCATGAACTGCTGCAGGTAAGCTTTATCTATACCCCTGTGAAATTTTGTGGCGAGCTTAATAGATGAGCTGAGCTGAAGTAAATAGGTATTTGCTATTTTGCTCATATTTGAATGTATATGAGGAATAGAGCGTGGTACTCTGAAAAAAAAAAATTGATTGTAAAATGTTTCTAGTGTTTGACTTGCTATTGCACTGATGTAGGATATTGGCAAGAACAGTCCTTTAGCAAACCGTGTGAAGTACTTAAGGGATCTGTGTGACTTTCTGATCAATAAACGGGTGGAAGATGTGAGTATGATGTGTAGAATTGAGTTAAAAAATTTTACATTTTAGATACTGCCACTTAAATGTTTCCTCACATTCCGTTATTTGCCTCTGCTAATCTTGCGGCGTTGAAAAAACCAGGATCGGATCGGATCGGATCGATCGGATCGGATTGGATCGGATCGATCAGATCGGATCGAAAAAATCGATCGGACCGGATTGGACCGGATCGGAACACGGATCGGATCCCCGATCAGACCGTAGATCGGATTACAAGGTTTTCTTTAAGGTTTTAATTAGCCGAAGTTCTTGTAAAGGTAAACGGTTGTGGGTCTCGAAATCCAATGTGGCGGACAAAACGTCATATCGTTCGTACTTTCCTGCAACCGCAGCAAGATTTGTCAAAAAAACAGTCCCCTTTAGAACGATTTTAAACTAACCTTAAGTCAGAAGTCTTTTTATGTTTTCAGAAAAGACAGGCAGTACAAATTTATATTTTTATTGAGCTCAAGTTTAGACCTGATAAACATCATCTTTGTACGGGCTCTTGAAGCAATAAAAGTAGCCGGCGAAACCTTGCAGAGAAGCCGGCGTACTTCGCCGGCTACCGGCTCTTATCTACAACCCTGGGATTATGGTGTGAAATAAAGTTTAGAGAAATAAAAAAAAATCAATTTGTTTTTAAAATAGTAATTAGAAATAAAAAATAAGATTAAAAAAAATTTAAAGATGTTATTTTTTACTAGATATGTTGCGTGACAAGCTAAAATAGAGTCTAATGAATAGAGGGGGTAAGTTTCTGAATAACTGTGGTGCTGTGTTGGTGGGAGGGTATAACAGGGTAATTTGGAATTATTGGCCGAGTTGATAATGTAAAAATGCCAATCAGAATTTTTTAAGCCAATGTTTTGAGCATTAGCCCTTTTTCAGAGGGAACGACAAAGGGCTAATGCTTAAAATGTCAGCTTTTGAAGTCTTGATAGTGGCCAATTTACGTTATCAACTCAATTGATGATACCAAGTTATCTCAAAATAAAGTCTGCATTACATAATAGAGCACACATACAGGCCCTGGCCACTGGAATTTTTTTGCCCCATGCTTTCGTGACTGTGTCGAGGAGTGTTGTGTAGTTCACCAGGGATGAAGGCAAGCAAGATGTACATATCATTTCATCAATCAGTTATTATTTCTTTATTTCATCTCGCGTGCTAATTTTTTGTTATTCATTATAAAATAATTCAAATAGTACGCGCGCTCTGATTGGCCATAAAACCATATTACATGAGGGTATGTAAACATGGTTTTTGTTCCTCTTTCATTAGTTATTTTATAAAAGAAATGTAAATTGGTTTCCGTGTTTACATAGCCTGATGTAAACACTAGGGAGGTTGGGAGAACACTCGATAAGCTGGAAACCACTCCACTTCGCGTCATAATTTCCTATGCTTATCTCATGTTCTCCCAACCTCCCGCGTGTTTACATCAGGCTATGTAAACATGGAAACCATTTTACATTTCTTCAATATCACTTAGCACATGCTAGAGAAGAGGCAAGGAGAGGAATAAGAATGGTGTAGATATGAAAACTTAATTGCACATGAGCAATTAATGTACAGCAATTTTTATGTCACATAGATTTTATTTTGGCTTGTCAGGCAAAATTTACAATTCCAACTAACGTGTCTTATTTTTTAAATTGTATTTTCTATTCATTGTTATTCTAAATACAATTTGATTTTTCTATTTTTCAAACCTTTTTCTTTTGGTCTGTGATCTGATCCATGATCTGATCAGGTCCGATCCAGGTTTTGCTGATGCTGCTCATCTTGCCCCTGCCACATCAAAGTATTTTCTGAACCTTGTCCATTAATTTGTTTTACAATGAAGAGCTTCTTTAGTTAAGTGATCATGTCCATTATTCTTGTGACCTTTATGTTTAATTCAGGGGTGATATTGTAAGGAGAAATTAGATGCTAGACACTTTTAGGGTCCAAGGGTTAATTGATACAGACTTTATGGTGTTTGGTTTGCAGCATGCTATTGAAGCAGCTTGGGATGCAGTCAAGGACCTTCTTAATCCAAGCAACCCTACGGAGGCAAGACATCTCACTCTCCAGTTTCTGACAGTGATGATATCTGGACAGGTACATGTCTTGATGGTTTCTTTACTGCAGATTCCTTTTGGTGCAGAAGAAAGAGATAAATGTTGGGTCTGTCATTTACATGGTTTAGTTAACTTTCAGATTATCAATTTTTGCAGTACATACACATATACACATGCACTGAAAGAAAATGTACTCTATTAAAAAAAAACAGTAACAAGGCAAAATGTATGTAGCAATAAAAATTTTAATAAATAAACTAGCTAGTTACCATTCACCCTTTTACACCCTAGCACCAGTATGCGTATTCTCCATACTGTTCTCAATACATTCCTTAAAGTGCTGACTAGGAGAATTTGTTTAACAATCAATAGCTTCTTTAATTGGTTAACATTTTCTTTTATCTTGTGACCTTAATGTTTGCTACAGAGGCAATATTGTAAGGAGAAAATAAATGTAAGTTATATTCATATTCATCATTCTAAATTTGATTCTGTAATTGGCAGGACTGCTTACACACAAAAAGAGCCATTGGCTGGTTTTAAAAGGAATGGAAAAAAATCATTTTCTCCTTTCTGAATTAAATCTTAAATAGAACTTAAATAGAACAGTTAGTTAAAGTTTAGTGTAATTTTAACTGTATAGCTAATTCTTTTGGTATTGAAATAGTTTCTGAATTAATTAAGCTTGATCATTGTTTTTTTCCTTCTTTTGCAGTTCAACAGACTTGGTATTTTAAGGGCTCATTTCTTCTCTGTTGTGGTTAATCACAAGATTCCTGAGGACATAACACCCAGGTTTAAGCTATCAATGCTTACATTTAAAATCATGGCTATGATTATGATCTTGATGTGCAGCTATTTTATAAATACAATCTTTTGCTCTTATGATTGCCTCAATAAAAGAACCAGTTTTCAAAGTCTAAATTATTGGTAAACCATAAAGTAATGTTGTTATAATCAATATGCATTTCAACTTCCTTTTTTTTTTTTTGCAACAGTTGAGAGGAAAATAGATTGTCAAGAATATAAATTTATCCAGGTCATCAGGAATTGCACTATAATTATTATTAATGACTATGATCTCCTTTATCATGGCTCAATAATGACTGCAGCTCAAGGATAAGGTGGTTCCCACCTGGTGTATTTAGGACTGGTGTTGAGCTAAAAGTAGTTAAGTTTGACCATGTAAATTTGAAATTATTAGGTTGGAATTACTGAAAGCATTGAGTGATAATGGGAAAGACATTTCATACTTTGAGGAGAGGACTGGTAAGGAACTAATTTAAATCTTTTAACTTTTAGTCACAGTGTCTAAAGTTTTCTGTGATTGCACAATTTTTGAGTAACTTTAGAGACTGTGCACCTTGCTCTGGTTGGTTTCACAATCCTTGGTATCACCTGACTGTCATCATACCTCATACCTTTAATTTAAGTTACTTGTTAATCACTTGAGGGAATTAAAGGGTTAAGGCTCAGATATGAATGAAGGGTTACAATAAAATCTGATTTGTGGTGGCCTGTAACACTTCTCACTGCTGTCTGTTTAGCCTGCAAGCTGGCTCTAATATTTGGGTTTTTGCCTTACCACACAGCTACCTTAACCCTTTACATCCTAACATCAGTATCTTTATTCTCCTTACTCTTTTCTATACATTTCCTTCAGCACTGACAATGAGAATTTGTTTAAAGATTAAAGCTTCTTTGGGTGACAATCATTTCCTTTATTCTCATGGTCTTAATTAATGATTCAGCCACATTACTGTAAGGAGAAATTAGATGTTGGTCACTCTCAGGGTTTAAAGGGTTAATTACACCATTGGCAGCTGGTTGTGGAAAAAAAGTTATTGAAATCCCTGTCTTGAATGATATATATTTGAAGGTGTGATGTATATGATGTAGTTTGAAATATGGTTGATTCTTTGGGTGTAATACAGATGTCTTATTTGCCAAAACTATTTCACAACTTTTCTTAAATCTTTATATTATTTGTTCTTGATTTTGGAAAGGTCCTTTTCTGTTATCTTGGATGCCAGAAGTGATGCAAAAAGGCAGGTCAGTATTTATCATTTACCTTCAGGTCTCTTTAATTTGTAAGAAAAGAACTTCTAATAATTATTAATATTACTTTGATATTACTGTTTGTGCCAAATGCAGTAAAAATCAAAGAGATTATTTGCAGGTTTGGAATGTTCATCCATTAACTCTTGTCGCAGTAGAACCTCACTGACTCAAACTCCCCAGGGATACAAAAAAATGGTTTGAATTAGAGAGGGTTTGAGTTAGCTGTTTGTATATAACTGAGAAAGTGGGTCAAGGGTGGTCAGATCTTGTTTGAGGTACTGGGGGGAGAGGGGTTTGAGTGAGCTCAGTTTGAGTTAGTGGTGTGTTCTACTGTAAATTTTTATCACACTGTGCAACCAATATTCAGTTGTAGCTCTCCATTTCCCATTAGTGAAAGAACTCACACATCATTAAAATCTTTGTTAAAGCTGTAGCTCGTGTTTTAAGCAGGTCTTACCTTCTGATGTTTGAAATGTTTCTCGAAGATGTGACAACCTTCTGTTTCTAGAGGACTGATTAGTTGTTTCTTTGTCATCTCAGTATTTTTAACTAATGGTCTTGATATTATTTCATTTTTGCTTATACCCACAGAGTGAATTTTTTCATGCCTCTTCTTATCAATGTAATTCACTACAACTCAAGTTTCCTTGATGAGGATATCATCTCTGGCATTGTCAGGTAATTGTAGCACATGTGCCTTTCAAGTACTGAGGAAGAAAACAAAAAATATGTTTTACATAATTCAAATCATTGATACATGCAAATCTCCTCGTAGCTTAAAAGACTGGTTTTCTTTGAGTCCAGCAATAATCATACAACATCATACAACTCCATTTACTTGCCTTCTAGAAGGCCTTCATGGTAAGTACTTTTGCATGAGTGTTTCTTGGCTGGCAGGGAAAGTATGGGGCCTTCAGCAATGTAATCTAGCAAGAGGCCTACCGGGGATCCAGCACTAACTTTTGATGCCAGAACCCCAGCAAACATCTCCCAGACACACCTCAAATCTTCCTGGGGTCAAAGAAACATAGGTCTAGCGGCACTACTAATCAGGGCCTGCTTAATTACACACTACCCATTTCCCAAATGCTTTGTCATCTTTTCTAGCCTGGGTCTTGTGCACTGATTGGCACAACTGAATTTAGGTAGCATTATTCAATGATTGTTTGCCATAATATGGTAACCATGGTCACACTATAATGATACTTATTTTGCATTTTTATAATTTTTTCCTGCCAGGCAAACCTGTCATCTTTCAAGAACAACTAAAGAGGAAGAAGAAGTTGAGGTTATTGTAATTTTTTGTCATCCAAATGCACTATAAAGCTTAAACTGTGATATCAAGTACCCTGCTCTGATACAAGGGGTGGCAAACAGTAAATTTGAGTCTTGTGAGATATCAGGACCCCTGTTTTAAAATCTGAGATGGTGCCCAACCAAATTGCCACTTGTTCATGATGAAGGGCTAACATTCTCAACAAAAGCTCTAGAAACTCTTTGCAGTGGCCAACTTACATTTATTTATCAACTCTGTTGATAAAACCATATCATCTTGTTATACCCCACTAATGCAGCACCAACATTTCATTTAATGTTTATAAACTTACCCCCTTTATGCCAGTTGTAGCTGCACAACTCCTTCCTTCTTCTATTTTATGATGTGAAAATTATTTTCACACTAGTTTTGTATTATTAACTTTTATTCTGTAGCTGTGCCTGTGTTTGCTGGATGCTGTGGTCCGTTACAGTTGTCTGCCGTCCAATACATTGTTTGAGTTCATAGCCACAGCCTGCCGGGCTGTTAATATCGAAAAGTTTTGTCAGCGCAGCTGGAAGGTAATTGAACTGTCAAGAGACCTAACTAAAGGCTGCATGTACTTTTTCAATATCTGAGAAATACTATTGCTCAAATGTTTTTTAGGGAAAAAGGAAGGATTTTTTTCATTCATTCACTTGACCAGAGAGTTTTTTTTCTTTTGGCGCAGCAGTTGACACTAGCTGAATTATATGGTTATGATAATACGCCCACACAATCCTTGTTGTGTCTCTCCTTTGCAAATCATGATTTTACCGCAAAATCTTAGTCATTTTTCAGCAGGAGTGGGGGGTGCAATTGTTGTCTGGGGAAGCTCAAAATGTGTTTCTTGCAACATTTTCGTTGTGTCTCTTTCAACAAGATTTCTCTCTCTGTAAATAAAGCTTATCTTTATATTTCAGATAATGAGAAATTTGCTTGGAACTCATCTGGGTCACAGTGGAGTGTACACCATGTGTAATGTTTTGGAAGACAGGTAGAGATTAAGCAAAATCAGTACCGACTGTACATTATATTTCCTCTACGTTTCAGTACAATATTGCATTCTCATGCTGATCATGCATGATGTCACCTGAAAATTTTATGTGTTTCAATTTCTACAGATTTTTCAGATCGAACTCCAGAATCAAAATCGCGCAAAATATACCAAAAATTTACCCATTCCCTTTCTCCTCTCATTCGTGAATCGCCCTTTGCACTCACCCATCGCTCTTGCATTAATGAAAAAAAATTAACGCCTGTTTCTGAGGCTCACTGATTCGACGGGAGGCGCTTAAATTTGAGGATTGTCGGTATGAGTCATTACAGCACGGTTTAGCGAGAGGTCACTCATATTGAAGAAATGTAAAATGGTTTCCGTGTTTACATAGCCTGATGTAAACACGTGGGAGGTTGGGAGAACACGAGATAAGCGTAGAAAACCACGACGCGAAGCGGAGTGGTTTCCAGCTTATCGAGTGTTCTCCCAACCTCTCAAGTGTTTACATCTGGCTATGTAAACACGGAAACCATTTTACATTTCTTTTTTAAAATAACTAATGAAAGAGCCTCTTCTTGCAACGAAGGAAAGCGACGTGCTTGTTGTTGTTCATTTGGCTTTTCGGCCGTTTCTTGAATACTGGGAAAATTAAACTCCAAAGAAAAATTAGGAAAATCTTCTTCCATTACTGTACTCAAAGTGCTCTGGTTGAAATGTGGAGAAACAATTTATGCTCGTGTCTATGTAGTGATAACAGAAGCGACGTCATGCTGTTAAGAGGCTCTGTGTTCTTCATTGGAATGTGTCTGTGGGGGTCACAGCGAGTGCCAAACCTCAAGTACTCCAGTTCCACTGTTTTACCTTCTATGCTACAGGTAGGAATTTCTTCTTATTACACTGCTTTCAAGAACACTGTGGATCTGCTACTGAGTACCGAAAGTCATCCGAGATTTTGTTGGTTTTCCTTCTCCTCAAACTTTGATTGGTCTTAAAAAATTCACACCATTCCGTTAACCATTTAGATTCAAAACTGAAATCAATTATGACTTCATCACTCGAGTAAACTAGATGTTTAACTTTAACGCAGATATGATCATGGTAATGATCGTCACAAAATAAATAATCTGAGCTGAAGTTTAATAAGTGATGGTTTAAAGAAGGTGTAAAATCCGCCAAGAAAACTTGTGGTCGCCTGCCTGGTTTCTGTCGTTCGTCTGTTGGGATACTGTTGTCTCTAGTAGAGTATCAGTGTTCAATTTTGGAATCGGGCACTGGAGTCTAAAATCGAACACTAGTGTCTAAAATCTGACCTTAGTGTCCAAAATCGGGCAGTATTGTATAAAAATGAGATGCTAGTGTCTAATATCGGCCACAGGCGTCCAAAATGGAACACTATTACATAAGTTCATGTAGTGCTCTGATTGATTGTTTCTAAAGTGACGGTTTAAACATCGGTGAATTTCTGCGATGCTTCCGGGGTTATAGTCGGCTGCTTTTACCCCTCTTACCCGCTGATATCTGATTAAAAATTCTCCCTTGTGACTCTCTATACATTTCCTTGTAAATCGGACAAAGGAATCTGGGGTTACATGAAGATAACACCTATTAGCCCATAAGTCTGTCTGCTCTTATTAATTTTTTGCAGGATGACCTGGTGAAATCACCAAGAGAAGTTTTATCAATTACTTCTCAGAACTCAAGGGTTATAGCTATCTGAACCTCCCTTTTTTTTCATCTCCAGGCTTTGTCGTGCCATCTCAGCTTGGTGGCCCTGGAAGTGACCCTCTCCCTACAGAGACTTGTGAAGAAGTATGGTCAAGAACTTCATGTTGTGGCCTGGGATGCGGTGTTAGATATCATTGAAGCTCTGCAACAAGAGATCGAGGTATGAAAGGACCTTTATTAAGAGGTCTTGATAACGGGAAGGGAGGGGCTGCTGGGGGCAGTTGTTCCCTGCAAGCTTTTGAAAGCTTGGCTAATGTAATTTTGTGATCTTAGTTTGACTTTTCAAGTTCGCCAATCGAAGTCTGTATGAATCTTTTCCATCATTAGCCTTCCTAGTTCCTAAGCGATTCATTTTCTTTTCTGCGAAAGATTCGAGGTGTCTTAAGAAGAAAATCTTCGGAGATTTTAAAGTTTATGTACCTTTCTGTTCCTAAAAAGTCAAACCGGTTATTCTGTAATTATTGTCGTTGTAGGAAATTAGCCCGCCTGATAATGCCCTGATTGAAAATCTTCACATCCTGTTGTTCAATGTAGAAGATCTCTACGAGAGTGGAAAGTTTAATGGGCCTGAAGAAAGGTTCTTTGCTTTGGTAGAGAAGAGTGCTGGAATGTTACCTGTAAGTAACAGAACACGAGTGATCCCTCAGGTCATTCCCTAGTATTATACTACGCATCCTAACGTGTGATCAGCAGGCGCTCGTTGGATCGATAAACGTCTTGTTCTCCTAAACAAAAACGGTTAAGTTTTCCTTGCTTCTTTTTGTCCTCAATTGAGCGACAACTTTCTTTCTCCCAAGAGAATTTAAACTAAATAGCGACCAATTTTTTTGAGAAGAGCACTTGTTTAGGAAAACTTTCAAGTGGAATTATTTCTTTGTCCCACGCTCGTGACAAAACGAAAACAACATTTCTCTCTGTTTTATAGTTGTTGATATTATTTTCATTTGTTGTCATGGTAATTATGATTTATGATTGTCTTGCTTCTCTTGCAGGATCGTTCTCTTCAAATCTTGATTTCATACAAAGCCCAGTCAGTGCATCCTGCTCACGTTGGATGGCTCGTGAATCTTCACGATCTTATGGAAAAATACTTCAGGTACCGTTATTAACGTGTGCAGTTTCTTTCCTTGGTGAAAATGGGGCTCTCGCATGGACGCTTTCTTCCTGAGGTTCCCTTGAGCCAACCTCGTTCGTTAGGTACTCTCTCATCCTGGGAACGAAGTTGCTGTTGAGTTTCATTTACATGTTTATAGAACGCTTTCCAAGTGAGTCGCATAACAATTAAACCAAGGTTACCTTGCCTCAACGTCAAGAAAAATGCGAGAGACTGTAATTCGCGCTTGGGCTTATTTTTGAGTGGTTCAGAATTGGTGCAAATTTTCTTGGCCCATGACAGGGCTCTGTAAAAGAAAATCATTTTAACTTCAGTCTCGTTTGACTCTCAGCGGAAATTGCTGTAAAGTACACAAAAGGAGGCACAAAATTCGCATTGTTTGATCAATATTGATGCACGTGTGTGGTTATGGCCAAGACAAACCCAACAGCCATTCATACCAGTGAAAAATGTTTCTCTCTCCTTCCAGATATGAAATCCGCACAAGTGTAAGAGTGAAAGTGCTGACTGTCCTTTCATCGGTGCTTACATCATATGGCCACTGGTATGAGGTGGGTTGATGTGCAGTAGTTCAAGTCATGTCTAACGCTACGGGCGGCCCATGAATGCAACTGATTATCTCGTCGTCTGCCGCATGAAGCGCCTTGAATTATTGATACTCCCTAGAGGTAGAGGTTCCTTTCAGAGGATTTATTTTGAGACCACACAAAACTGAACCAGGGGGTTGTATCATGATTTTCCATTTCGAACTTTCAACAAATTTCCGGGTTTTTTTTCAGTTCAGCAATTCTGTGTATGGTTTCTATTTGTACGCTTGTGTTTTCATGAACGCAAAGATGTTTTTGTTGCCAAAGAATTACCAGTAAGGTAAAGAAAGGGTCTGCATTTCAAAATGTCGTGGAAAAGCTTCCTTGACTCAACTTCTCGAATTGCAAGAACTCTGTAGCCAGGAGGAAGCTTAACATAAAGGAAAACTCCTCGCGTCTGTCATACATAACTCCTTTGTCCTAATCAATCTTCGTAGGAAGAGTTGTTGGAGCATGCAGTGTTACCATACCTTATTCACATTCCTGAAGACCAAGATGTAACAGTACGCAATGTAGCTGTGCAGATATTGCTGGACTTGTGTCAGATGTCAGACTCTCAGAAGTGTCAAGACTTCTTGGACATAATCGAGAAGGTACCGACTGAAAATAGGCAACGTCTGTTGTGCGTCTTTTTGTCTTGATAAAAGTGTCTTTCCAAGGCTGAATTAATTTCAACATCGATGATTCGTACATAACTGGGTTAGTTTTGTCCAGATGTGACTTTGAGAAACTTTCAATGTAGGGTCAAACATAAGTGCATTCGTTTTTCTCTTCGTGACTTTGCCAACTGGGTTTTCCTGTATATCAAGCATTTTTTTATTGTTCAGTCTTACTGAGTTTTCATGGGCTTCTTGGGATGTCTTCCTTTTTCTGATTGGTTATTGGCATTGATTGTACTTTCACGATGCCCAATTGAACCGCGCTTTACTCTTTACTCTCACCGTTTACAAACAAACGAGAACCACGAAAGATATGCAATTATACCAAGCGGATTCCACATCTTGTGTAAATTATTTAATGTTGTTGTCATTGCAGGTCATCAGTAAGCACGTGGAGCTGCAAGGAAAGAGTCCTCCACTAGAACAGCAGGAACAGGTATGAACCGATGGGGTACAAACTAAGCTCTTTCTTCAATCTGTTCTTTTACTTGGTTAAAAACTCGCGCTACCTTGTGATCAGTCTTTTGCGAGGTAACTTGATCCGTTCACTCACGTTTTCCGGAGCATTTTCATTCAGTGCTGTTACAATGACTTCTCCCAGCCATTGTAATTACTTTGCGAGATTCAATGGAAAAGTGCTCCAATGAGTTAATGAGTACTTTTAGGTTGTGGGCGTGAGCCTATTCGTACCGTTGAAAAGATGAAAAGCAACCGTACTTGTAATAACATGGACCACATGTGGAAGAGGGTTTATGGTAAGCTTCATTGAATGTGATCGTTGCGTTTGTGCAGATGCTGCAAGAGGAAAAAGAACTAAAAGATGTGAAGACAGCTGTCAGTGGATTGGTCGAAGTGTTCAAGGTAAAACGCTTAGTTATCATCTTTAAGTGATTCCAACTGAATCCCATAGAAATAAAATCACAATTCTCAGCTTTTTGCAAGTCTGTTAGTGTTCAGGTTGCAACAAAGAGGCACTTAAGTTTGCCTCTTTTCACTCCATGGTGTAAATTGAATCTGAAACTTATTATGAAGTGCTGTAACTAGTGCGATGAAATAGAATCCTTAAGTGGGGTTGTCATTAGGGATGAATTGGGGACGAAGGCTTACAAGAAAGGTATAAGCTCATTCGAGTATTTACGTTATTTGATCTTTCTACAGCTCAAGTTGTTTCGTTTACCTCATGGTCACGCTGTTCGGACATTTGAATTGCTGGTCTCTCACGTGAAGGCGCACTATAACCATTGTTACAGTACTTACATTGCAAGTGTCATTAGGAACTTAGTAAGCTTTGCTTTTCTTCGATTGGTTCAATTATGCAGTAAGGGGAGTGGGGTGGGGGGAAGGGGGTAGAGTATGGAGGGATATATCATGTTGGATCACATGTGAACAGTTTTCTCTTGTCATGGAAATATATTTTGGCTACTTTTGCAACTGGTTGTTGCATTTTGATTGGGATTTATTGTTTATGTTACTTTCAAAGATGATTTCGCTCTTCCTGATAATCATACCGTACAATTTGCCTGATTATAACGTTATGTCAGATTTTCATCTTCTTTTCTGGAGATCAAACAAAACCTCGTGAGCCTTATCCTCATGAAAAAACGTATAAGAATGTATCAATGTGATCGATTTAGGTACCAATCATTTCGTATGAGATACAAATCAGCCACAAAACAAACTCAGTATGGCTTAAATCGAGCAGAGTTAGAATGATTATTCAACTAAAAAAAAGTGTGATTGAATGATTCAGACCGAGGTCAAGTTTCCCATATTTGATGATGGTACAAAGTTCTTTGTACAAGGGAAGAGCCACAAATTGATACTTGAAAACATGGAAGAAAATCTCGCCAAAAAGATACAAGGATTATTGAGCTGATATCAACTGACACTGGTGATACGCGAGCGACCGTAAGATGCTAAATTGATATTGTACAGTACTTTCCTTAAAAACTGAAACTATAATGTGTTAAATCCTAAAGGCCTTTGAGTGCTTTCTGAGTTTACGCTGTGACTCCAGTTTACGACTGGGTTTGTCTGATGCCAGTGAAGAAGGAGAAGAAGAAGAAAGGAGTTTTAGGTTCAGCCCTTACTTTACTTGTTTACAGAGGTAAGCGCTTCTATCTGGACATTGAGTAATCAACTAGCTTCAGAAACTTCACTTTTAGTTATCCGAACAGTTACAACTGTTATAACTTTTAATCGAGGAAACGGTTACTCACGTCGAAAGGATTTTCAGAGGTTTTCAAATCTTTTTTTTACTCTCAGAAGAGCTGGTAAGGTCTGTAAGACCTGTATGAATCATTCTAAGCTTAAGTGTTTTAAAAAATTGAGAAGCTGAGCAAATAATCGATAGACCAAGTGCAGCAAGGAATAAAACGGGGAAATCTAATGCTCACAGAAAAACTCAAGATTCCTTTATCTTGACTCTTGCTGAAAAATATGTCTGTCCTTGAATAAGTTATGACATGAAAAGATATGCCTATAACCATTCATCCGCCTTAAATCGGGGCTAATTAACCTGATCAACAAGCTAACGAACCAATTTCCGAAGATGAGTTTGAGTGGACTTTGTAGGGGAAACTAGAGAAGGTTTGTTGGTGTTGAAAGGTTATCTCTGTGTTGATGATGATAATGAACGTAACCATCGCAAGATAAGAAAGGTTTTCACTATTCAGACATTGCTGTAAACATTCCAAGGTTACCCTTGTCACCACCAATAATGATCATTAAAACATGGTGTGGAACTACGTCACAAGCAAAATAAAAGAGACCCATCGAGAAAAATAAGAAACATATCTCATTGATTACTAATTTTTATTCTTTTTCAAATGACTTACCGAAACTACACTCAACTTTATTGAAAGCCTTTGTCTACAGATTTATCAAGTGACGTATAGATACCAACTGGATTCTTTTAAAGGCTCTACTCGTACCTTGCCGATCTTTCAGAAACGTTTTCAGAAGTCCCTCCTCCCTCTCCCTTCGGACTTTCTACTGATACGTCATGAAACCTCCGTCGTAAATCTTAAAGCCCACTTTTTACATAACGAGAAGAACAACAGCACACTAAATTGTACCCATAACAATTTTTTGACAAAATTACATTTACTTGCAACTTCATGAAATGGGTCTGAATCGGAGAAAAGGAAAGAGCAAGTAGATTAATTAAAGAAAACATGTTTATACCAGCAAATGTTATATCCAGCTGTATGGACGTATTCGTGCTATTTTTCAGTACTGCTTTGTTTCTTTACGGCTTTAGTGCGTTACAAGAATAACTTATTCATACCTTGGTCTCATTGGTTGCACCACTATACCATCCTGTTTATGGATGAATTGAAAAAATATTTCAATTAATACCTAAATATTTTGAAGCTTTTAATACGAATGAATACTTCACTGGTTTGAATTTGGTGAACCCCATCACTTGCCTGTACAGAAGAGAGACTTTGAGCAATTGCATTTGTGTCTGTCAACCATGCCTGCAAAATAAAAAAGACTGTAACTTTCGGAACTTGCTGTTAAAAATCATACGTCACTCTTTTGTTGTCATGTTCTTGTCAGTGGTATGCGTGCCCATGTGCTTTCTTTTCGTTATTATCGCTTGGGTCTCGTTGTGCTGTTTTCAGAAATAACACTTTGTTTGAGGCTTCGTGATGGGGATGAAAATCGTAAACACACACCAACGTTGGACTCTCCTTTACAGAATTGGCGTGTCTCTGATGTGTTAAATTAGTTAATTTTAATTTACAATATGTGGGTTTCCATACCATTTGAAGAACATGCTGTCGAATTGCCATATTTTCTATCTTAACTTGGAATTTAATGTCTTTCCTGAAAAGACATTTCATTTAATTAGACGGATTTGAGCCTTCGTTTTGGTCTGTTGATTTGTTGTACAGCTTGAATACTTCACAGAAATAACTTACCAAGACCTTGGCCTCAATGCATGTACCACTGCACCATCCTGTTAATTGTAGAATTTACATAATAATACCATTAGTATGCAAACGTTTCTTAGTCATGGAACCTCTACAGAGAAATTTTGAAATGCCTAAAATACTCAGTTATTTTTATGTTTTTGTTCATGGATTTTATTTCTTTTTATTTGGGAATCTGATTATTTGAAAAACTGGCATTAACTTTCTGGACTAATCAAATAACGAAGTAAAGCCAAATATTTTGTCTAATATTAATCTGGTATGATATTTGCAACATCTTTACAATATTAAAAATTAAATCAATGAATCTTGTTATTTGGACGGCATTTCGTAGTTTCAGATGAAGTATATTTTGAAACTAGTGTTGGCAATCTTTGCAATGTTATAAAGCCTGAAAACCCCATGCAGTCAATGAGACAGAATTGACCGATGAGATCGAGCGTACCAGTGTTACTGCTAAAGTGACTAATAAGGCATAATGATGTGGGAGCACACTTTACTAGTTTTATTTATTTTTGTACAAAGCGATACCGGAGCAAAAACAATAGGACATAAGTCCCCTACTAGGTTTAAGCTCCAACCCAACCCAACCCAACGATGTTTGATGATAAATATCATGAGGGCATTACTTGCCTGTACTGAGGAGAGGCTTTGTGGAATTGCATTTGTATTAGTCAACAATGCCTGCAATGTAAAAGAGAAGTAACTTTCGGACCTTCCTGCTAAAGATCATACACCACTCTGTTGTTTTCATGTTCCTATCAGTGGTATGCATGCGCATGTGTTTTTCTTACCATTATTATCTCATGTGTCTCGTTGGACTATCCTCACAACGAAACTTTGTTTGAGGCTTCGTAATGGTGATGAAAATCGTAAACCTTACTTACATTAATGTTGGACTCTCCCTTACAGAATTGGCCTGTCTCTGATGTGTCAAATTAGTTAATTTTAATGTACAATATGTGGGTTTTGTTTCCGTACCATTTGAGGAACTTGCAAATTTATGTTATTCCTGAAAAGAAAAATAAAATGGAAAGAAGATTAATTAAAGTAACCATTGTACCAAAAAATGTTAATTCCAGTTTAAAAGGCAAAATGCTGTCCACTTCCTACATGAATCATGTTAAGTTACACGCAGGGGGATTAAAGATCAGTTCAATGTATTCGCCAGCTTTCACTACGAAGTATACGTTGTAAGACGTCGGAACTCGTTAGGAAATCTACCCAAAGTCTCGAATTGAATGCTACAGATTGTGATTAAAACAAGTTGTTGTAAAGAACTGGAAGATTCACAACAGTGAATGTTGAAAGTTCTTCGAGCATGTTATAAAGAATCGGCCAATTGGAGATCGCGTGATCTCAAAAATAAACTTAATGTTAACTCAAAGATCGAAAACCTGTGGTGCTTGCATAATGAGGCTCATAGAAACGGAATTGATTATTGTTCTAGAATGATATTTATGCCAAGTAACTGTTGCGTAGTGGTATTTCTATCTTCATGAATGATTAAAAGCACGATTCTAATTTTAGCTTTCACAGCATAGCTACAAACATAGCATTTATGATCGTAGTATTCAATGACGTCCACAAAAAATTGTTTGGCAGCATGCGTAATAAAACAATCGTTGACTAAGGTTTTCCTTGGCTTTCGGAAAACACGAACTTCGGCCTCGATATAATGCAAAAAATAATAGCAATAATCCGTACTCTAGTTCTGATGTGATAATTTAGCAAAATTTGTTTTTCCGATAATGTATAGAAGTCATTAGTAATTTATAGTTCATACGTATATACATACATACATAAATACATACATACCTTATTTGGTATAGAAGGTTAAATTAAAGGCAGTCAGAGGCTGATGTGGATCTATTGTCTACGGAATCTAGCTAAAACTATCTTAGTGTACCACTATTAAATCGGATCAAAATTAATACCAAAAATATTTAAAAACTATTCAGCTAAAGCTATCTAGGCGTTCTGTTATAAAATTTGTTCAAAATAACAATACTGAAGATATTTACAATCTTGATTCTTATGGGATTAAAATTACAATACTAAAAATATTTAAAATACATTGATTCTTGTGGGATACCATACATGTTTCTTTTAGAAAGTTAAGATCATTAATAAAATTCTTATGCCGACGTTCTTTTAGAAGGTTTTTAAAGTTCTTGAGGGAGTGGGAATGTTTGAGAGAGGTAGGGGTAAGTTGTCAAGCTGGTGGGCCTCTGCCAATGTCAAAGTTGTATCTGGGTACAACGAAGTGATTACTATTTCTGAGGTTATAGTGTTGATTGGCAATACTAAAGAGGTTTGCTATTTTATCTGGGGTAATATCCCTATTTACTTTGTAAATTAAGATGAGAAGCTTCTTTTTATATTGGTTTGATAATGGCTCCCATCTAGTACTATCTAGGGCATCTTGATCTGATATGTCCCGTGGCAGTCTGTAGATGATTTTCAGTGCAATGACTCAGCAGGGGTTCGTCTTTTCAGGAGTTGGGGCAACACAACTGGACCCGAATTAATCGGTTTTTCTGAGATATCTTTCGAACATATGACATTCCTTAAGATGCAAAATTGTGGAAATTCGACGGCTAATGCAAAAAAGTAATCAGAATTTTCTATCATGAGAGGCAATGTTTTCTAGCAACCTTGAATACTGAATAACTTTTCCAAACGAACCATTTTTGTCTTTTGCGAATTTGTGTATCATAATTTGTTTCGTCGTGCCCTCGTCCCTTGTACAACCAAACAACTGAAAATGGATCGCTCTTTTCGTGTATGTTCAACTGTTGATCAAAAGATGGAGTTGGACATAACCCTCTGAATGAAATAGACGACAAAAAGGTGGTAAATCCTTAGGTCGGTTATCGTATAAGAGGGAATATGTCTTAAAGATATTCGTCTGTAGCGTGGAATAAAAGAAATGGAATGCTTCACGAGTATTAAAACCTCAAAGCTTCCGATCACGTAGTCAGATTATCTACCTCCTGATTCACAGAGAAATCGTTAGTAACATATGTGGTTGACTTGCTACATACTATTTGGATCAGTAATGTCGAAAGCGTCGCGTGTGAATGTGTCTAAAAGTTTTTTCGATTGCAAATCGGAAAGGAAAAGTATTATTCATCCACACCTTCGCTTTTATACGTTTTTCAATAGACTTTGACTCGCATATTTTACTTTTGTGTTTGGACTTTGATGGTACTAGTGCATACTTTGTGTTACCGTTTCATTTCAGTGACTCTGACACAAAAACGTCGTCATCGTCACATCTTGCTTTGATATCTTACTCTGACGTGTTTCAAGCCATTTTGAACTGCATGCAGTATGTGAGTACAATTTTTCTTTTTTCACAGTTTAACAGCCAATTTAAGAGATGACCAGATGGTCTTCGTCGACCCTTACCAGACGAAAAACAGCAACAATTTGCGAGCGTTATTCTGTTTATTTACATATTTAAAGATATTTTTTGTGATCATCATTTTGTCTTGTAGGAGTGGGACTGGACAGTACTGGAGCATGTTTTGAGTGGACTACCGGAGGTCCTACAAAATAAGAGCCTTATTCTATCAGCTAATCCCGCGTTAAATACCATGACGTCAGTACTGTGCAATATAGTGAGTTTTTTTTGTGGGCCTGTTAAGCCACCGGTCTTCTCACCCCAACCTCCCGAGAGGCGCTTAGGCGAGAGAGAAAGGGTGTCTTTCGGGGCATTGGAGCGAGGAGATGGCCGACGTCTTCTTGGCTTCAACAACATGAGTTAGAACCATAAAGTTTTAACTTTAAAGCGAGGTTAAGGGGCTTATTTGGATGTACATGAAAAGATATTGACAATAAGTTTGTCCACGATTATCTGAGAGGTGTACAAACTTAACCAACGTAATTATGAAGTACAGTTGAACACTTTACTCTCTCGCTGGTTTTCTTTCTTTTCTTTTTTCTTGAGATCTTATTAATCTTTCAACGCTTCATATGACCCGTAGGTTTCGGAACCTTCTTTCATCCTGGATCTTCGTCGTGTTCCTCCCGGTGTCGGGAGAGTAGGACTTCAGGCTTTGATTTTTCCAGTAAGTATAAATTATGTATATAACTTATCCAATTAGAGCGCAGCTCGATTGAAATAGGTAAAATTATTGTCTGTGTGGTTACATCTGTGGGTCAGGCCATTTGAAGTAATGGCAATGACCTAAGGAGTACTCTTCATAAAAAGTGCGAGAACATACGAGTGGCTGGGAGGTTACTTGCAATGTAACAACTTTTCACCGAGGGAGAGCAGACATATTCCGATTTTATTAGACCCACAGAAACTGAAGATCATCACTGGCGGTCAAAGGGCAGCTGGCTCTCGAAGCTAACTTTCCTTTTTTATTTTAAAAGGTTTTATCGGTTCTTGCTACATACCACTCCAACCTGGACAGGGGACGGCAGGTGAGATTCCATCTTATCGATTCCTATCAGGGCCACACTGGAAAATTAAACTTGCTCAATATTACCAAGGAATTTTCCGGAGTATAAGGTGATCACTTTTTATCCTTGGGAAGTCCTCGGGAAAACAGATGCGTTGACTGTGACTGAACTTTCAGCAATACTCCTTTTCAGAATTACTCTCACACGGACTACACAATTTGCACGGTAAACACGGTCCTCCCTTTCAGACACGATCAAATATTGATCCTGGGCCTAGACATCAACCGTGAGATCGATTCCACAATTTCCGCATTGGATGCGTCTCATGCTTTTATAACAATAACAAAAATGTGATCTATATTTTAGTTCGAGTTGGTGAGGACTTTGGAGCTGGGTTTAGTGACCAAGTGTGCTGTCTTATGTGTCTCTTCACTCACCCTGTGCACCATGGAAATGCAAGCAGTTATGAAAAGGCAAGCTAATCAAATCCAAGGTTCTCAATACAAATAACTCAAGTTTTAAATGTGAGATTATAGAATTAATAGAATTTAATAGAATTTAAGAATGGCATTATGTGACAAACCTGGAGGTTTGGTGAAAAAGGCAGCCACAAAATAGAAGAAACAATCATAAAAATACAGAGATGTTTGCTTTTGTGTTTAACCCTTTAACTCCCATGAGTGACCAAGACATAATTTCTCCTAACAATATCAATATTATATCAAGCAGATAAGTGATGAGAATACGAAAAATATTAACTGGGGGATTTTTAGTTGATCCAATACCAAGTTCTCCAGACTAACATCAGAAAAACTATATGGCAGACAGTAAGGAGAATTACCAATGAGATCTTGAGAGTTAAAGGGTTAAGTGACTGACGGCAGACTGCGAGGGCCGTTTATTTAAACAAAGTTTAGCCGTTGTTTAACAAAATCGCGTTTTAAACTAACTTGGATTCAGCTGAATCTTTTATCTGAACATTTATGTTTGTGAGCAGTGTCAAGAGCGCCGAAAGCAGTGGGAGGACATTCATTTAATGAAAACAACCTCCTTATAAAGAATGCGTAAGGTGCACTGCTTGCATAAAATCGCGCTTTGGGTTACCCATCTTATAAGTAACCGGCCCAAAGAGTTATTGATTTCCAGGTTTTTTTCTTAATGGACAGACCCTAATTTTGTCACAGTTTTAAAGGTTACCTAACCCTAAGTAAAAATTTCTCGGTGTTTTGTCTTTATTTCCAGTCTTCTTCCAGCTCTTTTAGTGCGGTTGACTCAGATCTCCGCAACTGTTGCCATGGCAGCACCCATGCTGGAGTTCCTTTCAGGTAAAAGTATTTATCTTAGGATTGAAAATGAGTCTTGAATAATTGCAAAGCATAGAGACTTGCAAATTTAAAAACTCAAGAGCTGCAATAAGTTTGGAGAGTAAAAATTAAGTAACAGCCGGGTACAAGTGTGGAGCTTATTTGCCAGTGGAAACCTTTCAAGGCATCTAAAATTGATGTGAATTGTCTTAGCAAACCTTTTCACAGCGTGATCTAAGAATTTTCAGGTTTAGAGAAAAATTCCTGACAACACCTTCTCTGCTCAGGCCTTGTAATTTTACGCATTACGTTAAGTCTTGAAAATTTTGAATGTTGATTTTGAAACAGTCTGAAAAATCTCACAACTTTCACACACAAATGTGTATGAGAGTTATTACCCTTCGATGACACTAACTATGTATTTGCGTTTTTATTGCTTTTTTTTGTTTTCTGAAGGTCTTGTTCATCTTCCACATCTATACGCCAGTTTTCAAGACAGTCAGTACAAGAGCGTATTCGCCATTAGCCTCCCTTACACTGATCCTTTCAAGTGAGAATGTGTTAAATTTTCTGTTAAGTCTCAATACTCTTCTATGTTTCCTTTTTTAACTTTTACACTACATGTTTTTTCAATACCCAGATATTCACAGTACACCATAACGCTTGCTTATCACGTAATTGCTGCGTGGTTTATTCGATCACGTGTGGCGTATCGCAAAGCATTTGTGGGATTCGTGAGTAAGGTAAGTGAGGTAATATTTTGTAACACATGGAAATTGAGGTTTATTGAAATATCAGTTAAGGTTTTATGAGCTTCTTTTAAAATACTTGTTGGCTAAAGATGAATTGTCAGGGATTGAGACTATGATGTTGAAATGTATGAAATTTTCTGAACGACAGGTACAATTTACGTGGAGTTTATTTTTTGGGTTACGATTAAGCACTCTTGAACTAAATATGATCCCTTGATGAAGCTTGAGGGTTGATCATTGCGTTACCTTCTCACTTTGAATTCAATATTTTAGGCACGCCTAGTTAAACGTCAATCCAGTTCTCATGGTACAATCTCTCTTTTGGAAACCCGCCAATTCAAAGGATACAAACTTTGTTCTCCAACTGAGTAAAAAGTTGCTTTTTAACATTAATTTTACTTGTTTTGAAGGAAATACTTTTGCTTGTCCCTGAGTGGAGTTCCTTTTGTAATGTAGATGAAGGGGAATTACCCGAAAGTATTCCAATTATGTGAGGATCTGGTCCATTGCAATGCTAAGCGCCCTATGTAATCTATTTTCGGAATGAAACGAATTCATAAATTTACTTTGTTGGTTCTTGTCATTTCCAGGGTCTCAAATCAAGTGCTATAATTCCGGACCGTTATGAACCCAAACCAGACAGCCCCTCTCTGGCAACAACCAAATCTCGCACTGGAAACTCTACAAATCAGCCCTCGCCCCAGATTCATAATCGGTCAAGTTCGCCCGTAGTTCAGAAGGAGACTGAAACGGCGTGTGAGCTACATGCTGAAATGAGTGAAGTTTGTATGGACATGATGGCCAGATACACGTTTGCTCCGTGTATGTCACAGCCAAACAGGTTAGAAATGTGACTTCCTTTTTTTGTCCATAAAATTTGAAGAACAATTTAACCTTTGAGACTTAAGATGGTACAATATGGTTCACCTCCACAAGATAGTCATCAGCCAATGAAATTCTTAAGTCTTTTTTCTTGAAACTAGATGAACCACTTAGACTGATCAGAGGAAAGGAAAAATTGAAGACGAGAGTGATCTTTGCGATAATAAACAGGACTTAAGTAGTTATGAAAATAAGGCCTGTACGGGAGTTGAACCTTGACCACTGCGATACCGGTGCAGTGCTCTACTAACTGAGCTAAAAAACTAAGTGGGAGCTGGTCTTTATGTTGGTTCACAGTCAAAGGAAAACTTCTCAAGAGCATATAAAAAACTTAACTAATGCATGTAACAGGGTAGTGGATCGTAAATGAAATAGTTGTGAACAATTTACTTTTGCATCTTGTTGGTTGGAAAGACACCCAAGGAGTTGTTCGAAGTTTGCTCCAAAAAAGATGAAAGGTTCCTTGTTCAAACAGGGAAAAATAGATCCTGCTCTTATTATATTGGCAGAAAATAACGCAGGTTTATTATGAGATACCTTCGGCTAAGAAGATGTTTTGTTTCATGTTCAGGACCAAAGCGGTGGAGTTGATGCTAGCCAATGGTCATTCTCGTACTTGGATGATCGGTAATACAATAGTAACCATAACCACTTCAGGTACTTATATCGGCCAGGATGGTAATTGCGACAACTGCCTGGCTCTGAGACAAAGAACAGTAAATATGTCACCAAAGGAAAGCGCAAAAACAGAGAGGAATGTCAAACAGAAGATCACCGCGGCAGATGTTACGACAGAAGATTCTCATATCCAGTCTCCCGACGAAAAAGCTCATGGCACGTTTACGAGTCATGGAACTGGGACTCAGACTCCCGCGGGCGCTGATGAATCTTCGAAGCCTGAGGTGAAGTCAGAGTTTCATAGCGGCGCACTATCAGACCGGCGGCTCAGTGGACAGTTTGTTGCTATCAATCCACAAAACTGTCGATGTGTTTGCCAAGGCTGGGCTGAAATCTTTATCCGTCGGCCCAGCGGAAACATCTCTTGGATCATGCGCATTCAGAATAGGGCTACGTCATGGTTGGAGAGTGACGTCAGTACTGCCCTTATAGATGACCCTCAGATAGACGAAGGTAAGTTTGACACTCAGTTGCTGCTTAGAGCTCTGTTTTTTTCTATTTCATGTCTTGTAATCAACTCTGCCAGAGGACTTTCTTAGCTTTGTGTATGAGTTGGTTATTTCATTTATTTTTTCAGATCCTCAGCGAATTTTTCTTAAATCTCTCTGATGTAAACACGTCTATGCTAACGACGATTTCGTTTCAGTTGAAAATGAGAAAAAAAAAACACCTCGGAGAGAAGATATGCGATCTTACAAATGGAACTGAATAGATCTGTGGTTTACCTTGCACTATACCATCACTTATTTCCTCAGTTCGAAATAAACTTTTCGGCTAAGAATGTCGATCCTCTTCTCACAAAATTTTATATGTGGCAAAGGTCCTGCTGATGTTTGTTAAATTCTCCCCTCCTCTTGTCAGTTTCTTCTCCACCCTGTGAAAAGCGAGGAGAGGTCCTGAGTACCAGTACTGAAAGTGGCTCTGTTATTATTGACGTGGTGAGGCAAAGTAATCCTCCAGAGGGGGTAGGAACTGCTTTTCATGATACAGGTACAAGGTCTATTAAAGATAACGTTAAATTACTATCAAAAGTGTATGAAATGGCAGTTAAGGGGTGGAGGGTGGGGAGGGGAGATGTCATAAACGCTCGAAAGTCTTGCTTTTGAGACTATCAACGCGTTCGCGACAGTAACCTCATTCTTAGGCTCGTTCCGTTTTTGCTCCTTCATTTCCAGGGTTCCTTGCTATCACCGTGGGAAGAGTCTGGGAATGAGATTCCCATGTCAGCTAATGCATGAGATTCGAGAATTTCTCTTTGCGCGGAAAGTTTAAGGATGTAGCTACAGTTGACAGTGCGCTTTAAACACTTAATGCCACACTCTTAGTTTTTGGGTGTCTCCTCATTAATCTGCTTCATCATTTATTTTCTTTCCCGGTTGGTTTTCTGTTTATTGTTGATTTGCATGCCGAAAAGCCCGTGGGGAGTCACTCGCTCGTTCCGGCTGGCAACATGGCAGCACAGATGGCGACAAAGATGCTGATGCACCTCAGCTGAATTCAGTGCTCATTTATTCACAAAGCGCCAGCACGGCCACTCCGCCAAGCACACCAGCGGGGTCTGTAGATTCTGAGCTCTTTGAAGGAAGAGAAAGGCTCTTAAGTAGGAGCCCCAGTAAAGGACCTCATGTTTTTACGGTACGCCGGGTTTGAACAGTTGTTTTGGTTTACACTTTGATGATATCTAAAAGTTTTGAAACTTTAGGCTTGAACCAAACGTAAGCTACTTGGTGAAAATGGTGCCAACAGAGTCTTTAAAGAGTCTTGTTGCGTATAAATTCTTTTAAAATTGACTCATGCAAAGAAGCTTGAAGGTATGATCAGTCAGAACACAAAAGAATAGCTAATGGCTATTAAGTGTTATTACAAACGGATGAAGTGGATGGTCTCATCTTCACTCTGATTTGTTAAACCAAGTTCACTTCACATCTCTTTCTTTTGTTTTCAGATGCGAGAATCTGAATGTTCTGATATACTTGGAAGCTTGGAAAGAACTCCGAACGAAGGTAACTTGCTAGAGCTTCTTTGCCTTTTGGCTTTGGTGTACTTTGACTCGATGCCTTTGCGAAATTGATCGATATTTTGTCATCTTTGATGTTCAGATGTTCCGCCGAACAAGACGAGAAAATTTGATAAGGTAATGATAAATTGTCTTCTACTTGTTGCAACGTTCATGTTAATATGTAGTGAACCTCGCGTAATGGTCACATTCGCGAATCGTAAGTTGCTATAGAACTTAACTTCACAGACAAGAAAACCCTCCCGTAACCTTACTGACAACGAACGACAGCGATCAAAATTCGAAGTGCAGCTCGATGTTTATGCTGTCCCATGGCGAAAGGATTGAGGTCGCAGAATACCCCACAGGGCATTTCTAACCGTTAACCAAATATTTCACATGTAGGGGTGTTGGGTGTCAATGGTTCTACCGGGATTTTGCGGGAATGCCAAGCTGTTTTGTATTTATTTAATTATTTATTAATGTATCTATTTTTCTATCCATTTATTTATTTATTTATTTATGTATTTATTAGCAATGTTTAACCAGGCTGGCCTAGTTCAGCTGAAAGTTGGTTCAATTTTTTAACCATGATGCAAAAGGGGGTTGATGTCACAGTTGTCCAGGGAACATCTCCTACCTGCTCCACTCTTGATGCGACGTTTATTACCGAAATTTGTTAAGAAGTGGACGAGAGTTTCCTAATGCGGCTTGATTATTATCTTATATCAGCCAGAACTAGGTGTTTCTCCTGTTGACCCGTTCCCAGTGTCCTCTCTACCAAGACATAACCAGTTAGAGCGAAAAAGAAGAGACGAAACCAAATATCTGTCGTCATCTGAGATGTACAGGGTGAGACTTTTTTTGTTTTTGGTAGCGAAGAGCAGCGATAACAACAACTAATTGCTTGTACTACTGTTGAACGTTATCGCTTTAGTTTTTGTATAAGTATTCATTACCATTATTTCTGTTGTAAATATTCATCTCTCTTTGCAGCTTGCAAGTGACGAGAAGAGTGTGCAGTCTCTCAATACTGAGGAGAATGAGGATCTCTCTGGTAAGAAGCATTTTGCGAATCAAGCAGACGTGTAATCAACACCACTCTCTTCTTTTTTCTCAAATCTTGTACTTCTCTTCTTCTTCATCTTGTCTATTCGCCTCCTCCTCATCCCGCTTTCCCCCCTTGTCCTCTCCACTGCCCCCTCACTTTACCCTTGTCCTCTCCACTGCCCCCTCACTTTACTCTTGTCCACTCCCCTCCCCCCTCACTTTCTCCCTTGTCCTCTCCTCTCCCCCCTCACTTTCTCCCTTGTTCTCTCCCCTCCTCCCTCACTTTCTCTCTTGTCCTCTCCCCTCTCCCCTCTCCCCTCACTTTACCCCTTGTCCTCTCCCCTCCCCCCCTTGCTTTCTCCCTTCTCCTTCCCCTCATTTCTCACATCCTTTCTAACCATCACCCTTTCTCTCTTTCGTGTATTATCAGAGCAAAATTAACAGTTGTAGTTCTTTTCATCCAGGAGACCAAAAGATGGAAACTGTTCAGGGTGATGTTCCTCAAGGTCGGACAGCCAATCCAGCCAAGAAGGCCGAAAGAAAAAAATCAGTTCCATATCAGTCCCTTGAGGAAGAGCATGGTGTGATCAGAGAGAGTCCGGAGTTTGCTTTGGATACAGTATTTTCCAAAACGGATACCAAAAGCGCTCCGACAACAAGCTTTGACTCCGGTGTGAGCAGATATCACCAGGATCCCTCTCGTTTTCCTCAACCGAAACAACATGGTGATAAACTGGACACTAGTGATCAGGTTCCTAGAAAGGTGAAGTTGAGAAAGTCCTCAAGTTTTAGTTCACCCACCATGGCGAGAAAAGCCTTGGATCTTTCGGAACATTCTCCATATGCATCCCCTCGTCAGGGAAGGATTTCAATTGCAGTGAAAAGCAAAGAAGCGGAGGACAGGCTCTTTTCCCCGGCAAGCGTTGGTGATCCAAAAAAAAGTACCTCTTCCCCGGAGTTATCTTCACCACCAGCTTTCCCTAAAGGTACAAATACACAAGCAAGGTACACTTGTGGAATGCGGCTGTGATGAAAAACTATGAACTTTTGGATGTTGTAAAAGTCCCTGAATTATTTTGTAATCACAGCTACATCTCACAAGTGCACCATACTTATATCTCTACATCTTTCTATGTGGAACTCAAAGCCATTATTTTTATGCCATGGAAGTAAGGCCTAATACGGAAGGCTGAATTGGTGCGATTCAAAGACAGATTTTTTTGAGTGCGGGGGAGGGGAAGGAGGGGGGGGCGTGTGTCTCCTGTTCTGTCCTGATTATTATTTGGCCAAGTTTTTATCAATTAACGGCTATTACTCCGGCTCAGAATTTAGAGTTCCTAATATTGTAAAAAGGAAACAAGAATAAACGAACTCTCCTTGCATAGGCCTCTTCGGAGTACATAGCTCCTTTGCGTGCGTACGATTAATGTATGTGCTGTGTTAACAAAGCTCCCACTGGCCTTTGAATTATAGCTTGTGCGAAAAAAGAAAAGTTTATATTAGGTTTTCTTGGAATCAAATTTTTCGTCTTGATATGATATCACGATTTTTCATTTCTTTTTCAAGTATTAAACAGTGAAACATCCAAGCGCCCGACATCTCGCTCCAGAATGATGCCCCATGCAATCGGACCTCAGCTTACAAACAAGTCGTCTAAATCGGCACCAACTGTTGGAGACTCCTCTGATGGGGGCCCCAAAGAGCCTCCCATATTAGTGACCCCATCAGAATCATTCAGATACCCACTGGACCCTTGTTTTGTGTTTCTACAGTTGTATCACGCTTCCTTCTTGGGCCCGGTCAACGAAAGACCTCAGCCCCTCCCTGATGGGGAAGTAAGTTTCAGTGTATTTTGTAAGGTTGTAGTGTGATCCAGATAAATACAAACATAAAGTCAACAAAGAGGAGAGGCTAAATAAATGTTTTGTCATTGTAAATGGTGTGGAAATAAAAGCTGCAGTATGTAGTGCATTTGAGCGCAGTGGAGTGTTTACGAAACACCCCATTGCGCCCGAATGCCTCAAACTCAGTGGCAGGCCAGGAAAAGCTCGTACTGACGCGGTTATCATGTGGGCCGTCTCGCAGGCCATAACTCAAGTACCACTGAGAACTAAGTTTTATTTATTAATTTATTTGTTATTATATATTTTTTTGCTTATTTTCATTTTCTGCTTAGGTCATTGAAAGAGCTATTAAATGTCTTGATCGCATTCCTCCCTACGACACTCACAAGATCGGTGTTATTTACGTGGGGCCTGGGCAGCATGACAACGAAGCGGCAATTTTAAGCAATGTGTACGGGTCCTCCCGTTATATGCAGTTTCTCGCGGGTCTCGGGACGCTTGTTCGGCTGAGGGATTGCCCACCCGCCGAGATTTACACTGGGGGGCTGGATAGAAATGGAGCAGATGGTGAATTTGCGTACAGCTGGCAAGATGACATTTGTCAAGGTAAAAAAATTGCCATTTATTAATAAATGCCTCGCTGGACTCGAGATCGAAAGCACTAGGTCAGTGTGTTTAAGCGTTTAGCTCGTAACCATGGCACAGTAGTCGCGGCAGAGTGAAAACATCTTTGCATCCAAAGAAAAAAAGGAAACATGGGTCGCTGATACTCGACTTATTCCATGGACAGGAATTTTGCCAGAGAAACTTGAAATGCTGGGGACGGAAGTAATTTGCCATAAGCCAGTATTCTGCCCGGGGGGGGGTTACCATTACTCCTGATTGCTTCATGTTGCAGAAACTGGGATAATTCTTGTCCTTGATTCCAAATTTTTCTCTTCAGTCATATTCCACGTTGCCACATTGATGCCAACCAGAGATTCGGACCCAGGCTGCAACTCTAAAAAGATGCATATCGGTAACGATTTTGTTACCATAGTCTATAACGACTCGCAGCAGGCGGTAAAGTTTGGCAGAATTAAGGTGAGATATCCTTTTGCACCTAAATATAAAAAGACTCAGGTTTGGAGAGCTGGCTTTAGGGAACCTTCTATTAGACGCTTTCTTTTCTTTTCTTTTCTTTTCTTTTCTTTTCTTTCCTATTTTTTTTCCAATAAAATTTCCCTGGATATGTACAATTTATTACGTTCTCAGTTTTTCTTTCTGTCGCCAGGGTCAGTTTAATTTTGCTGAGGTGTTGATCAAACCTCTCGACAATGCATCTAACATGGTGACTGTGAGATTCAAAGATGAGCTGAAGGAGCTACTCTCAGACACAGGAACTCGAGTCATCTCGGACAACAACTTGCCGCGACTAGTTCGGCAGCTTGTTGTACATATCAATGTGAGTATAATTTAAACCACGTAATGGAGTATTATGCCTCGGAAACAAGATGATTTTCATCGTGTCATTATAGAGTGTTACATAGAAAGGTAATACTAATTGATGGAGTAAAATCTCACCTTACAGATCGAAAAGTTTCCTTTTATACGCTTGAATTCAACCAAAGAAGCCGCTTTCTAGAAAACAACCAATCTACGTGGTTGCAACCGTCCAAATGAAGTGAATCAAAAACAGTGGTTATTGGGGAATATGTTGTCGTCAGTGGTGTTGTTGTTTTCCTTTTTGTTTCGCTCCTAATTTTTTAAGCAGATTGTCAAGTGTTGAACAAGGAGCATGAGCTGTTGCTTTTGCATAACTATATTGCATACGACGCTTGTGTGGTTTTGTGTGAAACCAGAGCCTTGGCGCCGTCGAGCATCAGGTTTGAGCTTTAGTAGATGAAATCAAGTTGAAACGAACTTAAGCAAAGCTTACTGAATTTAAAACATAAAAGAGGAAAATGCTCTTTCGACTTAGCGCCGGTGTATGATCTGTAACACTCATAGGTTTCAATGTATCCATTCTTTGATGCAAAGACTCCTTTGCCTTGACTGTGATTATTATTGTCATTATTTTTTTTCCTAGATGGCTTCTGTAATTCACCAAAGTCAAAAGCGTCCAACCGACGCCTACGGTTGTAACTGGCTGGAGCGATTACGTCAGATTAAGCGCGTGCACTCAAAGGCTGCGACTGAAAACTCCTCGGTCCCCAGTAGTCCAACAGTACGGAGGGTGTCTCCGTCCGTAGGACTGCGCATGTCGTCAGCACCGATCAGCGGTCTCACAGACTTTACAGAGTACATCATAAAATAATGCTAAATTAACGCTTATTATTGTGGGAATGAAATTCAATGAGGTGTCCTTTGAGGGCAAGGTTTTTTCCTCGAAAGTCTAATTCAGTGCTTGAAACCTTTTCCGATGAAGAAGCTTTGAAGAAACGAAAGAATCCTTTGAAATATCGTTTAACCCTTTATTCGCTTACATCAGAATGCATATTCTCCATACTGTTCTCTATACATCTTCTAAGGTGCTGACAAGGAACATTTGTTTATCAATCAAGAGTTTTTTTAAGCTGGTGATCATTTTCTTTATTCTCGTGATCTTACTGCATGATTCAGGGGTGATTGTGTAGGGAGAATAAAGATGTTAGTCACCAGCAGAGGTTGAAGGGTTAACATAGATGGTTATGAAGAGAATCAAGCCCTTCGTTTAAGAGGGAGGGAAAACAATAGCTGTAAACAGAAAGGACAGGAAAATACCTTCTTGGGCTGGATTGCAAAATATTCACCGTACTTCGTTATTTATTCATTAACTACGGACCGCAATCGCAGTTTAGATTCCTTATAGGGACTCATCTTTCTCCAGACCTCTCTATATTCGCACTCGTTGCAACAGTGCGGGAGAGCACGATTAATGCATTTTTCATCGCGTATTTTGCAATCGTTCCTTTTCTTGAATATTCTAAGGCGGCGTCTTACATAAATAGATGTATATAATAATTATTTTGATAATGATTTACTGTTTTAAGAGGGCGTAAGAAAAGGAAATTACCAGAGATATGTAAATGAAGAAAAGACACAAAGATTTCAAACTTATTGTGTTTACTAATAGAAGAAATATACATATCTATAGTCACTCTTACCTACCGTGCAGTTGTTTTCAGAAGTCACTCGAATATTTAACTTGTTCCAAATTTGTGGTCGTGCTGAATGATAGACATAGATATTCAGAAATGACGGGGATGCCTCTTCATCCTACTTATAACCGGAAGGATACGGTGCCCAGATAGGGCCGTAGAATACGAGCAGACATTTTGCAGTTTACTGATCAAGCGTGGCAGAAGACAAAGTCCAACATACGTCAATTATCCCTTATACAGAGACAGTTTCGGCGATAGTAGCAAACTTATAACACTGATTACTTCAAATGAGACCAATCTTTAAATACGCTGTCTGGAAAGGAAAAGCAAATCGAAACGGGGCCTGAAATGATAAAGGAATCCTTTCGTAACGTGTCCTATTTCTTCGTATTTGGTTATCTTCAGATGTTCCTCCGCGAGGTGATCGCCTTGGCCTCTTTGGATGCCTTCGCGGAAAGTTCTGTCCCAATGAGGCAAGCCATGGTATTGTCAGGGATGTCACATGTAATGGTTAAGTTGTTTGCTCCATGGGTTTCGTGGAGAGTTCTTCCATACAGTGACATTCCTCATCCCCACCACGTTCTTCTTCGTCTTTATGTATGCAACCTTGGACAAGTCTTAGCAAGCAACTCTACTTGTTTCCTGATGTTGATTACGATTCTTCTGGCGATCAACACAAATTCGTGCCCCTAAGTTACCTCTTCATGCATTACTTTGCAGATCGCCTCTCGATTCACACGATCATCCCAACATTGGCACTCCCAGACAAGGCCCACGATCTCATTGATCATTACACTTACTGCTCGCTCGCTCACGATATCGGCTCACTGATTGGACGCTCCCACCTTCTACAGCTTTCAATCACGTGTCTATGCCTGGCCAGTCATGCGCAAATCAAACACACCAGGATACTAGCTGCTGTTGGCAATATTATGATGTTTTGTCTCATGTATTTATCATGGTTTCACGCTATCGTAGAAGTGGATGTTATCCTGGTTTTATGCTTCGTTTTTGGCGTGATCACAGGTAGCCAGTTCGCAAACTCGTTTTTTTTAATAACTGAACAAGTCAGGGATGTAACAGAAAGAGAGTTCGCGCTGGGCATACTCACACTGGGATCATCTGCTGGAACATATGCCGCTGGGCTCTTAGAATTGTTCTTGAAGCCATATTAAACTTAGCACTGTCTGTTTGTGTCAGGCAAGAACTGTCCAAAAGATTTTTCAGTTTCGAAGGATGGATCGAAAGCGCACACTTGATGACACCACATGAAATACTTAAGGATTGAAATATGTCCTGGGCTATGGGTAACAAGCTTTTCATTGATAAGAGTGTGTCCATGTGAGTTATATATAATATATATATATATATATATATATATATATATATATAAAACTGGTCAGCACACAGCATGCATCTATTATTTTTTTCTTGTTTATAAATATTAATATATTAATATTTATAAACAAGAAAAATATAATAGATGCATGCTGCGTGCTGACCAGTTTCTGAGACTGCTTAAAATACAGCATGCTACATTGTTATTTTTATCTTTTTCTTAAATTTCCATGTATATTTTTTTGTTCCAGGCCGAGTCCGTAAAAGGGCAATTCGATGCGATGGCAAATGGCGCGATCATAGCGGAGGAGTAAAAAAACGAGGGAGGTCTGGGTTGGAGAGTGAAAAAACGAGTGGGGTCTGAGTCAAGTTGTTTACGATTCCTTTTTGTCGCTCCTCTGCTACTAACCTGCCGTTTGTTTATTTCCCTCCATTTTACTGACTAAACATCTGGAACAGGGCAAAAGGGAACCTCTGCATCCCATCAGAGGCGTTTCTATGGAAACTAGACAGACAGCTCATGCATGACGAAACAGAAGGTATATACCTCCACCACTACATACCTCAATCCTGGAGGGAATACAAAGTCCCAAACAAACTTCTTTCCCTACTTCAAATTTCCCCAATAAGGTATTTTGCTAGATGAAAGTTAATCATGCCCACCAGAAATTTATTCTAAAATTACGAGGGCACAATTCTGAATGAAGTTCCAGCACAAATTTGTGTACCAGTAACTTATGCAGTTTAGTTTATTCCAAATGTGTATAAATTCAAGAAAAAAATATCAAGCAACAAGTGTTCTGTTAATTTCTTATTTCTTTTAATAAATAAATTTATTTAACATCATAAATCTACATTAATCTCAAACATCATTTACTGATAACATCACGACAGCCTTATCAACATAGCTTTTTTTCTAGCGTCTTTAAATAGCTATTTTCATACAGTCATGGTTGCATAGTTGCATGGGACCAAAATTAACATATGCAAATTTCCTGATCAGTGCAAGTGTAGAAAAACTGTTGCTACAAGCAAATCATTTAGAGTTAATACAGCAAAATTCCACATCCTAATACACCAAGGGTTCAGATAAAACCTCCTTGCCCTTACCCCTCTGGACTTTCCATTTATCAACCACGGGTGTCACTTGTGTCTTTAAAGAGCACATTCACTCAAAATTAGGTTCCAAAAAAATTAAAGTAACTGGTAAAAGTTAAATTTTATATCTAGACACTAATCAATACCTGCTTATAACTAAACACTCAGTACTAGCATACGAGGAAACTTCAATCAGTGAAATCAGTATAGTAACAGTATACCAAAATGAGGTATTGGTGGACAAATTTAAGTGCTAGATGCTAAAATGTATATAAATAACCATCTAGAGGACAAAGGTTCTTCTTACAGACTAAGTAATCTCAAAAGGAACTCACACAATTATGAAGGCTTGAGCTTGCACTCTTTTTATTTCCAAGAAAAAAGAAGAAATCATCTGTGAAATTTTGCCCATGGAAAGGTTCTCTACCTCATTTGAAGAGCAAATGACACTCAACTGTGTTAAGAAGCTTTGTCTACAGATTTATCAAATGACGTGTAAATACCGACTGGAGTTTTTCAAAGGCTCTACTCGTACCTTGCCAATCTTTCAGAAATACTTTCCTCCCTTTCCCTTGGGACTTTTCTACTGATACGTTGTGGAACCTCCTTCTTAAACCTTAAAGCCTACCTTTTACATAACAAAAACAACAACAGCACACTGAATTGTACCCATAACAATTTTTTAACAGATTTACATTTACTTGCACCTTCATGAAATGGATCTGAATTGAAAAAGAGAAAGAGCAAGTAGATTAATTATTGAAAATATGTCTAGACCAGCATATGTTATATCCAATTGTATGGACGTATTTGAACTTTTTTTCTGTGCTGGTTTGTTTCTTTACGGCTTTAGTGCGTTGCAAGAGTAACTTATCCATATCTTGGTCTCACTGGTTGCACCACTATACCATCCTGTTTATGAATGAATTGAAAACATATTTTAATTAATACCTAAACTTTTTGAAGTTTTTAATGCAAATTAATACTTCACTGGTTTTGAATTTGGTGAGCCACACCACTTGCCTGTGCTTAAGAGAGACTTTGTGGAATTGCATTGGTATCAGTCAACAATGCCTGCAAAGTAAAAGAGAAGTAACTCTCGGAACTACCTGCTGAAGATCATAAGCCACTCTGTTGTTTTCATGTTCCTGTCAGTGATATGAATGCGCATGTGCTTTTTTACCATCATGACCTGGTGCACCTCGTTGCACTATCTTCACAATAAAACTTTGTTCGAGGCTGCGTTGATGAAAATCGTAAACGCTACCCTACTTACATTAATTTTTACTTTACAGAATCGGCGTGCCTCTGATGTGTCAAATTAGTTTATTTTAAATTACAATAGGTGGGTTTTGTTTCCATACCATTTGAAGAACATGCTGTCGAATTGTCATATTTTCCATCATAACTTGCAGTTTTTTTCTATTCCTGAAAAGGAAAATAAATAAGAAATTATAGAGAAAATGGATTAATTAAAAGCAATTCTTATACGAACAAATTTGTTTTCTTCTCATGTAGGCGTACTTGAGCCCTCTTTCAGTGCATATACGGATTTGTCTTTCTGATCTGTTGATTTGACCTACAGCTTGAATACGTTACAGAAATAACTTACTCAGACCTTGGCCTCAATGCATGTAATACTGCACCATCCTGTTAGTTAAAGAGTATACAAAGGAATATTATTAATACGCAAAAGTTTTTTAGTTATAAAACCACTGCAGAATAGTTTTGAAATGCCTTTAATGCTCAGCTATTTCTATGTTTTTGTTAATGTATTTCATTACATATGGAAATCTGATTGTTTGAAAAACTGGCATGAATTTTCTGGACTAATCACATAACGAAGTAAAGCCAAACATTTTGTCTAATATTAATCTGGTATGATACAAACTTCTTCGCAACCTCTTTACAAGATTAAAAATTAAATCAGTGAACTTTGTTATTTTTAAGGCATGTCGTAGTTTCAAATGAAGTATATTTTGCAAAATTGTTGGCAATCTTTGCATTATTATAAAGCCTGAAAACCCATGCAGTCAAGGAGACAGAATTGACCGATAAGATCAAGCGTACCGTTGTTACCACTAAAGTGACTAAAGTGGCTTAATGATATCGATGTGGAAGCACACTAAACTGGTTTTTAACTTGATAAGGGCATTACTTGCCTGTACTGAAGAGAGACTTTGTGGAATTTCATTTGTATTAGTCAACAATGCCTGCAAAGTAAAAGAGAAGTAACTTTCGGAACTTCCTGCTGAAGATCATGAGCCACTCTGTTGTTTTCATGTTCCTGTCAGTGGTGCTTTTCTTACCATTATTATCTCATGTGTTTCGTTGCTTTGTCGTAACAAAACTTTGTTTGAGGCTTCGGTGATGAAAATCGTGAACACTACCCTACTTACATTAACGTTGACTCTCCTTTAAAGAATTGGCGTGTCTCTGATGGGTATATAATGCATGGTAGAACAATATATAGTCACTTTGCAAGGCTGTATTATTCTGTCACCATATAGCCATTTTGTGGAACGTTTATGTAAGACGT